TCCGAGCTGTGCCTTGAGCTGTCGTCCGAGCTGCGCTTTGAGCTGATGTCGGAGTCCCCCCACTTCGAATCACTTCGACGACCTGAAAGCTGGCCGGGAGGATGAGGAAGTGGACAACACCCGCATTCCTTCGCAGCGCACCGATGAGTAGCGATCTCCGGTCTGTCGCGCACGGTCCGCCACGACCGTGAACCACGCCTCCCAAGACAAGCCCTGGGTGGCATCCACATCCCCGATGAAACGTCTGCCGTCCGAGTATCCCCAAGATGCTTTGCTTTGCAGCAACAAGTCTGCCTCAGCTGTCGACTCGGGAGCCACCCAGCCCGACACAACCGTGGCCGGCGACGAGACGGTGCAAACCTATCGGCATGACGCGGACAGGCGATCAACGGAGCAAGCATTCTCGGAGCTGCCTCGCCATCATCTGAAATCAGGAACGCGCCGTCGCCGTCCTCGGATGTAAACCTCCACTCAACACCATTCATGACTTCGGCAACCAATGCGGCTTTACCTCACAATGACCGCGCTCAATGAAAAGAACGTGCCTATTGCCACACAGCTGAGTGAAGCTTGGGTTCTCGACAAAACTGCTTGACCTTGCAAGGGTCGCACAAGCATGTATATAGATCTGCACGGAGGAAGTTGCGGAGGGATGCACGGACGAAGCCTCATTGCAGTCAAGAGACTCAAGAGCCCCTCGGCGTCGGATTCACGTCACAGAGGTGTCTAATTCGAGTGCCCGACCTGCCTGAACTTCGAGTAAAACTGTGCTGGCTGGCGATGGAGTGCAAAATCCCTCTGCCGTTGCTGCAGATTCGATCTGGCTGTTCCGGGTTAGTGATGCAGCTGCAGCTTCGGTCTGGCTGCCCCGAGTTGGCGATGCAGCGGCTTGTGTGCTGACCTACGGTTTCCAAGAAAGCAATTCATGGCGCAGTTCAGAGGGAGGGCAACCTGGTTAATTAGTTTGTACCCTTTCCTACTAGGGCACAGTGAACACGGTATGTCCCACGCACTCTGACACGGCATGCGGAACCGCTAGAACTCCGTCTCAACGAGACTGGATGCGCACACAGTCATGCAGCAAAGGAAGAGTGGTTCTGCATCGCTCATGCTGATGGTCCAGGCGACTCCGCCGGCCCATGCTTCGTACAACTCCCCGCGACTTGAGAATAATAGACTGCAGGAACAGCATGTGCGCAGGTAGCAATGCTCCAGGCGGCTCGGCACAGCGCAGAATCCGTCTTCCAGGTTGGATCACCTCCCCCCTCCCAGTGCCTCCTGTTCTGCTGGTGCAGCGGCACTCTGTTCGCACATACTCAGACTCATTCAGACATCAAGTGTGAAGGACGATGACGAAAAAATGATGATGATGATGATGATGACGAATGCAGGGCACCTTGCTCATTCGATGACAGATGAACATGGTTGCAGTTGTGGCGCCGTCATCAGAAACATAATTAACATTCTTATATTTTGAAACGTTTAAACAACGTTTCAAAAATAAAAGAACATGTCAAGCTAACTAGTTCAAGCAATGGTCTTAGTCTAAATAAACGTTTGAAGAATATTGCAGACAGTTGTCGCGACATTTAAGAAAGTTTCAAACAACTTTCAAAAGATTAACAGCAAGTTTCAAAGAATGAAAACACTGTTAGTAGCAATTCTCGCGAGCCCCAACTTTAAGAACAATGCACAAGGTAGGGTGCGTTTAGTATCGGGCTTTTAAATTACAACCACTCAACTTCAAGGGCTCTGGGCAATCGTATCTCCAGGACAACACTTATTTGAGCTACTAGGCTTTACTATAGTGTTGTCTAATTACAGGCTTCAAGAGACTCCAAGCCACGAAGGTAAAACCTAAACTAGAATGCCCCAACCTCTGAGCCCTCCCGGACAGCCTAAATCCTGAACCCTAAACCCTGAACCCCCAAACCCTAAACCCCTAGACCCCAAACCCTAAACGCTGAACCCTCAAACCGTCCTGGGGCTGCGGAAAAGGCCCCTTAGCTTCCGGCAAGTTGAAGATACTGGGTTCTGAGCTCTTAGGGTTTAGAGTTTAGGGTTTAGGGGCTTAGGGTTTGAGGTTTAATTAGGGCTTTCACCAAGTATAGATTTATATAGGGTTTAGGATGTTTAGGGCTTCTGCTTTGAGAGTTTAATGTTTCAGGGCTTAAGGTCTAGCACCGTAGTAAACGCAATAGGATTTTGAGTATGTTGACTATATAACTACGATACCCAGTAACCTAAGAATAAAAAGGCCTCTCTTTTTGGTATTGGGTAACTTTATAAGGAACCTAGGACTACAAAAAGGGAATAAGGGTACTACTGGGCATCCTAGATAAGTATGCAGCGGCTACAAGGTTGCAGGTGGTTTCGTGCACGTTTCACATGGTGTTCGCTTCTATGGTTTGGGATTCTCTTGGGCTCTGGTGGGTTATAGTGCATAGGGCGTCACAGGGTGGGGTTTCCCAAGCCTGTCTTGTGAGTTAGTACTGTTATGGCCATAATATCAGTTATTTTCAAAGTATTCAAGCCTCTGTGTTGGAGCTCATCAATGTCCTGCTGATGTTGGGTTCAGGGCTTTCGTGGTCAACTGTTTCGGCTTTTGGCTGTGGGACTGTGATTTTGAGGGGTTGGGGTGCTAGCAACTCGAGCTTGCCGGAAAAGGGCCACTTCAAGTTCTTGGCGCCCACCCCACAGTTGTGTCCGAACAAGACCCTGCCCTGAACCTAAGTCCAAGTTTCCTAGGATGCCCAGTAACCTAGGAATAAAAAGGCCTCTCTTTTTGGTATTGGGTAACTTTATAAGGAATCTAGGACTACAAAAAGGGAATAAGGGTACTACTGGGCATCCAAGTTTCTGGTTTGCTGTGTTGTCAAAAGCTCCCGGGCCATCGGGGTTGTGGGTACAGGGCTTGACGGTTTACGGTTTAAGGTCAAGCGGTAGTGTGCAGGGCTCAATGCTCAAGCCACGAGTACGGTCGAAGCACGAGCACGTTGAACAAACCCTAAACCCCCGAACCCTAGCTTAAGGTGCTCTTCAATTGTAAACCCGTACAGAATCCCCAAGGAACCCTCAACACTAATATAATACGGGGGCCTACATGTTTGCCAATACTATTTCGGGGGTGGTTCCATACTCTACGGATAGTTCAAGTCCAAGATTCAGGCCCCAGCATTAGAGCCGCACGACTGTGCCGATCCCTAGGAGGTGAACCCTTCTATAGGACCCTTGAGAGGAACGCTATAAAACCACATAGAACCCTCCCACCGCGCGACTGTGAATGCCCCGGCCGCCCGCCGCAACGAGTCGGCCACGGGGCGCCCGCGAAGGACCATTTCGGAGTTCAGCCGGTGGGCTCAAGGGGTTTAAGAAGCTTCATTCGCGTTTTGCATCGGTTGCATAAGGGTGCTCAAGAACTTAGAAGTGCGTTTCAAGTTTCAATGGCTTCATGCCTGCTTTACAATGCCATTCATGAAACAGATGCGTTTAAGATCATGGGCTTCAATGACTTCTGAGTCCGAGATCGTTGAAGGTTTGGGGGACGCAAGACTTGGGTCAAGAGCTTACTTAGAGGTTCATTGGACTTAGTAGCTATGGTTATTAACAAGGTAACTATACTTATAATTGGTTATAACCCCAGTTAGGGTACTTATAAGTGTACTTACTAAGTCCCATGAACCTCCGAGTACGGCTTCATGCTCTGAGTTGCGTTTAGAATCTTTTTTGGGGTTCCTTTGAGGGTTCTACGGGGTCCCTTGAAAGGGTTTGGGGTTGCCTGTGCTGGGTTTTGGGCTTCGAGTTTAGGGTGAAGGGTCCAGGGCTTGGCTGAAGGCAGTTTTAGGGTTTTAGGGTTTGGGTTTAGGTTTTAGAGGTTTAGAGTTCGGGGCTTAGGGTTTAGGCTCATAGTCACCAAGCTGCCAGTCTACTTCTTGAAGCCTTTGGGATCACGGATGAATAGGGTTTCGGGGTAGAAAAAACTATAACTGAATTATATTAAGGAAACCCCAAAATAGTATGGCTAATTATGTAGGGACCTACATTACACGCGAGTCCAAAGCTTAAACCACTAGACCCTCAAGCCATCAAGCCTTTCTCAGGCAGCGAGCTTTTTCGGGTGGCATACCAGAGACTGCAACTGCAAATCTCAGCACGTGCCTACTGAACGATACCATGATACACCAAACATGCTGTAAGCCGTACAACTTTCTACTTCTAATTCTGCAGCTCTCAAGCCAAAGCTTGAAACCCTACAGTAAAATCTACCCCTCAGGCCAGAAATCCCCAAGCCTAGCGCAGAAACGCTTCTGAAGCTCCAAACACTGGACACGAATTCAACCTCAAACCTTGCATCTGTACAACCAGAACCGAGACCCCGACAAACTTTCACACCCTAGATGGTGTAAGCCCTGCCTGTCACCCCACACCCTATAAATTGCTAGGTTACGACCCATGAATAAGAAGGTACAATCCTTAAAACACTAGGCTTTGGGATCCCCAGGAGAACGTTACAAGCCCCAACCTGGATTGTACGTTCAGGCCGCCAGAAGTATTTGTAAATAGAAACCCTGCTACACCCGACAACCTACCCAAACCCCCGGAAAGATCCCAGAAAATAGAATCCATGTCAAATTTCTCTCTTAGCCAATCTTATAAGTAATTATATGCGCATATACTTGTATTTGTACGTACATACATGCATATGATGGTAGGATACCTTTTTGTGGGTTCTAGCCTCTTGATCCCGTATGTAAGGGATCTGGCTACTCCGTAAGCCCAACATCCGAATCCTTTCCGCCACCAAACTCGGCGAAACCCTTAAACTCCCAAACCTTAAACTCTGAAGCGTACCCTCCTAAAGATCCCTAGAACCCTAAACCCTAAACCATGAACCCTAAACCCGAAGGAACCCTTTAAGGATCCTTGTTGAACCTTGAAAGGAAGCCTTGAAGATGCGTCATACAACCCTTGAAAGCACCTCACGAAATCGGCCCAGGATCCCGGAAGTGGAGATTTCGCACCGCCGCGGCGATCGGCACCTTCCCGTGCCCAGATAACTGTTTAATCCAAGGGGGTTTAGGGTTACGGGTATAGGGTTTAGGGTACTATATTTCGGTAGTTCTCTAAAATTAGGGTCCCGTTGTTAAGCTCCCCAGATAAAACGGCACGATTATGAAAAGGACCTTAATTTGGAGAACTACCCACACAATGCTTTAGGGTTATCTACTGACTGCAATCCCTGTAACTTTAGGTTAGTTACCGTGCGCCGAAACCCTGTTCTAACTATACCCAGCTTTGGTCGATGCCGTCACAGTGGCCAGGCCACAAAGCCAGCATTGGGCCAGCTTGCCATGACGAAGGACCGGCCTTGGGCTTGCCAGTACCGCCCGAATTCAAGCTCGGGGGTATTACCGGATGCGAGTTGGAGTGGGGCGCACCATGTGCCTCAGGCAACCCACCAGGACGAATTCAACTCCCCACTCCGAGCGTTCGCACAATTCGTGGTGAGAGCGATCACCAACTTGGAATTGCCGTGGGGCATGAAGGGCCCTGTATGAGCTTCTGTCCGGGGCCGGTTCTTCCTCTACGGACCGCAGACAGCACCCACCCTCGTCTCATAGGAAACCCTTGGGTAAGGTACCTTAGCCGATGCTTTCTAAGGTGACGTCCAAGCAAGACAACCCTAAACTAGTAAACTTAAGACTCCATAGAAACACTGTACAACGTGTGCAGAACCTTCATAGAGGCATGGAGCTCTTTCAGAACGTAAGGGCGGGGCTTAAACCCTACCCTAAACCCTAAACCCACTAAACCCTAAACCCTAAACCCTTAAACCCTAAACCCTTAAACCCTAAACCCTAAACCCTTAAACCCTAACCTCCTTTCCCAAAGCTTCGTTACGTCGGAAGCCTGGTGTTGGGAGGCTTACAGGCTATTTAGGGTTTGGGGTTCAGGGTTCCCAGAGGCTCCAATATCCTTTAATTGAGGAATATGCCTTGTAGTATAAAAGGGTCCCTAAGATGATTTAAAGAATATTCCTGAATCAAGGGATATTGGAGTCTCAGGGTTCCTTGACGGGCTTGTTTTTGGCGACGGTGGCGCTTTATCACTTTACGGTCAAAGGGCTCCACAGGTCAGGTGGGATGAAGGTATGATCCTCAAGTAAGAGGCCTTATGCAAGGGATCCTTCATCCTAGCCTAAAGTCCTAAACTCAAAGAGCCTTGAAGCCTAAGTCCGTAGACCCTTGGAAGGAACCCTTATAGGAATCTTCAAAGGGACCCTTGTAGAGCCCTTCAAAGGAGCCCTAAACTTTAAGCCGCCCTTACATTGCATGTCCTAGGGAACCCCTCTTCACGAACCCGAAACACCCTAAACCTCTAAACCCTCTAAGCCTAAAAGCCAGAAAGTTGGAATATGATTATCCTAAGCCCTGTATGGTAAATTATAAGGTATCCTACCCTGATACCATATTCCAACTTTCTGGAGTTCCCTTTATTTACCAAGTCCCATGAACCTCCAAGTAGACCCTAAACCCTAAACCCTATAGATCCCTTTTAGGAACCCTATAGACCCGAAACCCTAAACCTCTACACCCTTAAGCCAACCCTAAACCCTAAACCCTCTAAGCCTAAACCCCTGAACCTTGAAGCCCCAAAACAATAGACCTTAGAGCCCTAAAACCCTACATGGAGGTTCCCATGGGGCTTAGTAAAGAGCTCCTCAAAAGGCTCCTTAAAGGGATCTAATAGGGTTCCTTAAAGGAATCTATAGGGTTTAGGGTTGAGGGTCTACATGGAGGTTCATGGGACTTAGTAAGTACAGTTATAAGTACCTTAACTGGAATGATAAGTAACAATAAGTATAGTTACCTTAATTACAACCGTAATTGCTGAGTCCCATGAACCTCTAAGTAACCCTTGCATAAACCCCAAGTTCTTACATTACATGCCTTGGAGAACCCCTCTAGAGGAATCCTACACTCTCAACCCGAAGAGCCCGCAGAGCCCAAAGAGCCCTAAATCCTAAACCCTGAACCCCTAAACCCCTAACCGCCTATAAACCCCTAAACCCTAAACCCGAACCCCCGGCCTTAGTAATTAGAATAAGGTTTGGGGCTATATGAAACAAAAGTGAAAAAAGGAACACCGAAAATAGTATAGGTAAGTATTAAGGCCCCTGTCCTAAACCCTAAACCCTATAGATCCCTTAAAGAAACCCTTAAGACCCCCCAAAATAGGATTGGTAATTCTTAAGGCTCCTATACTAAACCCTAAACCCTATAGATCCCTGATAGATCCCTCCAAGGGAACCCTTCAGAAACCCCAAACTAGTATAGGTAATTATTTAAGCCCCTAGAGTAGACTACCTTTATAGTGTCCCTTCTAGTCCCAAAATAGAATGATAGCTAATTACTTGGTCCCCTAGATTAAATCCTTGTCGCAGCCCTTCTAGCAATCCTTATAAACCCCTTTAAAGGGAACCCTATTCTAATTATTCAGGCCCCTCTATTAGAACCCTTAGAGGCACCCTTAAGGAACCCTTAAAGAACCCTTAAGGGAGCCCTATCAAGGCCCCTATTGGGTGGTTGTCAAAATTATGGCCCCTTCTTGGGTACCCTAAATAATAGGTGCCGTGCTATAGTATCGGGACCCAAAAAGGGACCATGATTTTGACAACCATCCTATTCTAGTATACCCAGTAACCTAAGTATAAAAAGGCCTCTCTTTTTGGTATTGGGTAACTTTATAAGGAACCTAGGACTACAAAAAGTGAATAAGGGTACTACTGGGCATCCAAGATATGGGTAGTTGTCAAAATTAAGGTCCCTTTTTGAGTCCCGATTATAATACGGCACCTAATATTTAGGGTACCCAAACCCTAAACCCTAAACCGTGGTCATCCTAGATATTAAAGCCTGCGGCGCCTGCAGCCGAGCCAACTCCCCGAGCTCCTCCCCGCTCAACTTCGGGGTCTCTTCCAGCCTTTAAAACAGGGATTAGGATTAGGTACGGCCCCCATACAGTAAGAGTCTATAATAGGGCTACTATTAAGGTCCTACTATATCTATATTATGACTACCAAAACCCCTGAATTAAGGATTACCTGTGACCCCAAACCCTACAAAATAGTAGGTTATGACCACTTAATTAGAAGGTCGAACCCTTAAAACGGTAGGTTTTTGGATCCACAGGTAGGATTTCTTCAAGTAGGGATTAGGGTTCAGGGTTTAGGAATTAGGATTTAGTACAGTAAGAGGGTTTATAGTGATAAAAATTAAAAGCGCTGAGGGATTAGGGGTTTAGCGTTTAGAGTTTATGGATTGGGATTTAGCAGGGGTTTGTAAGGATAAAAGTGTTAGGGTGCAGGGGTTTAAGGCTTAGGGGTTACCTGTAGCCCCAACCAAATAGTAGGTAATGGCCCCTAATTCAAAGGGTCCATGCCTTAAAACGGTGGGTTTTGGATCCACAGGTAGGTTTTAGGCTTCAGGGATTAGGGCTTTATGGTTTTGGTGTTTGAAGTTTATGGTTCTGGCGTCTCTTCCGGCCTTCAAAAGGCTTCAGGGAGTAGGCTATACAGATTAGGGGTGAAGGTTTTGGGATTAGGGATGAGGGTTTAAGGATGAAGGTTTAGGGATTCGGAATGCGGAGGGTTTAGGGGTTTAGGCCTTGGAGACTTGGGACTGGGGACAAGGTTTTCTAGTTGGGGCGTTTAAAAGTCATTGAAAAACATTAGTAAATAAGATCCTCTCAAGCCCAATAAGGGAAAATATAAAATGTCCCAAAGCCCTACCTAGTTTTAGCCCTCAGGATTTAGGGATTAGGGTTTAATGCTTAGGGTTTCGGGGTTGAGGTTGAGGGTTCCCTACCATTATGGAATTAAGTCCCAACCCAGACCACCGGGAGGATCCAAAAAGTAGATCCCTTAATGGGGGTTCCTATAAAGTACCCTTAGTAGTATAAGGCCCCAAATTAGGGGATCTACTTTCTAGATCCTCCCGAAATTTGGGAAAAGAGTATGCCCGTTATGGCCTGGGGGACTTAGGCTCCATAATAGTGGCACATACGGACCCTCTTGGCTCCATCTTCTGTACCCGTCGTGTCCAGTGGACCTCGGGCGAGTCCATGTCGGCCGGATTTTTTGCTTAAGGCGTGTGCCTTCACCGCAGAGACTTCAATATCCCTTATCTAAGGGATATTCCTTACAAGCATATTGGGGAACCTACTGCATCAAGGGACACTAAAGTCCCCTCAACCCTGTAGATCCCTTACAGGAACCCTTACAGGGACCCTTACAGGGACCGTCACGGATCCCTGTAGCGGGATACGGGAGTCTCTGAGGATGCCATGCACATGTCGTAGACCACCCATACCCTCGGGAGGGTCCAAAAAGTAGATCCCTTAATGGGGGTTATTATAAAGTACCCTTAGTAAACGAATATGGCCCCAAATTAGGGGATCCACTTTCTAGATCCTCCCGGGGGTCTGCTTGGAGGGTCGGGGGACATAGTTAAAGTGGGTAGTAAGTAGACGTATAAGTACCCTAACAGGGATCCTAATTAGGTTATGATACTTATAACTCTACAAAATAACTACTTAGTAAGTCCCCCGACCCTCCACCCAGAGACTCCAATATCCCTTAATTAAGGAATATTCCTTGAATTATAATACGACCCCTAATATGATTCAAGGAATATTCCTCAATTAAGGGATATTGGAGTCTCGGGGCAAGTGGGCAGACATGGGAGAAGGAAACCCAGGGCATTGCATGGTCGGGGCAGCGACTCGTCATCTTTCGAAGCATGCCAGCGGGTAATATGGGGGGCCTTAATTCGTTAGAACAGGGTTCCTTTAAAGGGTTCCGTAAAAGGGGATCTATAAGGAATACTATCAGGGCTCTAGGATATAGGGGCCTTAACTGCGTAGCACTACTGTCACCACCGCCTCTGGGAGCACCCCAGGTAGCGTCGGGTTCATCCTCTTCCCAGCGACTCCAATATCCCTTAATTAAGGAATATACCTTAAATTATAGTAGGATCCTGAATATGATTTAAGGATTATTCCCTAAATAAGGGATATTGGAGTCTCTGGGTTCCACCACCACGGACAGCAGCAAAACCACCACGAGAGACCAGGATCTGCTGCACATTCCTCAGCTGATCCTGCACAGCACTGCTGTCACCACCAGTGGCAGCATCACCTCAGGTCATGAGAGATCCGGGAATCCCAAGAATGGCAGCAAAAGCGGCGTTAGAGACCTGGATGTGCTGCAGGGTTGATCCTGTGCAGCACGGCACGACTGTCACCGCCATCGTCAGCATCCCCCCAAGTCACGACAGATCCATTGCCAAGGATGGCAGCAAAAGCATGGTGAGTGGCTTGGACCTGCTGCACATTCTTCAGTTGACCCTGCACAGCACTGCTGTCCCCTCCATTCCCGGCATAACCCCAGGTCACGACAGATCCATCGCCAAGAATGGCAGCAAAAGCATCGCTAGTGGCTTGGATCTGCTGCACATTCTTCAGTTGATCCTGCACAGGACTGCTGTCCCCACCATTGCTGGCAAAACCCCAGGTCACGACAGATCCATTGCCAAGAATGGCAGCGAAAGCAGATCCGTTGGCTTGGATCTGCTGCACATTCTTCAGCTGATCCTGCACGCTGCTACTGTCACCACCATAGGAAGCATCACCCCAGGTCACGACAGAGCCATCGCCAAGAATGGCAGCAAAAGCATAGTCAGTGGCTTGGATCCCTTGCACATTCTTCAGTTGATCCTGCGCAGCGCTGCTGTCCCCACCATTCCTGGCATATCCCCAGGTCACGACAGATCCATCGCCAAGAATGGCAGCAAAAGCATAGCCAGTGGCTTGGATCTGCTGCACATTCTTCAGTTGATCCTGCACAGCACGGCTGTCTCCAGCACTACTGGCACAACCCCAGGTCACGACAGATCCATTGCTAAGAATGGCAGCAAAAGCACGGTGAGTGGCTTGGACCTGCTGCACATTCTTCAGTTGATCCTGTGCAGCACTGCTGTCCCCACCATTCCTGGCACAACCCCAGGTCACGACAGATCCATTGCCAAGGATGGCAGCAAAAGCATGGTGAGTGGCTTGGACCTGCTGCACATTCTTCAGTTGACCCTGCACAGCACTGCTGTCCCCTCCATTCCCGGCATAACCCCAGGTCACGACAGATCCATCGCCAAGAATGGCAGCAAAAGCATCGCTAGTGGCTTGGATCTGCTGCACATTCTTCAGATGATCCTGCACAGCACTACCGTCACCGCCACAGTCTGCATTGCCCCAGGTCACGACGGATCCATCCCCAAGAATAGCAGCGAAAGCATATCCGTTGGCTTGAACCCGGACTTGGTTTATGTGGAACGTTAACCTGTCACCATTCTGCACTCCGGCTTGCAGGACCGTCACACATGCATCTAAAACTCCTGATGCATCCAGCAGACGCCCCGGTCCGACTCCAAGTGCTGCCTGTGCCCGACTTGTCAAGGTCGCCACATCTTCATCCACGTCTGCTTGGAGAGTCGCAGCCTTGCCACTGAGCAACGCAACTTCCACGGCAAGCGACATGTTGCTCAACTGCAACAGTATAGAATTCAAATCAGGGTTGCGAAGGCGATGGTTTGGGGAGAGAAACTGAATAATACAATAAAATGCAACTTAACCAAATATTACATAATATTATATTAGACCATACAACATATTGTAATATAACATACTATATTATAACATACGATACTAAATTATGACATACTGTATTATAGCGTACTATATTAAAACAACCATATTATACTGAAGCACTGAAGACAGGAGCTGGACAGAGGCCATAATAGGGTATTGGGGTACATCATACTATAACTGCAATAAGGAATTTCCAAAATAGTATTGGTAATTATTTAGGCCCCTCTATTAGAGCCAGGAGCAAGCTGCCTCGATGCCAGAACTGCGCAGCAAGAGCTCTGTTATTGGTCGACTTGGTTTAAGGTTTAGGTGTTTAGGGTTGAGGGTTTTAATGTCCAGCAGTGCACTAGAAAAGCACCAACTCACAAGGAAGCTGCAATCGGAACCCTGTACTCGGAACTCGATCAGACTTTTGGGCCTCTTCGTGGGCTACTTGGAGGGTCGGGGGACTTAGTAACTGGTTATCTTAGGGACTTATAAGTACCATAACCCCAATTAGGCTCCCTTTAAGGGCACTTATAAGTCTACCTACTACCTACTTACTAAGTCCCCCGACCCTCCAAGTAAGGCACACACGGCAGAAACGAAGGCTGTCGAAGCATACAATATGTCCAAATACTATGAAAGAGTAGGTTAGGATGTTGGGCCGCAGGCGTAGGGCTTAGGGTCCGAGGTGCCTAATCCAAAGTCTATCGTGCAGGGTCGAACTTTGAAACTTTAGACCACCGGTTATCTAATCAGGTTTATAGCCATCGGATCTTTATATGTGGTGCCTTATGAGAAGAGCTCGATTGATCAGGGGTCTACATTACATGTTAAAGGAGTTTCATAGGATGCTGGACGGGCTTTATGTATGTATGTTAAACTCAAGAATGGAGGTTAGGCCTAACGGTAAATATCGAGATGCCGTATAAGCCCTATATGGTACCCTATTGCCCTAAGCCTCCCAGCAATAGGGTTTAGTTTGTTCTGTTGTTGATGCCATCTGCTTAAGTTAAGCGCCCTTGGACTCAAAATACACAAACAGCTATGTTGAAAACCCTAAACCTACACACTAAACCCCAATAATTCCTGACATCATAGGGACCCTTAGGCAGGCAGGGTCCAGGGGGGGTAGGGGACCCTCCTTTCTTAAATAGCCCTCATTAAAACCTTATTATAGGTATCAAGGCCCCGTACCCCCCTTCCCCCTACCCCCCCCCCCCCCCTAAGGGTCCCTAAACCCCAAACCCTAAACCCCTAAACCCTAAACCCCAAACCCCTAAACTCTAAACCCCTAAACCCCTAAACCCTAAACCCCTAAACCCGAAACCCCAAAGCCCTAAACCCCTAAACCCTAAACCCCTAAACCATAAACCCTAAACCCCTAAACCCCAACCCCACTAAGGGTCCCTAAACCCCAAACCCCTGAACCCTAAACCCTAAACTCCACTAAGGGTCCCTATGAATAAAGTCCAGGAGCATCAGCCCCAGTAGCTCGAAAAGCGGCGTCGGATGCACGGCGTCCTGTTGGGATTTAGGGTTTAGGGTTTAGCGGTTTAGGGTTTGGGGTTTAGGGCTTTAGGGGTTTCGGGTTTAGGGTCTTCGGAAGCTTCGGCTTAGGGCTTAAAAATGTGCTCTGCAAGGCTTTTAAGGTTCCGAAAGCCTGAGGGGTTTATAGGGTTTACAGGGTTGATAGGGTTTAGGGTGCAGGATTTAGGGTTTAGGGTTTAGGGTTGAGGGTTTAGGGTTTAGGGTGCAGGATTTAGGCATTCGGCCCTTGTGCACGTCTTTCCGCAAGAACTTACGACGTTTGTGTTGGGTTCGCAAGGGTTTGTTTACTCCGATCTTTGATCTTCCAATTCCGCTTAACTAACAGAACATACCTTAAAACATAGTAGGATCCCGAATATGATTCAAGGCATACTCCTGAATTAAGGGGTCCCGGAGTCCCGAGGTACCCTCCTCGGAATCGGAGTCGTGTGTTCACCGATGTATCTCAGATTTCGGGCTTCCGCCTTGGGTTGGTTTCCGGGATTGACAAGAGACTGCAACTTCCTCGCAGTTAAAGCATAGCATACTGTACTTGAATGTAGACGTAAGTCAGCGACAACCTATTCGATGTAGATTGCTTTGCAATCTAGCTTCCCAATCATACAGCCACAACACCAAATCCCGAATGCAAATTATAAACCCTCGTCAGACCCTCAATAGAAATCCTGAGCCGCCTACTTAATGCCCCTCCTCTAGACCCCCCTGAGAACCGTAGTAAAGATAATAGTTTGAATTTTAGTATTCTGTTGGGTTTTATATAAATTAAACAAAAATAAAAATAATTCCTAAGGAGACTATAGTCCTAAACCCTAAACCCTGTCTTATTTATAAGCCTCACAGGAGCCCGCAAAGCAACGCCAATACAAACCCGACTGCATCTGGACCAAGGCTTCCCTGAGGATCCGAAACCCTACCGTTTTAAGGGTCAGACCCTCTGATTAAGAGGTCATAACCTACTATTTTGTAGGGTTTGGGGCCACAGGTCATGCTTCATACGCATCCGGGAAGGCTTCTCAAAGACACATTTGGGGTTGGGTTCCGATGTAGTTTTCTTTAAGGGTATCGGGCACTGAAATACACATCCACCTCAACAAACATCACAAATTCCGCCCGCACCAAAACACTGTGCAGCGCCATATAAACCTTCCAGGATCATGCGTCTCAAACAGTTGGGTTGTAAGTTGTAAGTACCCTCATGGGGGACGTACGATACATAGCTATTTTACGCATACGAGCCTACTTGCCAGGCCCCCTGTTTCGTTGAAAAGGCCGAACACCTTAAAACAACAACTAGCTCACTAAATCGCTAAAACTAGAAAACCCACCAAGCAAAACACAATCAAATCCCAAACCCGTTTAGCACCCTGATAAAACAACTATGACATGACATGCAACCTAGATAACAGCCCCAGAGCTGTCCTCAAGTAAATCCCTAAAACCCGTCCCCTACCCAGACCCTCGGGAGGATCTAGAAAGTAGATCCCCGAATTTGGCGCCCTATACTACTAAGGGTACTTTATAGGAACCCCCATTAAGGGATCTACCCTAAAGCCTAAACCCTAAAACCCTATAGATCCCTTAAAGGGACCCTTAAAGAAACCCCTAAAGGAACCCCTAGAGACCCCATGGGCAGACTTTCTGCTTACCGTCTATTGGTTTCACAAGTTCCCCAAACCTTCCAAGAGCCCTTAATCAAGGAATACCTTGGGCTCCAAAAACCTACCGTTTTAAGGGTTCGACCCTCGAATTAAGGGGTCATAACCTACTATTTAGTAGGGTTTGGAGTCACAGGTATACCTTAAACCAAATTAGGGATCCTAGTATAATTTAAGGTAGATTCCTTAATCAAGGGATTTTGGAAGGTCTGGGTTGTACGTCTTCGTAACCTGGGAGATGCTTCAGAGCAGGATCCGTCTTGCAGCGCAATCGCCGAAAGATAAACTCCGCATCCTGAGTACCATTTAGGGTTTAGGGTTTAGGGCATAAACTCTAATCCCTACATCCTGAAGGGAACCCCTAACCAACCCTGAACCCTTGAAGTGTCCTGGAGAGCAATGACTATAAAATCTAACCCCTACACCCTTTAAATGCTGAACCCTTCAAGTGTCCGTTTCCTACTAAGGACAGACACAGTCAACCTTTGGACCTTAGGGGAAAAACGGGGACCCTCCTGGAGGGCGGTAACCATAAACTCCAATCCCTAAGCCCTTTAAAAGCCCTATAAACCCTTTAAACCCCAAACCCTTCAAGTGTCCTGGAGGGCGATGACCATAAACTCTAATCCCTAAACCCTGAAAGGAACCCCTAACAACGCCCAAACCCCAAACCCTTCACGTGTCCTGGAGGGCGATAACCATAAACTCAAACCCCTAGACCCTTTAAACCCTAAACCCTTTAAACCCTAAACCCTTTAAACCCTAAACCTCTCAGGTGTCCTGGAGGGCGATGACCATAAAGGCATCTAAGGCAGCATCGAAGCCCTCCCGATGCCGCCCGGCGTGAACCAAAGCCCTCAGAGGCTTCGGGTTCTTCTTGTTATCAAAGGGGAAAAGGAGGGACCCCTATACCCTATAATTTGAAGGGTTCCTATTATGCTTAACACTAGCCCCCTTTCCGATACTAGCCAAAGATTTAAAAAATATTTGTAAGTACCCCTAGCTATAGAACCCTTTAGAGGAACCCTATATAGACCCCTTATTATAGGAGCCCTTTAAAGGAACCCTAAACCCTAAACACCATTATAAACCCTACTAAACCATTATTCAAAGGGGAAAGGAGGGACCCTTAATGGGGACCCCTACCCTATTATGGGCTATATAATGGGTATATAATAGATATATTAAGGGTATATAATAGGTATATTAAGGGTATATAATCGCTATATTAAGGGTATATGTTCTTGTTGTTATCAAAGGGGAAAAGGAGGGACCCCTACCCTATAATGGGCTATATAATGGGTATATAGCCATATTAGGGGTATATACCTAGGGGTCCTTATTAAGGGTCCCTCCTTTTACCCTTGGACCATTTTAAAGTGCAATGGGCCTTTCGAGACTGCAGCGAGAACACGTCCAGCTCACTCTTGACGAGTGTGCACTGTACACAAAACAAACAAAGTGCCCTCAGTCGTCGGGTTAAAGGGTTGAAGGTTTCGCGGGGTTCAGAGTTTGCTTTTTGGGGGATTTGGGGGGTTCCCCCCAGTTTGTAAATTCCTAAACCCTACGACTAAGCCATCTCTAGAACCTACCTGTGACCCCAAACCCTGCAAACCAGTAGGCGATGACCCCTAAACCCTAAAGCCTAACCTTACCCTAGGGATCAAAATAGCCCAAAAGCCTTATATGGTATGGTCTTTGGGCCCAAAAGCCTTAATATATGAGTCCTTAGATCCCTAAACCCCAAAACCCTCTAAACCCTAAACCCGAGACCCTCTAACCCTCTAAACCCTAGAGCCTAACCTTAGTGCGAAGGCCGAAAGAGCCCTCAAAAACGGTTGACCGTTGAATCCCAGGGCGGGCTAGATCCCCAAACCCTCAAAGGAGGAACCCTGTAGATCCCTTCTAGGAACCCTTCAAGGAACCCTTATAGATCCCTCTAAAGCCATACCTCAACCCCAAATAACCTCCCTTTTTAAGGACTTCTATAAGGAAATCTTACTAGGGAACCTTAAAAAGGAAGGTTTTCCAGGGTCCAGGTAAATCCTCAAAGACAAAACCAATGCCTATACACCGACACTTGTTGTTATTATTATTATTAGTATATTATTAGTACTATTAGTATGATTACTGTTACTTACTAGTATTACTATGATTAAAACTATTGCTATTCTTACTATGATTACTATTATGACTAGTAGTGTTACTCATATTAAAATATTGTTATGACTATCATAATGATGTAGCTTGAGAATTATCGGTAAACCCAGTAACAATCGATCTTCCCCGCCTTGCCAGCCGCTCGCAAGCAGTGCCATACAGTGGGCTCTCGGTGCCGATACTCCTCTCCTGAGAGTTTAGGGCTTTGGGTGTAGGGTTTAAGATTGTGGCTCTAAGGACCACTGGGGAAACTACGCAATCAGGATAAACTTCGGGCCGAGACACCTTCTAGAAAGGGCTTAGGGTCTAGGGATTAGGGTGAGAGTTTCGAGAAAACCTAATGTGTATAAAGGGGTAGTCCTACAATCAAGGGGTCGTATCATAGCTTTTTGTATGGTTAGGAAGGCCTAAAGGGTTCTTCATTAGGATTTCGTTAAAGGGTTCCTTGAAGGGTTGAATTCGAGGGCCCTAGGATAAGATAAGCCTTTATAAACCCTACTTGTCGGGTATCATGGGGAACTAAAGGTTAACCTTTCTGGGTATATAGGGATTCTATTGGGACTACACTACCCCAAAATGGTTAAAGGTTACCTACTCTACTACTAGGAAACCCTAAACCCCTGGACAGTTGGGGTAAACCCTGAAACCTAAACTATTACAAACCCTACTGAACCATACAAACCCTACACCTCTAAACCCTGAACGCTACCAGCACCCCCCAACTACCCTCTATTATACCACAAATACCCACTATTCAAGACCATAAGGGCTCTATTAAAGGGTACTTGGGAGGTGCCTTTATTGAACTTAGACCCCCGAGCAAAGATCATAATTCAAGCTGTTTCTTAAGGATTATACTAGCCAAAGATTTAAAATATATTTGTAAGTACCCCTTACTGTAGAACCCTTTAGAGGAACCCTATATAAACCCCTTATTATAGGAGCCCTTTAAAGGAACCCTAAACCCTAAACACCATTATAAACCCTACTAAACCATTATTCAAAGGGGGAAAGGAGGGACCCAATGGGGACCCCTACCCTATAATTGGCTATATAATGGGTATATAAAAGCTATATTAAGGGTATATACCTAAGGGTCCTTATTAAAGGTCCCTCCTTTTACCATTCCTGTGGCCCCAAACCCTACAAAATAGTAGGTTATGACCCCTTAATTAGAGGGTCTGACCCTTAAAACGGTAGGTTTTTGGATCCCAAGATAAACCTTAAACCCTGAAACCCCAAAACCCTATAGATCCCTTATAGGAGCCCTTAAAGGGAATTATAGACCCTAATCCCCGCTCTGGGCTCCCAGCGTAGAGTGCCCGGGCCTCGGCGAGGTGCTCGATTGCATCCTCATGCCTCTGCGATTGATTTTTGTTTTTGAGGGCTCTTTTCCAACTGGTTAGCAGGAATGCCTTACCAGGCTGAGCCTATGGTTGGGGCCTCTGAAGTTTACAGTACAGGGTTTTGAGGTTGAGGGTCTAGGGTTTGGGGGTTTAGGGTTTAGGGCCCCAAACCCTATAGAATAGTAGGTTATTACCCTTAAAACTCTAGGGTCTAACCCCTAAAACGCTAGGTTTTTGGATCCACAGGTAGGGTTTAGGGGAAAAGGGTTCCTTAAAGGGTTCCCCCTTCAGGGGTTCTACAAGTAGAGCCGATCTATAGACAGAGGCTTGGGGTTCTGGCCGAGCTTACATGTTCTAAAGGGTGTTCATTCATGGGTACCTGTGGATCCAAAAACCTACCGTTTTAAGGGTCAGACCCTCTAATTAGGGGGTCATAACCTACTATTTTGCAGGGTTTGGGGCCACAGGTAGTTCGTATTAGGGTCAAGTAATCATGAGCATGGTTATCTTATTTACAACCCTGGGTACCAAGTCCCATGATCCTTCAATAGGATCTTGCGCATTCTTGGGCTTGTGATAAGAACCTAGAAAAAAGCTCAAGTTATACAGTTCAAGTGATCGCTTGATGGCTCAGGAGATAGGCTTTTGGAAAGCTTCCGTAAACCCTAAACCCTGACTTGTTCAGGCTCCTCAAAGCCTAAAACATCTCAAGACTGCAGAAGACCGAAGCAATGCCGACATTGCGCCAGGACCTGCAATCTTACTTCGAGGTTCATGGGACTTAGTACAGTCTACAGTCATAAGTACCGCAACTGGGATTACAGCTGGTTCGGATGTAGCCATCACCATCATCATCTTCATCATCATCATCATCATCATCATCATCATCATCATCATCATCATCATATATATATATATATATAGCCACTTACTATGTCCCATGAACCTTCAAGCGAAAGTTGAGTATAGTTTAGGGTTGCCCGCCCCCAACCCTAAACCCTGAACCCTAAATTACTAAACCCCAAGCTCTGTACTAAACCCTAAGCCCTAAACCGTAAGACTTAAACACTTAGCCCTAAATCCTGGCCGAGCCTGCCCATGCCGTCGAAGCACATCCCCACCGAGTCTCGGAGCTTTGCGATGGTTACGTCATCCTCCATCGGCCACGTTAAGGGTTCCTTTGTAAGGAGGTTCCCAGAGGCTCCAATATCCCTGTAAAGGGATCTACAAAGGTTCCATTGAGGGTTCCTTTAAGAGATCTATAGGGTTTAGGGTTTAGGGGACTCACTATTTAGTGGACCTCTAGGGCTTAAGGCCGCTAGGGTTCCCTTAAAAGCGTCGAGAGTTCCTTTAAGGGCTTTACTCTCTTCTCCAATAACCAGGCCCGAAAAAAGTTCAGACTTTGTAAGATAGACCAACTACATAAAGCCAAAAAAAATAAAGTTCTCCAATTGGCTAAGTAAGTTTAAGGGCTCCCAGAGACTCCAAGATCCCTTAACTAGGAATATTCCGTCAATCAGATTAGGGATCCTACTATATTTTCCGGTATATTCCTTAATACAGGGATATTGGAGTCTCTGGGTTCATGGACAGCTTCTTTCAGGGTAGTGCAGGGTACGAAAAGGGCTCTATATGGGCATCACCCCCAGACCACACGGTTCAGGATTTACTTGGGGGATCCCCAAAACCTACCGTTTCAAGAGTTCTACCCGCGAGTTTGTAGGGTCATAACCCACTAGTTTGTAGGGTTTGGGGTTTGCGTGAAGGCTGTACCCTGACTGGGATTACAACTTATTGTAGATACAACTACCTGGTTTATAACCCTAGTTACGAAGTCCCATGGTGCCTGAAGCAGGGGTTACGGCTTCAGGGTTGAGGGCTTAGGGCTTTACAACTCAGGGTTTTGGCTTAGGGGGCTTAGATTTAGGGCTGTGCCTTGAGGTATTTAGGGCTTAGCGATTAGGCTGTATGTCACTGTGTTGACATGCAGAGCTCATTTCTGCAATGCCCGGCCCCAGGCCACAATACTAAACATCAGCAAAGTAGTACGACTAATAGTAATGATACTCGTAATAGTAAGGACAATAATCAAGAATGGTAAAGATTTCGGAAAACAGAGCAGGTCACCATAGTTTAAACTCTGTGTATTGTATGCAAGAGTCAGCTGGGCTATGAGATTGAACCGTAAACCCTAGAACCCAAAGTCCTAAACGTGTGGTTTACCTCCTTGGCTGCTTGGTTTCTGTACTACGAATCGGGACTTGAAGTTTCTAGTGTTTTGCCTGCGGACCCCAGAAAGCAGAGAAACAAAAACCATGAGGGTGATGCATGCCGAGGCCCTCTCTTTCAGTAGCAAAGAAGTCAGTCCCTCACCAAACCCTAAACCTGTACACACTACTCGTTTGGCTTACTTCTTGCCTCCCATTTTCCATCTTCCTCTACCTTCCTCTGGCAACTCAAAAGCTTCTCGGCCACTGAAGGCCTAACTGCAGTGAGCAAAAATGTAATATACAGTCATTTATAATCCAAATAGTGTTCCTTTAAGAGGTCCGATATACGAGTGAAACATGCAAGGGGTATTATGCGGCTTTTTACAGGGCCTTAATATTGGAATAGGCAAGGATTGAGTGGGTTGAACCGGTTCTGGTCTATAAGAGATATTATAGAGGTGGAGTACATAAGGGCCTTGTGAATTGGAATGTTTTTTGGTGGTATTTGTGTAATTACATACACATACATATGCATATACACATATGATTCATTGTGTATAAATAGAAACCGTAAGGGATCTGATCTAACGGATCTAAAGGCCGTTAGAAACCCCTCTACGGCTTGTTAACCCCGCTACTTGCAAGCAGTACGGTCATAGAGCACTATTGAGAAACCCTGACAAATAAGCTTGGCAATATTCAGGCCCAGGCATAAATGCCTCATGTTGCCTCTTACAGTGACCCGAATGGTAACCGTTAAAGAACCCTTTAACAAAACCCTCTGAAGGAACTTTTTGCGGAACCCGTTCCTTCAAGGACCCTACTTAGAGGTTCATGGGACATAGTACACGCAGTTAGAAGTCAGAAGTACTTATGAAGTTATAAACCTTAACTACCAAGTCTCTAAGTCCCATGAACCCCTTCTAGGTTCATGAGTAGCCCCTTCTATGATAAAGGGGCCCCCTTTTCCTACTACTCGGTTGGCTTTAACAACAAAGAAACTCAGAAACAAGAAGTGCAAAACGGTACTACTCAGGAACTCAGTACTCCATAATTCGTCAGGCACTGATAGTTCTTAAAAACCTCACCGGTTGCCTCGGCCTCCGGCCCGTCTCTCCGACGAAGTCCGCCAACCAAAAACCCTACGGTTTATAGTAGAAGCCAGAAAGTTGTAATATGGTTTCAGGGTAGGATACCTCATAATTTACCACAAAAGGTTTAGGATAACCATATTCCAACTTTCTGGCTTTTACTGTAGGGCTTAAATTTAAAACCCCAAAACAAAACCCTAGGCCCTAAACCCGAATCGCTGAACAACCGCAACATGAGCTCTGAACCCCAGCAGAACCTCAATAAACGACCCAACAAACTAAACCTCCCTTAACCCTGAACCCTTAAAATTATAGTAGAAGCCAGAAAGTTGGAACATCAATATCCTTATGCTCTTAAGGTAAAGTATAAGGGATTCTAGCACTAATCCTCCTAAAACAATGTTCCAACTTTCTGGCTACTACTATAAGGGTTTTGGGCCAACGGCTTTGGGGATCCCCGGGGCCTCCGGATCGTCTCTGATGAAGGCCTCAAGGGCCTGCTCCAACAACGGGGCAGCCTGCCGAAGAGGACCAGGGTTTAGGGTTTAGGGTTTTAGGGTTTTAGGGTTTAGGGGTTTAGGGGTTTAGGGTTTAGGGTTTAGGGTTTAGGGTTTTAGGGTTCAGGGTTTAGGGTTTTAGGGTTTAGGGTTTAGGGTTTTAGGGTTTTAGGGCTTAGGGTTTTAGGGTTTAGGGGTTTAGGGGTTTAGGGTTTAGGGTTTTAGGGTTTTAGGGCTTAGGGTTTTAGGGTTTAGGGGTTTAGGGGTTTAGGGTTTAGGGTTTAGGGTTTTAGGGTTTAGGGCTTAGGGTTTAGGGTTTAGGGTTTTAGGGTTTAGGGTTTAGGGTTTTAGGGTTTTAGGGCTTAGGGTTTTAGGGTTTAGGGGTTTAGGGTCTCAACAAACGGGGGCTTTTAAAGTTTTAAAGGGTTTCCTCAAGGGTTCTGTTTAACAGTCCCCTTACGAATTCCCAATGAGGGTTCCCTTTGAGGGTTCGTGTAAGGGTACCCTTTAAGAGGTCCATTTTCTGGGTTCCTTTAAGGGTTCCATGTTAAAGAACCGTCAAGCCTCCATGACGGGCTCCATCTTATGGCCAGCCCAAAAGAGTTACCTTTTCAATTTTGGTACGGTTGATGATATAAATCCTGCATTACCCATAATACGGACTATGCCATAATTCCCAGAGCTTAGGGTCCTTAAAGTAATGCAGGATTTATACTATCAACCGTAGCCCTACACCCCTCAACCCTCTACCCTAAACCGTAACGACGTGTGGGTCGCGTTGGCGTACTTGGAAGGGCAGGGGACTTAGTAAGTAGGTTATAAGTAGAGTTATAAGTACCCTAAATGGAGTTACCCCAATTATAACCCTACTTATAACCTACTTACTAAGTCCCCTGCCCATCCAAGTAGACCCTAAACCCTAAACCCCATAGATCCCTTTTAAGGAACCCCTATAGATCCCTTTAAGGAGCCCTACTTACTAAGTCCCCTGCTCTTCCAAGTAGAGTACTAAGGCCCCGGAAAGATCCAAAAAGAGGATCCGCGAAGTTGGGACCTTTTTAGGGTTCTAGGGTTTAGGGCTTTAGGGTTTAGGGTTTAGGGTTCTAGGGTTTAGGGCTCCTATACTACTATAAGGGTGCATTGCAGGAACCCCTTTAAGGGATCTACTATGGCTCTGGGGAAGTTGTAAGGTTTGTTTGGAGATTTCGTAACGACGGTATTAAAGGGCTTCCCAGAGACTCCAATATCCCTTGATTGAAGAATACTTCTTAAATCATACTAGGGATCCATCCTACCATAACTTATACTATGTTCCCTTACATGCCTTTATAGAACCTTATAGATTGCTTAAAGGAGCCCTTAAGGAACGCTTAGGTGTGTATTCTGTAATGACAGCAAGAGATAAAGGGTCTCTGGCTTCGACGGTTAGTATCGGTACTTTGGGCCTTCCTACTTATTACCACTACATTAGGGAACCCTGAAGAGTAAAGTTACTGATTTAGGGGTGTAGGGTTTAGGGATGTTTAGGGCTTAGGGCCTTATACAAAGCCCAAACCTGGACAACTCCAGCTATGGAAAGTCCAGTGAAGACTTACCTCCAATTTGGACATGTGCAGTGGTGCAGGAACATGGACCTCATCGTACTCCTGCTTGTGCATGGCGACGATGCCCAAGTTCCACAAATCCTGCCATGTCCGACAGACATAGGGATCCTTAGGGGTGGGGGAGGGGTGAAGGGGACTATATTTCCTTAAATAAGCCTTATTAGTCCCTATTATGGGCCTTAAGGCCCCCTACCCCCCCTCCCCCTACACCCCTAAGGATCCCTATGAGACAGACACCCGCATGCAGCTCAAAGGCAAGAGTCCTACAAAAGTAGGTCATGACCCTTACAATTACAGCGATCTTTCAGGGATGCAACACTCTTCCTGCATTCGGGTGACTGGCGAGGCGGGGATCCCGGCAGAAGGCCGGCATGACGGTCGTCTTAGGATGCAACTTTAGGGATCCACTTTGGGGTTCTTGTTGAGAATTAATCTGAGCCCTAAACCCAAAACCCCTAAACCATCATAGGGAACCATAAAACTGACTATAGATCCCTATACTCCGTATGGCAATTACTTAACTGTAAAGTCCAGGTTTTAAACCTTTCCCGCGCCGCTTCGTGCCCTGCCGGCTGCCGCCCGACGAGAACCCTAAACCTCAACCCTGAAACCCTGTGGATCCAAGAACCTACCGTTTCAAGAGCCGAATTCTATCGTTCAAGGGTCATAACCTACTATTTACCGATTCAAAGGCTAGAAACTATAATTCAGGGGTCATAACCTTCCATTTTGCAGGATTTGGGGCTACTAAACCCTCAACCCGTGAATCCTAAACCCTGAACCCTACAACCCTAAACCCTAAACCCTAAACCCTACAACCCTAAACCCCAACATCCTGAACCCTAAAACGAGAAACTGTTCCTGGGGATCCGAAACCCTACCGTTTTAAGGGGTTCTACAAGGGCTCCTTTAAGGGTTCCGATAAGGGATCTATAGGGTTTTAGGGCTTAGGGTTTACCTGGGGATCCCTAACCTCTAATTAAGGGGTCATAACCTACTATTTACCGATTCAAAGGCTAGAAACTATAATTCAGGGGTCATAACCTACTATTTTGTAGGGTTTGGGGCCACAGGTTGGAGGATTCTGGAGCCATTTGGGACTTACTAGCGTACTGGATTCCTTACGGGCGGGGGCTTAGGGCCTCCTAAAAGGGCTCGGGTCTACTTGAAGGTACAGGGGCTTAGGAACGAGGGCTCCTTTCAAGGGTACTTTCGGGTTCTATATTAGGGTTTCCTGCAAGCGTTCCTTCACCGGCTTAGGTTGTAAGGTCTACTTCAAGGTTCATGGGACTTCGTAACTAGGGTTGTCAACTTACTACCCCAATAAGGCACAGAAATACAAGGTAAACTTTCCGGCTCCTACTAAGCTATAAGAACCCAAAAAGTTTAAAGGTTAGGTATTGGGGATCTAAGTCAATGAGGTAGTTATAATAAACAGAATTGGGCCCAGGCATGGTCCTTACGAAGACCCATGATCCTTCAAACAGCGAAAAACCTACCGTTTTAAGGGTCAGACCCTCTAATTTAGGGGCCATAACCTACTGTTTTGTGGGGTTTGGCGCTGCAGGTTGGGTTTGGAGACCTGGCCGGCCCTTTCACATTTCTGCTTGGCCCCGGCGGCTGCGACCGCCCTCATCAGCGGCTCCGACGGATCCCTCATCATTTTTCTCACATCCATGGTGTACTGAACATGGTCGGAGTACTTGCCGTGCAAAAACCCCGGCAGGAGCGAGGATCACAATGCACAGATGCCGCAAGTACAGATCTTGCATCCTTGAGCAGCTCTGAAGAGTGTAAACCTGCTCAAGCACTCAAGGTCTGAGCAAGCCAGCTGCCATCCACTGCTGCGCCACAATGCCCTAAACCCTAAAACCTAAACCCTAAACCCCTAAACCGTAAACCCCTAAACCCTAAACCCCTAAACCCTAAACCCCTCAACCCTAAACCCAAAAAAACCCTAAACCCTAAACCCCTAAACCCCAAACCCCTAAACCCTAAACCCGATTAACCATCCTGCAGTTCAGCCTGCTCTCGTCACATGTGGCATCAGAGGGTGTTTAGATCCGGTTTAGGGTTTAGGGCTATTAATGTAGACCCCAGAGGAAAAACACTTCTTAAGACTGACTATGATGGGATTCACGTCTAGATGCACTTCGGGATTGAGAGCTTATTTGGCAGGAGTCTGCATTACAAACCTGAACCCTGATACCGGTACCTAAATCAATCCTATAAACTTTTTAGGCCTGTTACAAGCGCTAAACCCTGAGGGTTTAGTATGAGGAGCTTAATGAATAGAATAGGGTTTCGGTGTACATGAGAATACAATCATAATAAAGAATTCTGATAAATAAGGCTGGTAATCATTGAGGCGTTTGTATTATCCCTGAACCCCCGAGCTAAGGGTCCATGCAACTAGTTGCATAATTCTTATCTAGCAAACCTTTTTAACGTCAACGTGCATATCAAGTACTTTATGGTATAGCACATATGTCGGCCGTAGCTGCTGTCCTTATGTCACGCTTGCGTTTAGAGTCTACTTGGAGGGTCGGGGGACTTAGTATGTAGTTATTTTATAGACTTTATACTTATAAGTAGCATAACCCGACCACTAAACTCGCGGATCTCTACTGAAAATGAGACCCCGCCCTTAGAACCATAATGAAAATACTGTTTTTGGTGTTGTCCTCTTGGGTTTTATATGAACAAGATGAACATAATTCCTGAGGATACTTTCGTACTCCTCAGGGGACTATAGTAGTCCTCCATTCCCGAAAGCCTAAGCTTTGGAGCCGAAAACCCTACCGTTTTAAGGGTTCTACCCTCGAACTCAGGCGAAGGCCAAAAGTCCCGCCTCCTGGTTCCCCAGTGGCCAATGCAGGAATTGTCAGCGACGATAATACGGTCGCCCTTAAAGGATCCTACAAAAAGAACCCTTGAGGACCCCCTTTGAGGAACCCCGTTTAAGGAACCCTTCAAGGACCACCCTTTTAAGAATTCCTCTAAGGACCCTAAGAGCACCCTTAAGGAACCCTTACAGGGCCTACAAGCACCCTCAAGGACCCCTTTAAAGCACCCTGGGCCCCTTTTCAGAAACCCTTTAAGGAGCCCCTTTCCTAGGGTTTAGGGTTTAGGGGTTTAGGGTTTAGGGTTGGTCCAAGGGCCCTCTTAAGCGTCTTTTAAGGACCCCTGTAAGGATTCTTTTCAGGGACCCCCCTTTAAGAGTCCCCAAAAGAATTCCTTCTAAGGAACCCCTTAACCCTAAGGCTCCATGTGCCCATATAGTATATACTTTTGCCTCAAAGTACCTATATAGGGACTCCTTTTCGGCCCTAAACCCTAAACCCTAAACCCTAAACCCCGGCTTAAGTATCTACTATAAAGGCACCATGGATCCTTATACCCCTAAACCCAGAAAGAACGCTTATAGAACCCCTTAAAGGAACCCTTCTTGAACTCGTAAAGGAGCCTTTATAGAGCCCTTAAAGGAACAAATTAAAGGTACATCTACACTTAAACCATAAGCCCTATAGAACCCTTTCAAGGAACCCCATAAAGGAACCTTTAAAGGGAACCCTAAAAAGGTACCATGGAACCCTTTCTGAGCGCCTCCTTCTCGCGGGCGCCCACGAGGTTCGAGGCTGCCTCGAAGTAGATCTTCGCCTGCGCTTAGAGGCCTCCTTTAAGGGCCCCTTCCAAGGCCTCCTTAAAGGGCTCCTTTAATAAATTTAAGGGAGGGATCACTAAAGGCCTCCTTACAGGGCACCTTTTAAGGGATTCTCTAATGGATCCTATACTTTAAAGGGATCCTGTAAGGCATCCTTCAAAGGATCCTATAAGGGATCCTTTAAGGGATCCTATAAGGGATCCTTTAAGGGATCCTATAAGGGATCCTTTAACTAGTTTAAGAGGCCTGACAGTAGGAGTCTGTAGGGTTCCATAGAGACTATAGTGTTGGGGGCAGGGTATGATTTACGTAAGCCTCTACAAAAAAAAGCCCCTGAGTATAGCAAAACACATGGATACAAAACACCATAACACCTAAGAGCTCAAGAACATGACGGACCCTGATGTAGAACAAAAAATACGTAACAGTATGTACGGTTTAGGATGCAGAAAAGTACAAATTACCTATTACAAAGATCCCTAGAAATGGACCCCGCAACCTCCTCAAGACTTACAGATGCCTGGAAGACGCTTTGAAGCACCTGTAGAACCCGAAAAATGGCCCCCAAAAAACCCATAAAACGGCTTGTAGAAGATCCATAGAAGCCTTTCAAGAACATTTCTCTTTCAAGAATCCTTTCAGGCACCCCTTGAACCCTTTTGAACCCTAATCCCCATACTTGGAGGGTCGGGGGACTTAGTAACTGGTTATTTTGGGGACTTATAAGTACCATAACCCCAATTAGGGTCCCTTTTAGGGTACTTATAAGTCTACTTACTACCTACTTACTAAGTCCCCCGACCCTCCAAGTACCCTAAACACTGTAGTCAGAGCCCTTGAACTACCCAACAAGGAACACTGCGAAAAAACCCTGTCACCACAGAATAAGTCTCTCAAACGCCAAATCTACAACCCCGGGGCACTGCCGTATTGTCACAGGCATCGCATGTGGACTCCATATCTCCGGTTTCGGCTTCCTGGGTTCGCACAGTTTCGGTGTACAGTAGAAGCCAGAAAGTTGGAATATCATTATCGTAACCCCTTTAAGGCAAATTATAGGGGATCCTACCATTAATCCATATTCCAACTTTCTGGAGTTCTCTTTATACAGTTGAGCCTGGGCCTGAAAATAATGGTTCAGTTTCCGAGGTGTTTTTGGACTACTGGTCTTCGGAAGCCCAACTTGTCTCACTGTCATCATCACTGTCACCACTGCCGGTAGCACCACCCCAGGTGACGACAGATCCATCACTGAGAACGGCAGCAAAAGCCTTAAGAGTGGCTTGCATCTGCTGCACGTTCGTCAGCTGATCCTGCACAGCACTGCTGTCACCACCAAAGTCAGCATCACCCCAAGTCACAACTGATCCGTCGCTCAGAATGGCTGAAAATGCGTGGTGAGTGGCCTGGATCTGCTGCACATACTTCAGCTGTTCTTGCACAGCACTACTATCGCCACCGGAGGCAGTTTTCCCCCAGGTCACGACCGATCCATCGCTGAGAATGGCAGCAAAAGCGCTGCTTGAGGCTTGGATCTGCTGCACATTCTTCAGCTGAGCACCACGGTCACCGCCGAAATCAGCATCGCCCCAGGTCACAACGGATCCATCTCCGAGAATGGCAGCAAAAGCGCTGCCAGAGGCTTGGATCTGCTGCACATACTTCAGCTGATCCTGCACAGCACCACTGTCACCGCCGAAATCAGCATCACCCCAAGTCACAACGGATCCATCTCCGAGAATGGCAGCAAAAGCGCTGCCAGAGGCTTGGATCTGCTGCACGTGCTTCAGCTGATCCTGCACAGCGTGGCTGTCACCGTCAAACTTAGCATTACCCCAGGTCACGACGGAACCGTCGCCGAGAATGGCAGCAAAAGCGCTGCCAGAGGCTTGGATCTGCTGCACGTGCTTCAGCTGATCCTGCACAGCACTGCTGTCACCACCAGTCCAGGCAGCACCCCACGAGACAACGGATCCATCGCTAAGAATGGCAGCAAAAGCACCTACAGTGGCTTGGATTTGCAGCACATTCTTCAGCTGAGCCTTCACGGCACCTACTGTCCTCGTCTGATGATCTCCCCAAGTCACGACGGACCCATCGAAAAGGATGGCGGCAAACGCTGAGTGGGAAGCTTGGATGTTTTGCACACCTTTCAGCTGATGCTGCACAGCCCGACTGTTACCACCATCGGTAGCACTCCCCCAGGTCACAACGTGCCCGTCGGCAAGAATGGCAGCAAAAGCACTACCAGTACCTTGTATCTGCTGCACGTTCTTTAGCTGATTCTGCACAGCACTACTTTGACCGCCATTTTTACTATGACCCGACGTCACGACAGATGCATCTCCAAGTATGGCTGCAAAAGCGCTTTCAGTGTGACATACTTGAACTGGACTGAGTTGTAGCGTCAGTGAGTCACCATTTTGCACCGGGATATCCCTGATCAGTGAGCAAGCATCCAGAAAATTTCCGGATGAGTCAACCAGCCGCCCTTTTGCAACTCCAAGGACAGCCTGCGCCCGAAGAGTCAATACTTCCAGTTCCTCACCCAAGCCTGCTTCGATCGTTGCGGTCCTGCCGCTGAGCAGTCGAATTTCCACAATGACCGACATGTCGCTTCCGACAGCCCCAAGTCAAGAAGTCTGAGTTGCCATCCTGAACCCAAAACCCTAAACCCTGAACCCCGAACCATAAAACCTTGATATTTAAAGGTTGGAGTAGACCCCAGTCACAAAGGGTCCCCAGAATTCTTAGTGTTCAAGGATTAAGGCTTCGGGCTTCGGGTGTAGAATGTAGGGTTTAGGGTTTAGCGTGTAGGTGGGTTGAGGGCTTCTGCCAGAAAGTTGAGACGTCTAGTCGAGAATCAAGCTCGGCTGAACCATTTGAGCCTCAAGTTGGTCGGATTTGGGATGTAGAGGTCAGGATGCACTTACAGTAGGAGGGATTAGGGCTTAGGGGTTAGGGCTGAGGGTTTTTGGGTGTAACGTTCGGGGTACTGCAAGGGCTCTTCAATCTGACCCTAAACCTCCAATCCCCAAACACCAAACCTCTGAACTCTCAACCACAAACCCAAGGGTCCTTCTTAGCGGTTCATGGGACTTAGTAGCTAGGGTTATAAATAAGGTAACTAGACTTGCGACTAACTATTTGAGGAGGGTGTCAAGCATTCTCCAGGGCTTTTTAGTTTAGCTGCTGAACTCATAAGCCCAAAAAATGTATGCACTCAGCTACTAAGTTCGGCTTCCTGACGGATTCGAAAGGGCCTTCTTAACGGTGCATTTAAGGATTGTGGGTAGTTGTAAGTTTCCAAGCAGCCGCACATCGGAAAACCGCCGTAGGTGGGCTGTAGGCTTCTACATTTGTCATCGCTCCAGGAGTGCGGGGTTTTAGGGTTCAGGGTTCTGGGGTTCAGGGTCTACCCGGACGTTCGTGGGATTTAGCAAGTTAATTGGGGTGACCACTACTTACCATAGTTACAAACCTCGTAACTGATCCTTGCTGAGCCCCATGAATCTTCAAGTAGGAATTGAAACTTTAGGCCGTCAAGTGTTGTGGGAACCTCTACCCAAACCCCCGGGAGGATCCAAAAAGTAGATCCCTTAATGGGGGTTCCTATAAAATACCCTTAGTAGTGTAGGGCGCCAAATTAGGGGATCTACTTTCTAGATCCTCCCGGGGGTCTGGGTAATTTCACCCTTCAATGCATCGAAGGGGGATCTGCTTTCCCGATATTAGTCTAAACTTACTGCTTAAGCTGGGTCGTGTACAGTAGCTTCGAGCCAAATAATGCATACTATATAGGCACTGGGCCCCATACCACGTGGGTACCATGGACCCGAGACTTAGCTAAATTAGCTCCTAAACGCCAGTATGCGCTTGCTGCGACTTGGGTAGTTCTGTTAAAAAAAAGGACCCCCAAAGCGACCCTAATTTAGTATCCGTTTGTGCGAGATGCAAGCAGCCTTATCATGCTCGCGCAGCATGTTGTAGACAGTGCCCAAGTTTCGCAAGGTTGCCTCCTGGATGCTCGGTTCGCGTCCGGGGCTTTAGTGCCAGGGCTCAAGGTTATCTTATGGCTGGATATTCTAAGTGTGCACCACGGACATGTCTAGGCATTCAACCGACAGGTTGAAATCCTTTGTGGTCTACACGACTCAAACCGTGCACCTATGCAAAGGGTACGAGAACCGCTGCTGGGGCATTACTAGAACGTGCGTGAAGGGCTGCTGGTGAACATGCACTTTCGAAAACATGGACACCCGATAGTACTACGGTATACGCATAAGTAACAGTATGTAGGGAATTGACAGGGGCCTTGGTAGTTGCTCACCCCATCTCAACTAACTAGAAACGCCGAAACCCTGAACTCTCATCTTCAAGCCCTCTCAAGCCTTAAGAAGCTGAAACGTAAACCCCGGAAACCCGACCTCTGTGCCCAAGTACCCAAAAGGCAATCAGAAATCTAAAGCCTCCAGCAACACCAAGTGAACGAATTGAAACACTGTCAGAACCCTACGCCCTTAACCCTATAAGAACACCTATGAACTGATTCTGATGATATAATATGATCTCCAACCCAACAGGTGTGTACATATAAAATATTCTTGCATGAGTCTATATTCCCAAACCCTATTCCAGTTACAACCGCCACTACATCGATACCCTAGGCCCTAATTCAACCCTAAGCTCAAACGCCAGCACCCTAAAAACCCTTAACAAGACCGAAAACAAACCTCTCAGCGCCAGGCGTGAGGCGGCGTCCGCTTTGCCACCTCCTGCCAGCCAGCTTGGAGGTATGAATCTGTGCAATATAGAGGCCTTAATCAGAATCGGGTTTGGGGGCCATTATAATATAATAATTGTAATTTATAATTACAATCAGCAACCCCCGACATAGTGTTGGTAATTATTTAGGCCCCTATAGTACTTGCGCTACGGCTCCATGTACCTATATAGTTTATTAAGGTGATGATACTCAGGTCTCGGGTAACTTACTACCCCAATAAACCACAGAAATAAAAGGTTAAACTTTCCAGTTCCTACTAAGCTATAAGACCCCAACAGGTTTAAAGGTTAGGCATTGGGGCTCTAAGGTAAGTAAGCTTTACATGGCAATCGAATCCTAACCCTTTGTGAGGTGCTTAAAGGTTCATGGGAGCCAGAACTGTTAGTAACTAGGCTTACGAATAACGTATCTATATCCATCATCAGTTGGCATCCCAGTGAAGGTTCACCTTAATATCTGATACACTTCGGCCAGAACTTCGTAAACAGCTGAAACCCTCATCATCCTTCTTGCCTTAGAGGTCCAAGCAGCAAGCAGCTACTAGCAAACATCTTCTCCGACTACCCTGAGCAGGTTCTGGAAACTTGAACTGTTCATATCCCCTCGGCCAGGACGGTTCAGGGTTTAGGGTTTCTTGCAACTCTAGACCCCAAGTCCCAACCTCTCAATCCTACCAACCCGAAGGCCGTAACTAACTCAAAACCATATAGGCCCTATACAACCCTAAACCCCCACACCCCTGTAGATCCCTTGTAGACAACCTTCAAAAGGAACCCTAAACCAAAAGCCCTACAAGCCCTAAACCATTCCCCCACCCCCCCCCCCCCTGGCAACGCCACCCAAAGCCTCCAATAGCCTTTACCTCTCTTCTTTAACAACCGGGCCCCAAAAAGTTAAAACTTTCCAGGATGGGGCTAATATATAAGGCCAAAAAGTTGAAAGCTCCCCCGTTCACCATCTAAGTTACTTAGGGAATATACCCTAAATCATATGCGGGATCCTCGCAAAGTTCACGGTCTATTTCCTCGGTTCCCCAGTAGCCCCTCAATAACAGGGGTACCCGTTGTCCTACTATTTGGTTTTAAGAAGGTAAAGAGGGAACCCAAGAAAGGGCAAAAGGGTGCTACTCTGGAACCTAGATTTGGGTACATGAACCCTTAAATCCTAAGCCCTGATGGTAATCTGGGTACTACTTTACGGCCAACGTGTATGCAATTTGTTTCCTTACATCAACGCATATTGGAAAGTCTCTGCCAATGTGGGCGCCTCCAGGAGGGGGGCCGCCTCGGCCTGAACAGGGGGTTTGCTTGGAGGTTCATGGGACTTAGTAAGTGAGGTTACAAGTACCTTAATTGGGGTTATAAGTAATTATAAGTATGGTTACCTTACTTTAAACCCCAATTACTAAGTCCCAGATCCTTTAAGTAGGGTTTAGGGCAGGGAAGAAGCTGCTTAGTAGGCCATCATCACGAAGCCCCGGAAGGATCCAAAGTAGATCCTCTAATCTGGGACCCTATAGTACTGGAGGGTACATTATAATTCTGAGTTGTCCTTTAAGCCCTTTGAAAATTATTTACTATTATGGTTCTCTACAAAATAGTAGGGGATATTAAAAAAGATCCCAAATGACAACCCAGAATTATAGGAACCCCTTTATGGGATCCATGTCTTGGATCCTCCCAGGGGTGTGGGATAAGGATGTACGAGAAGTACCCTTGTCCAGTGTCCTAGATTTAAAGGTAAACCCCTAAACCCTAAACCTGTCCTAGGATTTAAAGGTAAACCTTTGGGCGCGTATTGGTCCGATAGCACCCCGGAAAGGTTGAAGGTCACTTACGCTACTACTAGGAAAATTATTCTAACAATGCGTATGGTAATGACAACTGTGAAAATGCTACTCATGGCAATCACCATTACAAGGTATGTACTTTACAAGCACACAGGAATAATATGCACACATGCATACATGCGTGAATCCACCCAGAAGTTTCCAAAAATGGATCTCCTTCGATGGTCAGGGTTAAGTTGGAGGATCTTGGGACATAGTAAGTAAGGTTATAAGTACCTTCACTGGGGCTATATGTAAATATATATGTATGGCTACGCTGTTATAGCCTTACTTAGTCCCATGAACCTGAAAGGTTTGGAAGGCTGTAACGGAACAAGGTCCCGCACCGTTAGCGGTTTAGGTTGCAGGAATTAGGGCTAAGGATTTATATGGTTTCGGGTCTAAGGAACCCGGTTAAGGCCTTTGTTGGTACTATATCACTACGTGGGTACATGGAGCCGTCGGGCTCGTCAGATCAAGCCAGCTGTGCTCTTTGGAGTCCTTGATGGCCAACTCTGCCGTCTCGCACAGCAATGCAACTTCATAGGGACCCATTGAGGGGGCTAAGGCAGAGGGGGGTAAGGGACTAAAATTCCTTAAATGGGCCTTACTACGTCCTTTTTATGGGCATTCCCTATCCCTTTAAAGGAACCCTTATGTGCATTAAGGCTCCCTACCCCCCCCTCCCCGTGCCCCCGTAAGGGTCCCTATGACAACTTGGATCTGAGCCGCTGGAGCACTAGTTACCCAGAGACCCCAATACCCCTGAATCAAGGAAGACCTCGGGCTTAGGGCTCCTTTAACGGATCCAAAAGGGATCTATAGGGCTTAGGGTGTAAGAGATTCAAAAACCTCTTAATCAAGGAATGTGCGTTAAATCTGATTAGGGATCCTACTATAATTTATGGTCTACTCCCTATAACTATTAGGCGATAATGGACTCTCTGGGTAACTGATTTGGAGCTTAGAGCCAGTGTTCGCACCCAAACGAAAGGACGAAGCTCGGCGACACTGCCGCACTTCTGCATGAGCGTTTATCTGAGACTGTAAACGTCTTCACGAGAATTCGCGCAAGTTGCTAGTACCTAGCTGACTATGCTTCGTCTTAGCGATACCAGAAACCGTAAACCCTAAACCGCTAATGAAACCCTAAACCCCAAAAGCCACACCCCAAACCCGTCAACTCTCCCGTCAACTCTGTTACTACCTAAGCGCCCCACACCCCAAACCGCTAAACCCGTGTCTTCCCACAAGATAGTAGGTCGCGACCCTCGATTAGAGGGTAGAGCCCTTAAAACGGTACCCAGGTATGCATCAAGCCCATAAACACCAAGCCCGCAAACCCTTAGAATAATTCGAACCTCCTGCACCCACCCCTGAACCCGTACCAGGTTTCCGGTTTAGGGTTGGGGGTTTAGGGTTTGCTTTAGGGCCCTCAAGCCACCGAACATGGCGCAGTGCCGTTGCACCTCACAGGATTAAAGCCTACGAAGCCTTTATCCATAAACCCCATGAGCCAACTACATGTTTTGAAACAACGCAATCGAAACAGCCTCTACAACTCTCCACCTAGACCTTTTCACTGAACCCTAAACCTTAAGCCCTAAACCATCCTAAACCCTAAGCCCTACCTCTACCTGTAGCCCCAAACCCTACAAAACAATAGGTTAGGACCCCTAAAACTTATAAGGCCTAACCCCTAAAACAGTAGGTTTTCGGATCCCCAGGTAGATCTTAAACCCTCAACCATCCTAAACCCTAAACCCTAGACCTTAACCTCTGAGCTCCGAAGCAGACCTGGCGATTCTGCTTGCACCGCAGCGTGGCCAAGTCCTGCAGGAACTTGACCTCGGAGGGTTTTGGGGTCTCAATGGGTGGGTTCAGGCCCTAAATCCAAGGGGAAACGGAGGGACCTCCCTAGGTGTATACCCTTAATATAGCCATTATATACCCATCATATAGCCCATTATAGGGTAGGGGTCCCCATCAAGGGTCCCTCCTTTTCCTCTTTGACTAAAGATTAATTAGGAGGGATCTATAGGGGTTTAGGGTTCCTGAAAAAGGATCTATAAGGCCTTAGGTCCCTTAAAAGGATCTATAAGGGCTTAGGGTTCTTGTAAAAGCTAGACCTAAGAGTAACCTTGGAATAAAAGGGTGCCCCTTGTGGTATAAAGAGTGTTATAAGGGGACATGAACCCTAAAAAAGGGAATAAGGGCCCACTCTGGGTCCGAGTGTAAAAGTTTCCTGAGAAGTTTGCCCAGTAAAGGCTATAATCTTGTTCTTTAAGCTTCTATAGTAGTTGGGTTGAGGGTTCAGGTCTACTCTTTAGGGTTCGGGATTTAGGGTTTAGGGGCTCAGGTGTGCGGTTAAGTCTTTGGTTTGGGCTTTGCACCCAAGTGCCCTCTAATAGAGCCCTTATGGTCCGTAATAGCGGCTATTTAAGGTAGAATAGAGGGTAGTGGGGCGGGCTAGGTGAAGGGTGTAGGATCAAGGCTTTCGAGTTTCAGTCACCGGCTGCAGGATTGGGCTTCGGGATTCAGATTCCCCAAGGGTCCATGTTAGTGTTAAGGGCTCAGCATTCAAGGCGACCTATATAGACCCTAAATCCTAAGCCCCGAAAGATAACGCTATTTTGGATCCCCAAAAGCATCTAAGTCCCCTGAAGCTCAAGTATAGCATACAAACTTCGACCTGAACCGAATTCATGTGTATATATCTGTATATAGACACTGGCGACTCCGGGACAAACGGGGCTGGTGCTTAGCATTGAGGCTTGAGACAAATTGAAACCTTCCTACGTGAAGTTCATTTGCATTTAGGATTGTGCGTGTGTGTTGCTTGTTGCTTGGTTTTCTGCGTCCGTAAACCCGGAACCCTAAACCCTAAGCCCTAAACCCGGAACTCTCAACCCTAAACTCTGAACCATAAACCCTAAACCGGAACCCTTAACCCTAAACTCGGAACCCTAAACCTTAAACCCAAAGCCCACAAGCTTTGACAGGGCGTTGACAGGGACTGCGTGGGTTCGAATGTTTCCTGTCGCACCTACACATCAAGCTAAGGGTCGAAGGCTGATTCCGTTTAGGGTTTAGGAGTTTAGGGTTTAGGGGTTTAGGGTTTATGGGTTTAGGGGTTAGGAGTTTAGGGGTTTAGGGTTTAGGGGTTTAGGGGTTTAGGGTTTAGGGGTTTAGGGTTTAGGGGTTTAGGGGTTTAAGGTATAGGGGTTTAGGGGTTTAGGGTTTAGGGTTTCGGGTCGCAACTACGAGCCGCAATTCTTGAGGTGCCAACAGGAGCATTGGTCTACGAACTCTTCTGGACTAATGAGAGCGTAAGAGGTCTAGACAGGGAGTTTGCTTTGGAGCAGCGCCAGCTCTTCTTCTTCAACATGACTTGGAGTGCATCGGGTCGTCTCTCAACTTTGCGGGGGGATCCTAGGGTTTAGGGTTCAGGGTTTCAAACGATAGGGTCTGATTAAGTTTTAGGGCTTCTTGTTAAAGGCCTTGGGGCACAGAGTTGTCCTCTGGAACAAACTGGTGACAGCGTCCACACTGCTCTCCAGTCTTCGCTACGAGGTATACCTGTGACCCCAAACCCTACAAAATGGTAGGTTATGACCCCTAAGCGGTCGGCTAGGTCTCCAGCATCGGCGTGGTTGGTGATGGCGCAGATCCCGCCGTAGAGTCGGTCCATGATGACTCTGGCGCCGACCTTCGTGCTGGCGGCGTAGCCAGTGGCAGCAGAGATGGCTTGTCTGTTGGTAACGGCAAGGTCCTCGAGGTTGGCGACGCGGCGGGCGACACCTGCTCCGCATGTGGCTGCGTCGCTGAGCTCTCCTATGCGGCCGAGGGCTTGGGCGAAAGCATCGGCGGGTCCGGCGTTCTTCAGTTAGAAGGTAGCCCCTTTTGGATCCACAGGTCAACCCTAAACCCTAAACCTCTCAACCCGAATGAACCCTTCTTATAGGAACCCGCAAAGGAACCCTAAAGGATCCCTAACCCTCAACCCTAAAGCCTTTGAAACCCCCTAAACACAAAATTCGCTACGAGGTACAGACCACCATGAGCTACCCACCGAACATGAGGGGCTTGGCCCTTGGTATCACCATCCGTCCCGGTCTCAATCTCCCCTGACCACTAGAGAAGCCTCAAAGAACCTAGAGACTCCAATGTCCCGTAATTAAGGGAGGGATTCTACCATAATTTAAGGAACATTCCTTCACTAAGAGATGTTGGAGTCTTTGGGAACCCTGCAAGGAATCCTTCAACCCTAAACCCAACCTGTATCCCCAAACCCTATAAAATAGTAGGTTATGACCCCTTAATTAGAAGGAAGAACCCTTAAAACGGAGGTTTTCGGATCCGAAGGAAAACCCTAAATCCCTAAACCCTAAACCCTTTATAAACCCTAAACCCTAAACCCCTAAGTGCCCTGCGTCCCAAGGCAGCCCGCGTGAAAGGCACTGCTTCTCCATGGCGGCATAGAGGGCATCAGCCTGAAATCAGCTTTGGTGGATTATGATAGGTTCCTAATTACGGGGTTTCTTCAAAAAGGGTTCCTGTGAAGGGTTCTGTATATCAAGACAAAAGCTTATATATAGTAAAAATAATATAATCTAATCTAATCAAATATAATGTGATATATACAAATATATATAATAATAATCTATGGTCAAGCGTCGGGCACTCCAGACACCCCAGGGACCGGGGGGCGGGGGCTGACGTGTGCGCAGAGGGAGCTGCAGCTGGAGGAATCCCTAAATCCTAAACCCTTAAACCCTGAATCCTACATCCTAAACCCTTAAGCCCTGAATCCTAAACCCCTAAACCCTAAATCCTAAACCCTTAAACCATTAATTAAGAGGGTGGGGGCTGGGGGGCGGCCGGGGGTCACCGAGAGGACCGAGATCTAACGCAAGCCCTACTCAAAGGGGAAAAGGAGGGACTCTTAATAAGGATCCCTAGGCATATACCCTGTATATACCCTGAATATAGCTATTATATACCCATTATACAGCCCATTATAGGGTAGGGGTCCTCATTAAGGGTCCCTCCTTCTCCCCTTTGACCTACGCAAGCCATAAACCCTATGACATAGCGCGTGCTCCTGCTGTCATCAACCTTAACCTGTACTTAAAATACCCTACACCGAACCCTCAACCCCGCCTAAATGCAGGCTCTAATTATAAGATATTAGAAGCCTAAAGCAGAGCAGAGCATAAACCGTCCACCCTAACGAACCTACACCCTTCCTTAGCTTGTCGACTCGAGGCCTTATACCTTAATTCTAACCCTAAACCCCAAAATCAAAAGCTTAAGCTACACCCTAAACCACAAAACCCACGTCACAGGGAGAAGAGACCCCGCACCCCACCCCAAAAGGCGGCAGGTTATCCTGGACCATAGGGGGAGGAGGGGGGGTGGGGGCGGAGTGCATGAGCATATGGGAGTTTCCGAAAACAGGGCTACCTTGTTTTGGGGTCCTTATAACAAGGATACTACTTTTTAGGGTGCTATATTAAGGTCCCCTATTTTCGGACACTCCCATATATAAGAGGTTCTTGAAGGCTCTCAAAACGAAACTCAGGTGCGGATTAAGGGTCGTGCGGCTTACTGTAGCTTACTACCCCCCAATAAGCCACACCTGCATCCCCAAACCCTACAAAATAGTAGGTTATGACCCCTTAATTAGAGGGTCTAACCCCTAAAACCGTAGGCTTTTGGATCCTCAGGCAGAAATAAAAGGTCAATAAGACCCCACAACGTTGAAAGGTTAGGCATTGGGGCCCTAAGGTAGGGGCCGTAACAGTCAGCAACAGGTCCTACGGGGCTTGGCACGGGGTAATTTAACGAAGGTCAATACCAGGCCCTCACTACTAGATACTAGACTAAGGTTTTGTGACATGGTCTACTATCATTATGTACAAGATCTACCCTGAAGCATAAACCACTAATCCTAAACCCGGTATGAGGACTGAGGGGGGGCATGCTGTTACCCAATTCGTAATACCTCCTAGACTTGGAGCTGCTTAGGGCTTAGAGCTTACCTAAGATTTCAGCGCTTCGGGCTTTTGGACCCCAAAGCTTATAGAGCTCAGGGCATTTCTTTTAGCGATCAGTGTGGAGAGAGGATTTCTTCAGCTGGTCGTTCGAGAATGGCAGCAAAATAGGTTTATATAGGGTTTAGGTTTTCGCCACTATAAGTGGCATGGATCTGCTGCACAGTCTTCAGCTGATCTTGCACTGCTCAGGACTAGCATCGCCAGAGAGGACAGCATCACCCCAGGATACGAGGGATCCGTCTCCGAGAATGGCAGCAAACGCACCTCCAGTAGCGCCTCGGCCGGCTTGGATCTGCTTGACATTCCTTGGCTGAGTATAGGTTCCTTTAAGGGTTCCTTTTAAAGGGGTTTATAAGGAATACTATAAGGGGTATTATGGGGGTTTAGTACAGGGGCCTAAATAACTTGGCGGACTTCTGAACCAGTCTAAGAAATAGGGTAAGCCATTTTTTAGGTCCGTAAATTCTTACTTGACTTCTGAACCCCTCCTAAAAGTTAAACTTTTAGCCTTCTTATTATAGTTCATATAAAAACCCAAAAAGTTACATAAAGAGCCAACCAGAAGAACGCCAAGATTCTGCAGTTGATCCTTCACAGCAGTACTGTCGCCACCATATGCAGCATCACCCCATGTCACGACGGATCCATCACCAAGAATGGCAGCAAAAGCGAAGCCACAAGATTGGATCTGCTGCACGTTCTTCAGCTGAGCCTGCACAGCACTACTGTCACCACCATTGGCAGCAGCACCCCAAGTCACGACGGATCCATCTCCGACTATGGCGGCAAACGCACCGCCATATCTGTCGTGGCAGGAATGGATCTGCTTGACAATCTTCAGCTGATCTTGCACAGCACTACTGTCCCCACCAAAGCCAGCAGCACCCCAAGTAACGACCGTTCCGCCGGCTGCAATGGCCGCGAAAGCGTAGGTAGTCGCTTGGATCTGCTGCACATTCTTCAGCCGAACCTGCACAGCACCACTGTAACAAACGCTGTCTGCATCACCCCACGTCACCACGGATCCGTCGCCAAGAATGGCTGCAAAAGCATATGGAGAGGCTCGGATATGCTGCACATTCTGCAGTTGATCCTTCACAGCAGTACTGTCGCCACCACATGCAGGAGCACCCCAAGTGACGACGGAGCACCCCAAGTGACGACGGATCCCTCCCTCAGAATGGCAGCAAAAGCTGTCTTATTGGCTTGGATCTGCACCACATTCGTCAGCCGACCCTGCACAGCACTACTGTCACCACCAAACACAGCCTCACCCCAGGTCACAACGGATCCGTCAGCCAGAATAGCAGCAAACGCGTCGCCAGTGGTGTGGATCTGCTGCACATTCTTCAGCTGAGCTTGCACAGCATCACTGTCACCACCTTGCCTAGCGTCGCCCCAAGTCGCCACAGAACCATCGCCACAAATGGCGGCAAATGCGTGGAGAGAGGCCTGAATGTGTTGCACGTTCTGTCACCGCCATCGTCAGGACAACCCCAGGTGACGACGGATCCATCTTCGAGAATGGCAGCAAAAGCCGTATCTGTAGCTGGATTTGCTCTACATTCTTCAGCTGATCCTTGACAGCACCGCTGTCTCCACCACACAAAGGAAACCCCCAGGTCGCGACGGATCCATCCCCGAGAATGGCAGCGAAGGCACAGTAATTGGCCTGAACTTGCACTCTGTTTATGTGCAAGGTCAGGGAGTCATCGTCATGAAGCCCGGCATCCTTACTTGTCGAACACGCATCCAGGACGTTTCCAGATGCATTCACCAGGCAAGTGCAGTCTGCGCCCGCTCCTTGACTGCTTCCACAGTCTCATCCAGCTCTGCTTGCACGGAAGCTGTCTTGCCACTGAGCAGTCCAACATTCAAAGTAAGAAACATGCTGCGTGCCGAAAGAAATCAATGTCTACGCCATGGCTTAATGTTCCTGGGTGCACGGAATGGCTTAATGTTCCTGGGTGCACCGAATCTGTCCTCAAATGGGTTACACCGGAATACCGGAAAGGGGCCATTGTTGAAACAGTGTGCAGCTTGTGTAATTCTGCGTAGAATGCTGCTGTTTTCCCCTCGTCGTGCATCAATGTGGTGATTACTCTTCTTGCTGTTGTTGCTCTTGTTCATATCTCCTCTAAAACTCTGCGGATTGAACAGACTGTCTAAAACCCTAAACCCTAAACATAATAATCATCACGTTTTACGGCTTAGGGTCAGCTAGCGGGGGCGGGTGGGTCGTGGCAGATTGAGGCATCAAAAGGTGGGATGGAGGTTGCTGGCATCAGAGGGCCGTGTCACATGACGCAAGGGTCTCAACTGGGCCTTAACCACTAGAATGGTCTTGAGCCTTTGAGGTATACTGCACTAAATTTTGATAGCGAAACCCAAAAACTGTAAACATAGCATTCAACTTTTTATGTATGGTTGATGCCTCGGGTGTCTACCAGTCTACCCTTAAACTTCCACCACGTACCCTCAACCCACGCTAACACCTTTTGAGCGGTTCGGAGCATTTCGTGGTTTTAGGGGAAACAAGTTTCTCATGCACTAAGTTATTAATCAGGTTCTGGTTACGAAGCTTAGCCTACATTGGACCTGGGCAACATAACGACAGGAAGTTCTTTACTATATGGGAGCTGCAAAAACTAGGGGACCCAATTCTAGAGCCTGAACACTAGGATCCTGCGTTTTAGGGCAGGGAAATATAGGGGAAAACGCGAATGACTGAACAATTAGGAACATCGCTGTCCTCATGCCCCCAAGTTCCGAACCCGCAACTCCAACACCTACACACCCTAAACCTTTCGCACCTTCGAACCTGCTCCCGCCCTTCCCAGAATTCTGGAGGATCCAAACAGTAGATCTCTTGATGGGGTTCCTATAATAATTACGTTTCAGTCATATGAGGGTGCGCTTTTCCCGCGACACAAAAACTAAGTCCAATGCCGCGACAAGCAACAACACGAACAGCGACTACAGAAGGAACAAACACGACAGTCAAAAAGGACGTTTCGAAGTTGGGTCCACCATCAACCCTCAAACACCCCTTATTAGAGCCTAACCCCCCCAACTGCCCCTTATTAGACTAACGTAGTAACTAGGGTTATGAACAAGTGGGTAACTATTATGCTTCACTTATACTTGTATTACTTATGTGACCCCAACGCCCACCTTACTTGCCAAGTCCGATGATCCTCCAAGTAGGGTTCGCAGATGTAGAGTTTATCCCTAAACCCTGAGGGTCTAGGCCCAAGGGTCTAGAATAGGTAATGTAGTATGGTTCTAGAACCTAAACCTCAAACCCTTATGTGGCGTTTTGGGTTTGGGGGGGGGGGGGGGGCTGGTTTCTTGCAAAGGAATCCGACCCGGACCCACGGCAGGATCTAGAAATATAGATACACTGATGTGAAACCCGTACCTTGTGGGAATCCCCTTGAGGGATCTAATTTTCAGATCCTCCAAAGGGTCTGGAAAAGGGTCTGTATACCTATATATCGTAGATACTTAAGGTCGTAGGTTTCAGCGCTGCTGGTCGACGAATCAATGTTTCGTTAAGGGTTCTCTTCTACGGTTCTTTTTAAAGGTACAGGGTTTTGGTTCCTGAAAGCATTCCCATCGTGAGTTCATGGCCAAAGATGGCCAGCCCTAAAAATCCCTAAACCCGAAACCTATAGATGCCTATAGATCCCTTGAAGGAGCCCTTATTGAGGAGCCCTTTTACATGGAGACCCTGAACCCGAAACCTGCCTTGCCCAGTGAAGAATTCTTCACCCTAAACCCCAGATCCCAAATCCTCACACCCTAAATCCCTATAGGACCCTTTTAAAGGAACCCCTATCAATCCCTATAGATCCCTTAAATTATTAAAGGAACCCCAGGTAGACCCCACCTGCCTTGTCCAGTGAGTAATTCTTTACTCCTAAACCCCTGATCCTAAATCAACCTCAACCCCAAACCGTATCACCCTAAACCCTAAAACCCTAAAACTCTAAACCCGTAAACCGGAAGCCTAGGCAGACCCCACCTGCCCTGTCCAGTGAGTAAAAATCTCAAACCCGAAACCTATAGATCCTATAGACTAGCCTATAGACCCCTCAAAGGAACCCTTAAGGAACCCCTATGAATCCCTATAGATCCCTTTAAGAGACCCCACCTGCCTTGTCCAGTGAGTAAACCCTAAGCCCTAAAAACCCCTTATAGATCCCTTAAAGGAACCCTTATGCAGCCCTTTTAAAGGCATTAAAGGGAGACCCTGAAATCCTAAACCATAAAAACCACTAAAACCCCAAACCCTAAAACCCTAAACCCCTAAACCGGAACCTTCCCCTATGAATCCCTATAGATCCCTTTAAGAGGCCCTAAACCTGCCTTGTCCAGTGAATAGTTCTTCAGGTAGACGACGGCTAGGTCGAGCCCTGGGCCCCACAAATCCAAGGGGAAAAGGAGGGACCCTTAATGTGGACCCCTAGGTAATATAGTGAACCCCAGAAAGTTGGAACATGTATTTAAGATGATGCATGCTGGGTTTCCCTTTGCTTTACTTTAAGGGCATGAGGCTACTGATGTTCCAACTTTTTGGCTTCTACTATATACCCTTAATGTAGCCATAATATACCCATTCTATAGCCCATTATAGGGTAGGGGTCCCCATTAAGGGTCCCTCCTTCTCCCCTGTGAACAAACCCTCTGAAGCGCTTCGGGCTTATAGGGTTCTAGGGTTCCTTTACAGGGAACTATAAGGGTTCCTGTAAGGGATCTATAAGGAGTACCTTTATAAAGGGCTCCTTTACGGGATGTATAGGGGGTTTAAGGTTTATTTTATTTTGTTAAGGGCCCTTTTCGTAAAGTTTAGGGTTTAGGGTTCAGGGGTTTAGGGGTCTAGGGCTTTAGGGGTTTAGGGGGCTAGGGTTTAGGGGTTTAGGGGTTTAGGGGTTTAGGGCTTAGGGCTTTAGGGGTTTAGGGTTTAGAGTTTGGGGAGTTAGGGGTTTAGCGCTCTAGGGACTTTAGGGTTTAGGGTTGAGGGGTTTAGGGTTTTAGGGTTTCCGGGTTCAGGGCTTTGGGGTTTAGGGGTTGAGGGTTTACGGTTTAGGGGGTTAAGGTTTAGGGTTTTGGGGTTTAGGGTTTCGGGGCATAAAAGGGATCCTTTGAGGGTTCCCTTACAGGGACCACTATAAGGGTTCCTTTGAGGGATCTATAGGGTGTCGGGTTTAGGGGACTCCCATAAACCCTTAGTAACGCCATATTCCTTGATTCATATTTGGGAGCCGAATACCATTTAAATCATTTAAAGTATACCTTAACACCAAGTAACCTACCTTTTCTAAGTCTCTATATAAAGAAATCATATTAGAGAGCCCTAAATTCCTTAGGGAACCTTTTTTAAGTATTTATGAAAAGAAATCATATTAGGTAGCCCTAAATTCCTTAGCCTTAGGGTCCAGGTATTCCTTAATGGAGTATTTATATAACGATCATAGAAGGGAACCCTAAAAAGGTAGGTTCCTTGGGGTCCAGGTCGCATCCCCGCCGAGCGACCTGCGGCCAAGATCTCCGGGGCGCGGAAACCCTCGGGGTGCCTGCTTCGGGGATCGGGGTCTACAGGGTGTTAAGAGATAGATAGGATTCAGGGTTTAGGGTTTATGGTTTAGGGTCTAGGGTGTTAAGAGATGGGGATTTGTAATGTACCCTTTGGAAGGGAGTTTTACGGCTCCTTTAAGGGTTCAGGGTGTTGGGTTCAGGGTGTTCAGAGATAGGGTTTTATGATGTACAAGGGTTTTACAAGGCTGGTTGTGGCAAGGATGGAGGAAAGGAAGATACTTTGGAACGCCTGGTTCTGGATCAGGATCCTCATACATTCATTTGAGGTCCGGGACACCCTCCGAACTGCTTCACCAACAATCTGGTTGATGGCATAGTTGGGATCGTTGCAGACGTGCCCGACGATCTTCTGAACATGACGGTCCTGCTTGCGCAGGAAAGCAAACGTCAGTGCGGCTGCCGACTTCAGTAGGGCATGAAATACCGTCTTCTGGCTCGCCTCTCGTAGCCTGTTTGTATCAAGGGCAATTGCCCCTAGACCTTCAAGCATTGCTCAATCTACTCTTGCGGATGAACTTTCTCGTACAGGAGTTCTCTAATGGAGGTCAAGAATCTTTCCTGCATTTGTCCTCCTTGGCGCAAGCTGAAGAACTAGTCGACGAAGCTCGCCCCGTTCTCCGCATTTGGAAGAAACTCTGAATTTCTGCGGCATCTTCACTTTCTAGATTCCCAATCCCTCAGGGTCCATGTAACCATGTACTATATACATTGGCCTGAATGTTGTCCCAATTTAGGTACATTGGGGCCCAAGTGTATGCTATATGAGTACATGGACCCTTACCCAGACCCCCGGGAGGATCCAAAGTACCTATAAAGTACCCTTAGTAGTACAGGGCCCCAAATTAGGGGATCTACTTTCTAGATCCTCTCGGCCCTACCCTAAACCCCTAAACCCTGAACCCCAAACCCCTAAACCCTAAACCCCTAAACCCTAAATCTACTTTCTAGATCCTCCCGGGGGTCTGGGGCGGGAATCTTCCCTCTCCTTTCGGCCTTCGAGGCTCCGGTCTCCCAGACTTCGCCCATGAAGCGAGACGAGCAAGCCAATCATGATAGGGTTGATGATAGAAATCATGGGGTTCCTTTAAAGGGATCTATAAGGGTACCTTTAAGGGGTTTAGGGTGATGATATAGTAAATCCTGCATTACCTTAAGGACCCTAAACAATGGGAATTGATGGTATATTCCTTATAATGAGTAATGCAGGATTTTGTCCATCAGCTGTACGGTTGATGATAGAATTCCTGGGGTTCCTTTGAAGGGATCCATAAGGGTACCTTTAAGGGGTGCCTCTAAGGGATCTATAGGGGTTTTAGGGTTTAGGTTTTAGGGTTGATGATAGAAATCCTGAGGTTCCTTTAAAGGGATCTATGAGGGTACCTTTAAGGGATTTATAGGGTTTTAGGCTTTAGGGTGAGGATATAAAAGATCCTGCATTACCTTAAGGACCCTAAACTGTGGGAATTATGGTATATTCCTTATTATGGGTAATGCAGGATTTATATCATCAACTGTAGGACTGGCCATCTCTCTGGGCCTCCTCTTCGCTGCTGAGTTCATACGCCCCCCAAAAGTGGACACTTTCAGTTTTATAGTGGACAATATTAACCCTCAACCCTAAACCCTAAACCCTAATATTATCCCGAGGAGTGTAAAGTGTATCCACTCAGCTACTAAGTTGAAGTGTTCTTACGATCTTTCTTCAACGCTTCTCTATGGCTCGTCTAGGGGTACAGGTTAGAAGCTGCCCCCACCCTGTAATAGTGACCATAAGGATACTATAAGGATTATATTGGGGCCCTATTATATTCCTATTATACCACCATTGCAGGGTGGGGGGCAGCTTCTAAGGTACAGGCATCTCGAAATGTGAAGGTTTAGGGTTTTGGGTCTATAGGGTTCAGGGTTTACGGTTTAGGGTACTTAGTCAGTCCCATGAACCTGCAAGCAGGCTCTTGCATCCTGGTTTCTGGGAACAGCCAAACCCTGAGACCAAATCCCACAACTAAAGCCCCAACCACTACACCTAGGATACCCAGTAACCTAAGAATAAAAAGGCCTCTCTTTTTGGTATTGGGTAACTTTATAAGGAACCTAGGACTAAAAAAAGGGAATAAGGGTGCTACTGGGCATCCTAGACACCCTAAACCCAGAGCTTTAGGGTGCAGGTCCCTAGACCCTCAGGGGCCTGGATCTTCCAGGTAGACCAAAGACCTAGACTGAACTTACAAAACTAAACCCTTAACCGAGGAAAAAAAACACAAAACCGAAACCCCCTCAAAGCCCTTATGAGATCCTTAAACACCACTGTAAAATTCAAAACAGCCGTATGAACCCCATAACGCCCTTTGGGGTGGAGGTTTGTAGACAGGGCCCTGCCTTGAAGGGGTACTAGAAGGTTCTATAGTAGGATTATGTTTAGAGTCAAGGACTTGCTAGTTTTGCAGGGTTTAAAGTTTGGTGGGCCTGCGGAGCCCCATGGAACGACCACTGGGCACTGCTGAAACCCTGCACCCCACATCAGCCCTAAACCGCACGACTCGCTCCTCAGTCTCATTTGAGAGTCTCAGAAATCAACGAACCTTATGTAACATAGACCCTACAGAAAGTAGCGTTTCACCTCTTCTAAGCATGCCCAAAGAAGGGACCCACGATCTGCTGAAACCCTCAGTTCCTGGAGACCCCATCTAACCTCCATTATACTCTGCCTGGGGATCCAAAAACCTACCGTTTTAAGGGTCAGACCCTCTAATTAAGGGGCCATAACCTACTATTTAGTAGGGTTTGGGGTCACAGGTAAATACATACGACTAAGGACCATAAGCTTTTATAAAGGGTACTTGGGTTCCTGGTTTATCGTAAGCAGCGCGGGCTACTGCTTGCAGGCCAGTCGCATGGCCATTCTGCGCGCGAATTCCTGGTCCCCGAAACCACTTTCTAACTACTTTCCAGTATCTTTGGGAACTTAAGGTTAAGAATTGAGATTATAAGGACTTGAGAGTACCCATAAAAGGTTAACAGTTGACAAGCCTGCTACTAAGAATTTGAGAAAGATTAGGCCGACGTTTTCTTACTCAACAACTGTCTCCTAGACCCCAGACCACTAAACCCTAGACTCCAAGTCACTGAACCCTAGGCGGCGGGGGGGTTTTTTTTTTCGGAGGTGCGGCCAACCCTCTTTTTTCGGAGGTGCGGCCAAGGATTTGTTCAGGTTGGACACGCAGGATCCCTGTAGAGGGTTCATCGGCGACGTAAAGAATTTGCGCCGCACCACAGCGCCAGCGCTTCGACACACAGAATCCCTGTAGAGGGTTCATCGGGGTCGCGCCGCACCACAGCGCGGGCGCTTCGAGGGGCAGGATCCCTGTGGACGGGGTGAGGCATCAAAAAACTCATTATCTAAAACAAATTAGATCCAGGGATCAACGAAAAACTAAAGAAAAAATAATGCGAAATGCAGCCATTTCCAAGACTATTTGCCTTGGTGGCGGGGGTGGTGTCGTTGATGTCGTTGCTGTCGTCGTTGGTGGTGGTGGGGTCGTTGATGTCGTCGTGGTCGTCGTCTTGGTTGCTGTTGTTGTTGCTGCTCTTCGCGTTAAACCCCCTGGAGCATGGCTGTCTGGCTTTCCCCTTCTTGTGGGTTGCCGAATACGTTTATGTTCATTTCTTCGCGGCTTTAGAGAGCGGGGAGTTTAGTCTAAAACAGCGAGGGTTTGGGGGGGGAACTCGCCCTATTTGCAAAGCTGTTAAACCCTTCAGGATTGATTGTGCTTTCTTCGCGGTAAACTCCCCTGGAGCGTGGTTGTCTGGCTTTCCCTTTCTTGTGTGGCTTTAGAGAGCGGGGGAGTTTAGTCTAAAAAAAGCGGGGGGGTTGGGGGGGGCGCAGCCCCCCCCATTTGCAAACCTTTTAAATCCTTCAGGATTGATTTTGTCTTCTTCACGTTAAACCCCCCTGAAGCAGTGTTGTCTGGTTTTATTCTTTTTTTGTGTTGGCGAACACGGTTTTATTTATTTCGTGGCGGCTCAAACGACCGGTTGGCAAACACGTTATTGTTGATTACTTCGTGGCTCAAGAGAACTTCCAAGTCATTCATGATTGATTGTGTTGCTTCGCGCTTAACCCCGCTGAATCAACAACCCGAGAAAATCCGTGTTCTGAACCTGGGTTCTAACCCGAATTAGAACCTAGGTTCAAACCCAGGTTTGAACCTGGGTTCCGAACCTGAATTTCCAACCGTCTGCCTTCCTTCTATCTTTTCTTTCTTTCTGTTCTTCTTCCTTGCTTTGGTCCTTGTTCTGGGGTGTTTCGTTCTGTCTTCCTGGGTTCTTTTCGTTTCAGGTGGAAAAAACCAAGAAAAGCACACCAAATCTGTCCAAAACGTGAGGAAAATAGTGTTTCCCCAAGGAAAACCATGGAAAAACACCAAACAAAAATTTCAACAACAAGATCCAAAATAATAGGCCTTCCATATGTATATATATATATATGTATATTTATATACACACATATGTACTCTCTCTCTGTGTATATATATATACTATATACTATATATATATATATATATATATATTATTTACACTATGTATACTATATGTATATACATACAATTTTATAATATCTACTATATATACTATATATACTATATATACTAACTCTACTACATATACTATATAAATATGTATATATTATAAATATACTATATATACTATATATACTGTATAAACTATATATACTAAGGTTATATCTCCTGTACTTATTACATATACTATATATATATATATATAGAAACTTGAAACTCTATGTATATCTGTATATATATACTATATATACTATGTACACTAAATATACTATATATACTATATACACTATATATACTATATATATATAGTATATATACTATACATATTATATATACTATATATATATAATAATATAAACTCTCTCTCTCTCTCTCTATATATATATATATATATAACAAACTATATAGACTCTATATACTTATATTATATTATATTCTCTTATATTATATTCTTTTCTATTTTATTCTATTCTATTCTCTTATATTACATAATATTATATTCTTTTCAATTCTATTGAATTCCATTGTATTATCCTATAATCTTTTATGTTATATTATATTCTATTATATTCTATGATGTTCTATTATATTCTATGATATTCTGTTATATTCTATTATATTCTATTATGTTCTATCTATGCTATTATATTATTGATATTCTATTCTAATATATTCTAATATATTATATATGTTATACTATGTTATCTTTTTTTATATTATATTATATCTTTTTATATTATATTGTTTTTCTTTATTATATTACATTATGTTGTAGTATATTACAGTATATTATACTACATTAGATTACATTATATTACATTATATTACATTCTATTACATTATATTACATTATATTATATTATGTTATATTACATTACATTACAATATATTATATTATATTACATTATAATATATTATACTACAATATTTTTGATTACATTATGTTATATTATACTATATTATATTATGTTACATTATATTTTATTACATTATATTATAATATATCATATTATATTCCATTGTATTATATTATAATATATTATCTTTACTGTACATACTATATATATATATATATATATAGTATACATACTATATATACAACATGTACTATGTATACTATGTATATATATATATATATATTACTGAAATACTACCGTCCTTCCTTCCTTCCTTCCTTCCTCCTTCCTTTTTTCCTTGCTTTCTTCCTTCCCTGTGTAAATAACAGGACGTGGGAGCAAAAGAAAGAGGGCCAAAAAAAAGGGCACAAACAAAAATGGGTTCCTGTTCCTGTTTCTCTTTCATTCCTTGCTAGCTCCTGTGCTTTCTGGCTTTCTTTTGTGCTTCCTTCCCGGCCTTCTTTCCTTCATCATCTTTCTTCTGCTTTTCTTTCTTCTGGGGTTGTGCTTTCTTTGTGTTATTCCTTGTTTGCTTTCTTGCTGTTGCTTTTGCGGGACCGAGGGACCGGCGGACCGCAGGACCAGGAAACCACGGGACCAGGAGAGCACGGGACCAGAGGACCAGCAGACCAGAGGGCCAGAGGACACCACAGGACCAGAGGACCAGCAGACCGGAGGACCAGGGAACCACAGGACCAAGGACCAGAGGACCAGGGGACTGCATGCACCAGGGACCCTTGGCCGCACTTCGCAAACAAGGGTTGGCCGCACCTTCGAAAAAAAAAAACCCATGGCCCACCCTAGGCCCTGGCCCTATACACGCAGTGATGAAACTCCTGGACTTAGCTGTTCAGACTTGAAGTTCAATCTTCCGACGCCCATGTCCACCGTGGCTTGTACTTAACTTAGGAGTACCTGTGGCCCCAAACCCTACAAAATACTAGGTTATGACCCCCTAATTAGAGGGTCTGACCCTTAAAACGGTAGGTTTTTGGATCCACAGGTAGAGGTTATAAGCTTGAAGAGACAAAGCTTTCGGTGTTGAGGCTTGGGCTTGAGGCTTGTGGGACCGGGACTAGGGTGATGGAGATTCAAAACCTTGGGTGACCCAGCTTCACCTTCCATTCATCTGGATCATGTGCTCCATGGCAACATCAACGGCCAGGGCCATGTCGTTCCTCTGAGCTGCACGCCCCGTACTCGAATGATCAATGCGGCGGCTCACTGCTGCCTTGAAGGCAGGAAAAATCAGTGTCTGGCACTGGTCATCTTGGGCATGATGGAGCTCTGCACCTGCCGGCCCACGTCAGATTCAATGTCTTCATGGTGTCTGCTGTCAAGGCCGGCCCATAGGCATCTCTCGTCCAGACAGAGACCAGAAATCTCGTGGCCTGCTCCGTTATACGGTTGATGGTATAAATCCTGCATTACCTATAATCAGGAATATACCATAATTCCCATAGTTTAGGGTTCTTACGGTAATGCAGGATTTATATCATCAACAGTATTCCATGGCAGCATGATGCCAGCGAAGTTCAAAGAAGACCCACGCCTTGGGCCCTGCGCGGAGCCCTTCAAAGGCCGACATTGCAAGATGAAGCAAACGAGGTTTAGGTGTTTAGGGTTTAGGGGTTTACGGGTTAAGGGTTTAGGGATTTGGGGTTTAGGGTTCAGGGAAGGTCAGGGAAGATCGCTTCCGTAGCTTCCTCGTAGTAAAGTATCACATCAGACGCGACCGAGGCAGCGATGAGTCTGAGTCTGATGCGGAAGTACGGCAGGGGCCTTGAGAATTCTATCAAAGGGGGTTTTAGGGCAGATTGTATCATAACTATAATCAGGAACCTCCCAAAATAGTATAGGTAAAGGTTAAGGCCCCTATATCTACAGTATAACTATAAGAAGGACCTAAGGAATGCAATTGGTAGTTCTTTATAAGACCCCTATAGTACTCAGCTGCCGTTTCGGCATGGCGATAGGCTTTCTGAAAGCCCCCCAAGGTCTTCCTTTCACATGGCGTCGGCCCCACGGTTACTAGTTAAGGTCTAAGGCTAGAAGTATGGGCCCTAATGTGGACCCTGGAACCCTCCAGAGGGAGTTCTAGGGCCCTCTAAGAGCTTACTACACCTATAAGCCACAGAAATAAAAGGCTAAACTTTCCGATTCCTACTAAAGTATAAGAACCCGAAAAGTTTAAAGGTTACGCATTGGGGAACTAAGGAACCCTTATAGATCCCCTTAAAGGAACCCTATACAACCCCTATAGAACCTAAGGATCCCTTTAAAGGTTAGGTATTGGAGATCTAAGTAGGGTATAAGGTCGAGGGCTGAGGTCTTGGGGTTTCGGGTTTAGGATTCAGGGTTTAGGTTTCATAGGGCAGGGTTTAGGGTTTAGGGTTCCAGGGCTTTGGGTTTAGGAAGTTTAGGATTTGGGTTGAGGCTTCAGGGCTTAAAGAGAACACCCTAGACTCTACTTTGTAGCCCCCCGCCCCCCATAGCTCAAAAACTCTGCGCAGAACTGGCGACCTCAATAACCCTAAACCCTAAATTTCCCAGAGGGTCCACGTACCCAAATAGCAGGGTTTTAGGTCCCAAAATCCATACTCTAAATGGTTTTTGGACCTTGAAACCCTACTATTTCGGAACTAGGACCCTTAGGGTTTGGCTGGACACAAACTACCAAAAACTCCAAACCCCTTACCTAGGCCTCACAATGGCCTTACCACATAAGCCTGAGCAAGGCTCCAGTACTGAAGGTACTACACTGGATCGTGCCGTCGGTTGCTACCTGGGCCTCACAAGCCTCCACAAACACTCCTCAAAGCCATAAGACGACAAAGCCGAAACTCCGAAAGCTTGGACTTAGGTTTGAAGTTAACGATTGAGTGTAAGTGTAGCTATGAACCACAACCGTGATTAACAGCAAAGCAAAAGCTACACTACTCTGAAGCCCGGCCCCCGAGAGTAAATACGATGTACGGACACTCTAAAACCCAATACAAGCCCACGAAACGCAGTAAAACCTATACCCGAGCATCCCATACAACCATACCAGAAATTCAACCTAAACCCTGAGACCTTCACAAACACCAGTAGAAGCGCAGCCCCAAATCCCAGAACCGGTCCGCTTCGCAGTTCTGCACAATCTTCATGTTCTCCTATCAACAGGATCACTCTAATTAGGGCTTTCCTTCCAGGACCCCCCCCAATGGCCATTTCATGGAGCCCTAATGGCCCTTAATCGTAGGTCTTTGGAGTATACTACAGGACTCTACCTTGGGATCCTAAAACCTGCCGTGTTCAGGGTTCTACCTTCTGAGCAAGGGGTCACAACATACTATTTTGTAGGGTTTGGGGATACAGGTAGGGCTTCCCTTTTGGGTTCTATAAGTTTTTTTAAGGGTTTAGGTTTAGGGCTGGGGGAAGGCGATCTAGAAGGGTCTTATGAGAGTTCTAAAACTGTTTCAGGTTCGGGGAAGGTAGGGGGGGTTATTACACATAAGAGTCTTGAAGCCAAACCTACATCCTTGAGAAGGGGCGACCAAACCTTAAACCGAACACCCTGAAACCTGAACCCCAAGATCATAGGGATCCTTAGGGGTGTAGGGGGAGGGGGGGTAGGGGGCCTTAAGGCCCATAATAAGGACTAATAAGGCCTATTTAAGGAAAAACAGTCCCCTACACCCCTCCCCCCTACACCCCTAAGGATCCCTATGACAAGACCTGAACCTTCAGACCGGAACCCTAAATCATAAAACCTTCCTCCCAGTGTATGAAGCCTCTACAAAGGTTCTATGGGCTTTCGGGGTTAGGGGACTTGGTAAGTACAGATATAAGAACCGTAACTGTGGTTATAAGTAATCGTACACGCTGAGTGAAGCTGATTGGGTTTCTGCGGCTTCGGGTCTAGTTTTCCTTTCTTAGCTGCTGAGTTCATATGCCCCCAAAAGTGTACACTTTGAGTTTTATAGTGGGTATATAATATTATCCCAAAAAGTGTAAAGTGTATCCACTCAGCTACTAAGCTTTAAGGGTTCTGCCTCGGGGTTTAACACTCAGGGGTCAAGGGTCGGCTTTAGGCTATCTTCCGCCCAATCATTATGAAGCTTCGATAGGCATGTCAGAAAAAAAGCAGAAACGTAAGTTGGGCTCTGATGCGAAATCTGCCTGGCGTGTCTGTCCTAGTCAAGCATGGACTGTGAATTTCTGCTAAATGATGCTGTGCTCAACTTCAGGTACCTTTCCAAGCTGGCCTCGACTGCGGTGAAAGCCAGCATGACAGTCTCCAAGAACGTGGCGTTGTCCACCCTTTGGCACTTTGGACGCGTTCACAGTATTGACCAAGCAGGTGTCTGCAAAGCACATAGTGCGGCAGCTGCTTTGCATGGTATGCTGTGGAAGATGCAGTAACTACACCAGAAGCGGGTCTTCCGCTGCTCCTGAACCCTAAATCCTAAACGGGATATCAAAAGGGTTGCATATGGGTGCCAAAGAGATTTGTACTGCTTGAGAAGGGTTTGGTACCCAGTGCTTGGCTAGACCCCCGTCCCCTAAACTCTAAACCCAAAGACTCCAATTTCCCATGATTTAGCGAATATTCCATAAATGTTACTAGGGATCCTACTATAGTTCAAGGTATATCCCTTAATCGAAGGATATTGGAGTCTCTGGGAGCCCTAAACCGGCTATGGAAACTACTTCACATGTCCTGTGCTCTTCCTCTGATCTGCAAAACCCCAGCAGGCCCACTTTAGGGGTTTAGGGTTTAGGGGTTTAGGGATTTAGGGGTTTAGGGGTTTAGGGTCTAGGGTTTAATACTTAGGCTCGGGATTGGGACCCCTTGCCGAACCCGTATAAAACCCTATCAAGCAACCCTACAAAACCCTAAACTGTCTAAGAAGGGGTACCTTATTTTGGGAACCTTATAATAAGGATCCTGCTATTCAGGGTACTATATTGGGGGGCCCTCTATTCTCGGAAACTCCTTAGGGATGCTTATAGTTTGTAGTTTAGGGATAATATAGTGCCCTTAAAGGAACCATACTGGAGGTTCACGAGACTAGGGAACTAGGGTTATAAACAAGTTACCTACAGAAATCCGGGCTGCACATGGGCTGCCCAGCCTGTTAGCCTGCAATGACCCTGCTTCTGGCCACATCGACCCTGCGCCCTCATCGCAAGGGTATCGAGGGCGCGACATGCAAGATCTTGCAAGGGTTGTTGGGTGGTCTTACGGTTTGGTGTTCGGGGCTTTGTTTGCCGTCCATTAAACCAATCATAGGCAACTAAAAACCCTAAGGGTCCAAGTTCCCAAATAGTAGGGATTCAAGGTCCAAAAACCATTCAGAGTATGGATTTCGGGACCTAAAACCCTACTATTTGAGTCCCTAAACCCTAAACCCTAAACCTACTAAACCCTAAACCCTAAACCGAAACCCTAAACGTCTAAACCCGAGTTTAAATCTTACCTTGGGATCCAAAAACCTACGGTTTTAGGGGTCAGACCCTCTATTTAAGGGGTCATAACCTACTATTTTGTAGGGTTCGGGGCCGCAGGTACTCCCAAAGCCCTAGAAGAACCTGCCAAGTCCCATGAACCTCCAAGTCCTACAGGAACCCTCGACGCCTTTGAAGGAACCCTAGGAGCCATTCAAGGACCACTAGGAGCCCTTAAGGTATCCTTTTGAAGGGGTTCCTTTAAAGGGGTCCCTTAAGGGATCCTTTTCAAGGGGTTCCTTTAAGGCGATCCCTTAAAGGAATCCGAAGGAACCCCAGGAGCCCTACAATGGAACCCCCCCCCCGGAGAGGGCCTCTAGGCCCCCAAGGAAGTCCTTGGAATCAAAGGGTTCGGGGCATCGCTTATGAATTCCTTTAAGGGTTCCTTAAAGGGATCCTTAAGGATCTCTTTAAGGGTTCCGTTAAGGGAGCTATACGGGCCTGCAAGGTATCTACGAGGATCTGCAGGGCTTCGGCGCTCTGGGAGTTTGGTGATTAGGGTTTACCTGTGACCCCAAACCCTATAGAATAGTAGGTTATCGCCCTTAAATTGCAGGGTCTAACCCCTAAAACGGTAGGTTTGGGGATCCACTCTAAACCCTAAACCCTAAACCCTAAACCCCTAAACCCTAAACCCTAAACCCTAAACCCTAAACCCTAAACCCTAATCCACAGGTAGGGTTTTTGGACCTAAGGTTTCTGGCTTAGGGGTTTGGCGTCGGCGTCGAGTTATGGGTTTACTTGGATGTTCATGAGACTTAGTAACTAAGGTTAGAACTACCTTAGTTGGCTTTACAAGTAATCTTAAGTCGGGTTACCTCTTTGATGACGCTAGTTACTACGTCACATGAACCTTGAATTAGGGTGCAAAGTCTCATGTTTTGGGTTTGGGGCTTAGGGCTTGGAGCTAGGGGCCTTTGCACGGTCGTAGCTCAGGTACTATAAGGGTTCTTGTAACGGGTTTTGCGGTTGTTGACGGCGGGGTTCATAAGGGTTTTGCAGGGGCCTTATAAGCGGGCTCTAAAAGGTTTGCTGATGATTTGGGCTGGTTTGGTACTTAACGGGTCCTTGGAGGTATCAAACGGACTTACAATTAAGTCTTTTCTAAGGCTCTTTTGGTGCCTCAGGGTTTAGGGGGGAGCTTTCTTGAGGCTGTACACCTTAAGCCCTACGCCCGTAGGATCGTACTCCGAATTGGTCCGAAAAGTATTTATATGTGGGATACGTACCCGAAACTTTAATCTTAGTTGCTGAGTTCATAAGGCCTAAAAAGTGTACACCTTCAGTTTTATAGGGGGAGAAATATTATCCCCAGAAGTGTAAAGTGTATCCATTCAGCTACTAAGTAATAGCATAATTCCTACTCCAGCAACCCCGCTTTCTACTCTGTAAGGACTTGGGACCCAGTGGTACTCACTCCCTTGAGCTGAAAATCCAGGTCTTCCAATACCCAGACCCCCGGGAGGATCCAAAAAGTAGATCCCTTATGGGGGTTCCTATAAAGTACCCTTAGTAGTATAGGGCCCCAAATTAGGGGATCTACTTTCTAGATCCTCCCGGGGGTCTGGGAATAAGTTTAGGGAACACTCTTCAATTAAGGGATGGTGGAAGAGCGGGGTCCCTTCATCAATCTGTAGCCTTCATCAATCAGCCGATCATCACCTCACAACCCTTGGTCAAAGTTCACTCACCAAATCGACGTTTCCACCCTCTGTTCTTCACCACATCCTCTGCATTCTCATCACCGTCTCCCGTTTGCAAACCAGCCATTCCCCTTCCTTCAAGCCCCTCTGGTAGTTCTTGATCGCGCATCCTCGATCTGGGACCTTGTGGAGCACTAGTCCCATAGCAAGCTGCTGTTGCTCCGAGGTGATCCGTAGTCTTGGGCTTTCCAGACATGCTCCCGATGATTCTTCCGTTCCTCATGGTTTTGAGCACAGCCAGAAAGGTGGCAGCTCTTGGAGTCATGAAAGCCTGCACCCGACGGCTTGCAGTGTTCGTGAAGAGGAATCCTCCCCTTGTTGAGCTGTCGTCCAGCGCAGAAAACCCTCAACGGCCCAGCCGACCCCTGAAGGAACCCGAAACATGTAGAGCCCTTTAAAGAACCTAGACCTAAACATTAAAGGGCCCTCGTTAAAGGAATCTCCAACATTAGACTCGGGGATCCTTAACGCAACCCTTGAAGGAGCTGAGCATTAGTTCATTGAAATGGCCCTCGCAGGAGCCCACTTGACTAACATGATTTGTTATACTCCTTCAAGAGGTCCCGTGCCGTAACCCAGCCAAAACCCGTAAACCCTTAAAACTCTAAACCACCGAAGACCTAAACTTAAACCTGATACACTAAACTGTAAACCCTAAATCCCGACACCCTAAAATCCCAAACCCTAAAACCCCTTAAGGAAGCTCTTAAAGGAACCCTATCCCCCTATATTCTTAAAAGTCAGGCCCCTGAGGGCCCTCGCCTGTTCCGACCAGACTAAAATCTCGGGCTTGAGGATGAAATCCTCCCGAGGCCTCGTTCGAAGCGTTGAAAGGGATCTATAAGGTTTCTTTCAAAGGGAATATTAAAGGGATCTATGAGGGGGTTTAGGGTTTAGGGGTTTATGTTTAAAGGCTTAGGGTTTAGCTTTTGGGGTTTAGGGCGTAGAGTTTGAAGCTTTTAGGCTTTAGGGTTATTGGTTTGGGAACACATGACTAGGATACCCGGTAACCTAAGAATAAAAAGGCCTCTCTTTTTGGTATTGGGTAACTTTATAAGGAACCTAGGACTACAAGAAGGGAATAAGCGTAATTCTGGGCATCCTAGATGAGGCACTGCAAGGGTTCCTACAAATGGCTTTATAAAGCCCCTCCTTTACTTGAGAGGCTCCGTGTACGGGCTTTTAAAGGGTGTCTGTAAGGGTTTCTTTCAAAGGCGTCGAGGGTTCCTGTAGGACTTGGAGGTTCATGGGACTTGGCGGGTTCTTCTAGGGCTTTGGGAGTAAGATTTAAACTCCCTGCATCCCCAAACCCTGCAAAATAGTAGGTTATGACCCCTTAATTAGAGGGTCTAACCCCTAAAACCGTAGGCTTTTGGATCCCCAGGTAAGGGTGTCTTTCAAAGGCTCCATGATGTATATGGTTCCTTGAAGGGTCCTTTAAGGTCTTGTGAGAGTTTAGGGTTGAGGCCTCCGTTCAAGGGTCTTTGCAGGTTTCCCTGAGGAAACCCTACATCATTCAAACGGCTCTTTTAAGGGTCCTTTAAGGGCTTCCGTAAAGGGCGCTGCAATGCCGAGGGGTCCTTAAAGGCTGGGTTACCGGTCTTAGTGGGCTCACAGAGACAACCGGGTTTAGGGTTGCGCAGCTCGGGTTCAGGGTGTACCTGCATCCCCAAACCCTACAAAATAGTAGGTTATGACCCCTTAATTAGAGGGTCTAACCCCTAAAACCGTAGGCTTTTGGATCCCCAAGTAGGGTTTAAGGTCACACAAGTAGGGCTTCAGAGGGTGAGGGTTTCGACATCAGGTCACCTTAGATGCCTTGTGTCTAGGTGCTCTTCTGGCTACTCTCTGCTACGTTACGGCTAAGCCTCGCCGGGTTGCTTAAACGGGTGCCCCAGAGGGTCCCGCAAGGAGTTATAGATGGGCGCGTTCAAGGGTTCGGACCTGGGTTTGGGGTTCACAGACTTTCGGATTCAAGGGTTCCGGGTTTAGTAAGGGGTGTACCTCACCACCGCCGCCACCACCACAAGCACGACCAAGACGACGACAACAACTACTGTTGATGTTTGAGAAGCCAGATCGACATTGCAAAAGTTGCGTGCCATGTTGTCAGACGTCCTCTGGGTAGTTCTTTACATAAGGATCCCTTTTAGGCCCCCCATGCAAATAGTACGAACCCTGACAAAAGAACCCCGAACAGGGACCCTAGTTTAGCGAACTACCCACCCACCTGGCAACTGGTATGCGAAAGGTATCCCATGCTGCTATATCAAGCCCTCAACCTTAAAGCCTGCCTGTGAACCTAAACCCCTACAAAGTAGTAGGTTATGACCCCTTAATCAGAGACCCTTCAAAGGGTAGGTTTGTGGATCCATAGGTGGCCATATTTGACATCTTCAGGGTTTGTAGACCTTCTAGACCCAAGAGTAACCTAGAAATAAAACGGGTGCCCTTTTTGGTTTAAAGGGTGTTATAAGGGAACCTGAACCCTAAGAAAGGAAATAAGGGCCTACTCGGGGTGCTAGCCCTTCTCAGAGAATCTTGAGCTCGAAACAAACCCAAGTGCTTCACCCGGAACCCCAGCCCTTAACCCCGAAACCAAACCCTTAACGCCTGCACCTAAACCCTAAATCCTACACACTAAACGCAGGGTTTGAGGACATACCTGCTGGGCCTACCCATGCCTTGGCTAGCTGACTTGGGCGTTTCACATGTGGGCGGTTGTCAAAATTATGGTCCCTTTTTAGGTCCCGGTTACAATACGGCACCTAACATTTAGGGTACCCCAAAAGGTGCCATAATTTCGACAACCACCCATGTATACTTGCTGCTTAGCAACTCCGACACGCCGCAAACAACTCTCTAGTCTAACGGGACCTGCTAAACCCTAAACCCCTAAACACCTACACCTTATACCCTAAACCACTAAACCCTAAACCCGGCTTCGTCGCAAAAAGCCACGGCTTCTTCACCATCGTACCAAATCCACCATCAAGTGGCACCGTCGGCTTCGGGTTCAAGGTTTGAAGGGATCCGGGTTTAGGGTTTAACGGTTTAGGGCCTAGTGGGTTTAGGGGTTTAGGGTTTGGGGGTGAAGGGTTTGGGGTTTAGGGTTTTCTATGCACCTTGAGGAAATCCATGTAACGTCAGTCTGTTTGTGTCTGTTACAGGGTCGCAAACCACGCCAATTCCACGCTTCTGGGCACCAACTCTCCTCAGCTGAATCTTCGGAGGTGGTCTGACATCTCAGCTGTGACACACATATCCGCACGAACGGAACAACTCTTGATGCCGCCGTATGTTTGCGACTACAAAACATCGTGAGCTCATCAAAAAGGCTCCAATTGGGCCCCAATTGGCCAAAGATCCAGCGCCCCTGTTCACTGCAACCGTTGGCAAAACTTCGAACCCTTAACCCTAGCCCCTAAAACCTAAATCTAGACTCGAAACTCCTGCACCGCGAACTTCATAACCAAAGAGAACACCACGCCCCCCGCCTGGCAAAGGCTCTCTCTGCACCACTGGCTGCCGGCATCATCAGCCTCTTAAGCAAAGAGGTTGGGTAGGCGTTCTATCTGCCATTAAGGCGTATAAGGGCGTAGGGCTTGGGACTTCAGGTGTTCAGGGTTCAGGACTCTAAAACTAGGGTTTAATCTAGACCCTTCACTAACACCCACTACACTTGAAAGGGATGAGTGTGAGGGTCTACATGTTGCTAATATTATGGCAGGTTATGGCCACCTTGATTCGATCAACGGGAAATTCGCCTCGGCCCCGGCCGAAGCGGTCAGAGGTTCCTATTCGGATTCTCCTATTCCCCACCTCTTAATCCCCTCCCCAGTGAACCCCCCAAGGTCCGGTGGTGAATTCTCGCCCCCTCCAACGGATTTTGGCAGTCTGTAGGCAGTCCCACCCCGTTCCTCCCCCCCCCCCCCCCCCCCCCCCCCCCCCCCCCCCCCCCCCCCCCCCCCTCCCGCCCCCCCCACTCCCCTTTCCCTCCGCTCGCTGACAGGTGCGAGCTTTCGGAGTTTTCGACGACACGGGACTGCAATGTAGCATCTTTATGTGCGTCTCAGGCTTGTTTTAGACGCCCTTTCGTGGAGTAACGTGGTTGAAAAGGCTGTGATGCTACCCTAATCCAAGACGCCCACGAAATCCACAGCCTCAACGGCCCATACTTAAGGCATCCCGCCGCTTGCGAGAGTCTTGGTATCCAGTGTTTCGGAATGACGACACCAAAATTCGTACTGATACTACCACTACTAATACTACTCACAATCATCCTGCTTCGTGTTGCTATGAACATTACTTTTACTATAAGTGCGATTCCAACTGTTACTTTTTTCCTACAAGAGCTTGCTGCAGATAGTAGCCACTCGCCGCATGCGCGTACAGCCGGGCCGAGGCGGACGACGCGCAGCGTTTCAAATTAGTTTATCAGCTGTCCACATTTATTCGATTGTGCAAGGTTTCATAATATGGTCTACACGTCGGGAAGACCTTTCAGACAACCATCTACAGCCCATGCGATCAAGGTTTGAGAAGCCGAGACTGGGTTCAAGATCGTTGTTTTAGGCCCTGTCCTAGACTAGGATACCCAGTAACCTAAGAATAAAAAGGCCTCTCTTTTTGGTATTGCGTAACTTTATAAGGAACCTAGGACTACAAAAAGGGAATAAGGGTACTACTGGGTATCCTAGTAGATCTGGCTGGCGTTCTTCCAATATGCCATACCTCGGTGTGCTCTCAAGGCGTTCCGCGGCCCTGCGAGCCTGCATGAGGCTACTACGGACCCCTGCTGCAGCAAAGTCGATCACCTTCTTGAAGACCCCCATGAGACCATTGCCTTGTGGTCGGCTAGGCGGTTTCACGTCGTGGCTCTCCTGGACTGCAGCTTCGAACACACTCGTGAAATGGCTACCGCTGTCGGTCCACACCAGTGCCGGTGTTTCGACTTCGGGGCCCATCAACTGTGAATCGCTGACAGTTTCTTGTCTACTATTTGCTTAAGAAACCCCCAAAAAATAAAAATATTAATTCCTATACTACCCCCATAAGGAATATATTTTTTATTTTTTGGGGGTTCTTAAGCATATAGTAGTTGTGGTAGGGCAATACTTGGTGTTGGCATCGGCATAAACAGCAAAAGTAGCAACCAAACACTCGCTTAGAGGGGGACACCAAACCCATCTGGGTTTTCAACTGGCACAGAAAATCGCGCCCCAACTAAACCACGTGGACCGTTGGCTGGGGTTTCATGATGCAAAACTTATCTGCTCAACTGCTGGAGATGTTGGCAAGCCCAACCCTGAATCGAACCCTGCACATCAAAAGCCCTCACCTCCAGACCCAAAGCCCTAAAACCCGAAAAGCCCCAAAAGCTAAACCCTTGAGAACCCTAGAGAAGCCTAAAAAAACAAGTTGGCGCGTGTAGGGAACCCGTGACACGACCCCGCGAACTGCTCTAAAACCTTGTGATGACCTTCAATACGGTAGGCTTGTAGTGTTAGTAGATATTTGGGTTCAAAGGCATATGCTGTACGGTTACTTGAACCTTTGGGCGTTAAATAGTCAAAATCCTACATCGTCCTCACACCCCTAAACCCTGAACCCTTGTGACATGCTTCTAAATCCTGCGTATAATTATAAGAACCCTACACCTCATTTTGGAACAGCCCGTGTCGAGGAAAAGGCCGTAATGCCGTCATCAGCCCCTCCACGTGGTGATGGTTACCTGCAATCATAGTGTTCGGTTTAGGGTGAAGGGTTAAGAGTTTAGGGTTCAGTTTTAGTCTTCTGCTATCTAGTGTTCGGTTTAGGGTATCACAAGTGTGCGAGCTCGGCATGGCGTTTCGGCCAAGTTGCAGCGAATTCGAATTCCATAAACAAGAGCCTGAAACCCAACACCGTAAACCCCATGCCATAAACCCTATAAGCCCTAAGCCCCAACCAGCTAAACCCGAAGCCTTACTGCCCTACTAATTCTAAACCTCTGCACCTCCCGTCCTTAGGGTTTGGGGTTTGAAGTTTATAGGCTTGATCGGGTTTAGTGTTTAGGTTGTAGGAGCCTCTAGATAACAGAGGGAATCTTAATGCCTCGAATAGAGGTATATTATACTCGACTGATAAGGAACATTATGGAGCCATCGCTTTTAAACGATTAGCATGTGGCTATCTTATTACCCAATAAGCCACAGAAATAAAAGATTAAACTTTCCGATTCCTACTAAACCATAAGAACCCCAAAAGTTTAAAGGTTAGGCATTGAGCATCTCAGGTACGATCCCTTAGAGGAACCCTTATAGATCCCTTTAAAGAACCCTATAGAGCCCGTATAGCACCTAGGGATCCCTTTAAAGGCGTGAGGTATTGGGGATCTCAGGTATGTAGCCTGATGTAAAACTTTAGGGCTTTAGGCCTTACAGTATAAGCCAACAAGTTGGAAACCCAATAGCCTCAATCCTTAAGAGTAATGTATAGGAGTCCCAGCACTATTTGGCCTTAATCCGGTTTCCAGTTTTTGCGGGTCTACTATACTCCAGGGCTTTGGGGTTTAGGGTCATCCGGGCTTAGAGCTTACCTTGGGATCCAAAAACCTACCGTTTTAAGGGATCTATAAGGGTTCCCTTTTCAGGATCTAGAGGAACCCAAAAACCTGCCTTTTTCAGGGTTCGACCCTCTAATTAAGGGGTCATACTTGGAGGGACAGGGGACTTAGTAAGTCGTTTATAAGTAGGGTCATAATTGGGGTAACTCCATTTAGGGTACTTACAACTCTACTTATAACCTACTTACTAAGTCGCCTGCCCCTCCAAGTAACCTGCTATTTTTGGGTAGGGTTTGGGGATAAAGGAAGAGCTTACAGCTGTCCTTGAGAGTTGGAGATGGTGATGCTTACTTATGTAGGAACCTGATTAAGAAACCTTGGGCTTTACGAGGGTTCCTTATATGAATCCTACTATTTTGGGGTTATAAGCCCAGGGTTTCTCAATCAGGTTCCTACATTACCTGGACACAATAAAAAAAGTCCTTTCTAGGTATGCCATCTGGGGTTCAGGTAGATATTCGAAGTGTGTAACAGCCTGGCCTACGGCTGCCATTGCTAGCATGGCATGAGTCGCGCCACCGTTCACAGTACATGCTTTTTCTAGGATACCCAGTAACCTAAGAATAAAAAGGCCTCTCTTCTTGGTATAGGGTAACTTTATAAGGAACCTAGGACTACAAAAAGGGAATAAGGGTACTACTGGGCATCCTAGTCTTGCTCCATGTGAAAAATCCCGCGGATGCCTGCTGCCACGCTTTCGGCTAGGGCATCGCAGGCCTGCCCAACCAAAGCTTCTAGGTTTCAAGGTTTAAAGGGAACTCCAGAAAGTTGGAATATGGATTAATGGTAGGATCCCCTATACTTTGCCTTAAAGGGGTTACGATAATGATATTCCAACTTTCTGGCTTCTACTGTATAGGTATTGCTAGGTATATGTCTTGATCAAGGGGATTTTTGGAGTGTATGGGAAGACTCACTTACTACCCCAATAGGCCACAGAAATAACAGGTTAAACTTTCCGATTCCTACTGAACTATAGGAACCCCAAAAAGTTTAAAAGTTACGCATTGGGGAACTAAGGAACCCTTATAGATCCCCTTCAAGGAACCCTATAGAACTCCTATAGAACCTAAGGATCCCTTTAAAGGTTAGGGGTATGGGGGGAACTAAGTTCTTTCATCCCCAAGTTCTTCAGCAACTGGACTTCCCATCGGCCCTTTTCCTTTTGCATGTGGGAAGAATCCGAAAATGAGGGGGACCTTTAAAGGGATCCTTTAAAGGGTTATTATTAGGGTACTATAAGGGTTCCTTTAAAGGGCCACTATAAGGGTTCTATAAAAGATTTAAAATTTAAGGTTTGGGAGTTTCCGAAAATTAAGGCTGTATACCTTATTATGGGGTCCTTATGATAAGGATCCTACTATTTGGGGTACGACATGAGGGTCCCCTCTTTTCCAACGCTCCCATGTGTTGCTTTTGGACAGGTGGTTGGATCTAATGCGATAGTTGTAGAAAGACTGCTTGAGATGCACGGAGGCCATGTTGCGGACCTTGTTATTGTATTTGCATCCCCCATGTCTGAAACTCCCATGTGGAGCTTGCAGCAGGAAAGCATAACGATCCTTAACGATCATACCAAGAAATACAACAACCTTTTCTGGGGCAGCGGGGCGGGGGTGTTATGGATGGTTTAGGGTTGAAGGTAATGCCCCTAGAAATCATCCCTCACGGTCCATGTGCCCATATAGTGTATACTTTGGCGGCTACTTTAGGGCCATGTAGTATCTAGTGTTTTGAGTACATGGACCCTTAAAGACTAGATATCAGTGCTCTGTATTTGAGTCTTTCGTTGGTCCCGCAGCCTATACTTCTACGAGCTTCCACGTCCACAGGGCTTGCAAGCACACCTACGAAAAGGTCATGGGGCTTAGTAGTAACGGGTTTGAATATTGTACTCTTACTTACAAATACTTGAAACATGACTCATACCAGTGACCCAAAACCCTACAACATAGCAGGTTGTGAGCCCTTCATCATAGTGTATTGCCCCCGAAACCGCCTTGACCCCTTCATCATGGGGTATAACGCCTAAAACTGTAGGAGTTCGGATCCGCAGGTAGCGCTCTCTTGCCCAAACTGTGTGACACACCCTCCACCGCAAAAATTAAACCCGAACCTGATCTGAAGCCAAAACTCTCAGAGGGATTCTCTCGACACAGAGGACCAAGCATAGATGCTCCAATGGGGTCCCCCTTACACAGATCTCAAAAGTAAAGGGAACACAATTCTTTGAACACCTCCATATGGGAAAACAGGGGGACCCTAATATACTACCCTAAATTGTAGGATCCTCATGAAAAAACCTCCAAACATGTACCCCTATTATCGGAAACCTTAAACCCTTACAGTAGCCCTTCAAGGAACCTTTGTAGTACCCTTTTTGTAACCCTTGAAAGGAACCCTAAGGTACCCCTAATTTTCGGAAACTCCATATAACCTAAACCCTAGACCCTTTATAGAACCTTATAGATCCCTTTAGGGAACCCTTAAAGGCCCCCTTTTAAGGAACCCTAAGGTGCCCCTAACTTTCGGAAACTCCCACACTGATGAGAATGATGCTAATAGAGCCCCAAAAAACCACATAAGCAAAAATTAGGATATGGATATCCCATATAAACCCCCTCATCATGAAGCCCAATAAGGTAGGGAGATCCCCATAAAATGCTTATGCTTATGTGCCTTTTTGGTCCCTAAGCTAAAGCACCTGGCGACAGGCGGCAGCATCGAAGTCACTGCCTTTGAAGCGCCTCAAAGATTATCAGAACTTAGGGTCTTCTAAACATCTCATGTAGGGGCTTTTATCAGGGTTTAGGGTTTAGGGTTTTATCATTAGAATAGGGTTTTGGGGCCGATTATACTGTAGCTATCATAAGGAACAGCCAACCTCCGCACATTGGAGTGGCCAAAGCTTTCCTTGTCCAGGTTTCCAGGGACTCCAATATCCCTTAGTTAAGGAATATACCTTAACATATAACAGGGTCCTTTATGTCCTTAATTTGATATTTAAGGTATCCCTTAATTAAGGAACATACCTTAACATATAACAGGGTCCTTAATATGATTTCAGGTATCCCTGAATTAAGGAACATACCTTAACATATAACAGGGTCCTTAATACGATTTAAGGTATATTTCTTAGTTCAGGGATGTTGGAGTCTCAGAGTCTAGGGCCCAGGGCTTTCCAAACTTCTAATTTGGGGCCCTAGTAGGTTCCTTAAAGGGCTCCTTTAAGGGATCCTTTAGGGTTTAGGGTTTAGGGGTCTATAAGGGAAAGTAGATCCTCCAATTTGGGGCCCTATACTTTATAATGAGTTCTGAGTTCTGACAGAGTTCTACGTTATGCTTCTCGAGGATGCCCAGTAACCTAGCAATAAAGAGGGCTCCCTTTCTGGGATTGGGTAACTTTATAAGGACCTAGGACTACAAAAAAGGGAATAAGGGTACTACTGGTCATCTTAGCTTTTGCTTTTTCAGGATGCAGGCCATAGGCCTCTGCAGGACCATAAAGCAGGGTTTAGGGGTTTTAGGGTTTGGGATTTAGGGTTCCCCTCTATAAGGGTTCAGGGGTTTAGGGTTTAGGGTTCCTTTAAAGGGCTCCGTAAGGGTGTAGGGGTTTCAGGGTTTTGGGATTTTAGGGTGTAGGACTTCTCTACATAAACCCTAGTTGGAGGTTCATGGGACTTAGTAACTAGGGTTATAATTAAGGTAAATATACTCATAATTACTTATAGCCCCAATTAAGGTACTTATAACGGTACTTACTAAGCCTCAGGATCCCCATTATAGAACCCCTATAGCCCCCTTTCAGGAACCCTATTCTAGAACCCTATATAGTACCCCCCACCCCCCATTAAAGGATCTACTTTTTGGATCCTCCGGGGGGTCTGGGAAGCCGAAACGGTTTAGGGTTTAGGGTTTAAGGTTTAGGGTTTAGGGTTTAAGGTTTAGGGTTCAGGGTTTAGGGTTCTGATAACCAAGTTCCTAAGCAGACCCTTTTAGCCTTTTCAACATTGATTGCACTTCCCGTTTCCGACTCTTCAGCGTTAACAGCGTACCCGCAACAAAGAAGGATTCTATTGGGGATCTAGGATGAAGGAAGCCTCTTTGGGGAGTTGGCACTTTTCTCGTTCTCCTTCTGTACTGGGTACCGGCGACTTCGAAAACAAGCCACGTTGATGGGCAACCGCCCCATCATCGTCACCAAGACCCTGGGGTGTTGTGCCAAAACCCTTCAAGAAAACTAAAACAGAACCCTAAACGCCTCATAAACTTATAACCCTTCAGGCCTTACAGAACCCTAAAACCCCTAAACCTCTTAATTATTATACACCTCTTATGGCTCTAAACCCTCAGCCCTAAACCCCCTTAACCCCTAAACTCTTGACTCTAGTCTAAACCCTCAACCCTAAACCCCCTTAACCCCTAAACTCTTATGAAAACACCTAAGCCCGCTCCACACCCCCGTCGAGGTTGGCACATGGGCAGCTCCACGGCACTGCCCGGCAGGCCGAGGGCATCGAAGCCGGCCCTGGCTGTTGTCCAGATTTTCAAGGCTTTTGGGGTTTAGGATTTAGGGTTTAGGGTTTAAGGTTTATAGGGTTTACGGTTTCCCAGAAACTCCCCTTTCAGGGATCTAGAAGGGTTCCTATACGGGATACTCAAGGGTTCCTTTAGGGAGTTTAGAAGGTTTAGGGTTTAGGGCAGGTTTCCGGCTTAGGCTTTGTTAGGGTTTAGGGTTTTGAAACAGGGTTGTTCGGGCTTTGGGGTGTTTAGGGTGTTTAGCCTTTATTAGGGTTTTTAGGGATTAGGGCTTTTAGGGGTTAGGGTTTACGTAGGGTTTAGGGTGAGAGGCAGTGAGAGGATTTGGGGGTGTTGGGTTGTCGGTAGAGGGGTTTAGTGTAGAGAGGTTTAGGGGTTCACGGGTTCGGGTTTAAGGGCTGAGGGTTTCGGGTTTTGGCTGTCTCCACGCAAAACAGAACAACAAGCGAGTGCCTAAACACAAGACTAATACAAAACTTCCTGCAACAAACATCCATCTCTCTCTATCTATCTACGTATATGCACATATATACATATACATATTCATATACACATACACCTACACCCCCACACACACACACACACACACCTTCTCCTTTGCACGCGCAGACACATATATACACGTACCCACACGCATGTACTTATACGTATATGTATATATATACACAAAAATGTGTGTATATAAATTCAGATGTATGTGAATGCATTTAGTATAAACAGCGATAGGCGGTTCTCTAGAAACCAAAACGAGGCTTAAGCCGCAGGGCCAAAAACCGACGAGCTCCAATCGTGTCTCAGAGAACGCCGGCGCAGGGGCGAGTGACGAGGAATTGCGGTGCAGAACTGCGATGCGAGGACCTCGCACCGGGTTGCCCAAAAACCGGGGTAGAGAGCTTTGATCAAACGAGACGTGCTGCTTTTTCTTCTGGGGGGTAGGGGAATTCGACTTTTAGGGGATTACAAGGTGATGTTTTCAGGGATCCGCCGCTTGGGGTTGGGGGATTCAGACTTGGGACCTGGGGCGAAGTGCTCAAGGGGTCCACAGTTTCGGGTTTCGCGTTGACCGCCCTTGAAGGGACTAAGTAACAAGGCTGTAACTAAGGTAACCTTACCTATGAAATACTATACCCCCCCTAAAAACCATAATGAAACGAATATATTCTTAATATTCTCTTGGGTTTTAATATGAACATAATCAACAAAGAATTCCTAAGGAGACCAAGGCTAACTTTGGGATCCGAAAGCCGACGGTTTTAAGGGTTCTGGCCTCGATCTAATGAAGGGGTCATAACCTGCTATTTTGTAGGGTTTGGGGATACAGGCAGGGTCTAGGGTTGATGGTTCAAGGCTGAGTGTTTAGGGTTCAGGGCTTCAGGGTCTAGGTCAGCCGAAAGTTCTTTGTTCCATGGGGACTGGCATGGACCGCTGAGGATGACACAAGAACAGTTTTACGAAATGCTGGAGGCGTCTATGGGACTCTACCCCGCAAAATGCAGTTAACCCTAAACCCTAACCTGCATTGCTTCCAGAGTTCCTGTTCCTGAACCCTTGCGGGCCCTCGCAAGGAACCACATGTTCAGCTTTTAAGACAAACAAAGATTGTCAGAACGATAACACCAAACAAACGAGGACACCAAAACCTCCAAGGTTTGCTTTTTGGTTACATTTGTTGATGCTTTAGTTGGGCGCTACCGTGCGCTTTCATAAGTAGAATAGCATGGTGGTAGATGATGCTGAGGTAACACGGGGACAAGAAGATTTTATGGCTGTTTGTTTGTGGAGCCATAACAAGCCCTGTAAACCCGTCAAACAAAACCGTATAGCCGTATAACCCCACAAACCCGCAACGTAATCGATGATTCAACCCCCTGGATTAACGCGCTGAGGCCCTCCAAGACTCGCAAAACCCAATCCCCAAAACTGGCCCCCTCCCCCCCCTCCCGATCAGAACAAGCATCGAAGATCGTCCCAAACCCGACACCCCTAAACCCTGAACCCCTAAACCCTAACATAATCAAAACGAGAATCGAAGATCCTAAGATCCTACCAACCTGGGGATCCGAAAACCTACCGTTTTAAGATTTCGACCCTCTAATTAAGGGGTCATAACCTATTATTTTGTAGGGTTTGGGGATACAGGAAGATCCTACCAAGGCGGCCTCTCTGCGCCAGGGAGCGCAAAGCCCGAGAAGCGGCCGACAGGCGCCGCATGATTCGAGGGCTCAGTTTTTGCGATTGCTTAAGGGTCTATTGGGGTTTTTAAATGTTTAGAGGTTTCTAGCACTTTTGAAAAGTTTAGAGCATTTGGAATGTAGGGTTGCGGCTGTAAGGTTTAGGGTTTACGGTGGGAAAAGGAGGGACCCTAGGCCCTTTATTTCCTTTAAAGGGATCTATATGGGGTTCCTGAAAGGGATCTGCAAGGGTTCTATAAAGGGTTTATAGTTTAGGGTTTACGGTGTTTCAAATTGGAAAAGTAGGGACCCTTAATGGGGACCCCTACCCTATAATGGGGCTATATAATGGGTATATAATAGCTATATTACGGGTATATACCTGGGGGTCCTTATTAAGGGTCCCTCCTTTTACCCTTGGAGTGTTTAGGGTTTAGGGTTTAGCGTTTATGGGGTTTACCTTAAGGGGGTTCCTGAATTTAACCGAGCAGCCATACTAGTAATTCCTACTGCTGCGGCCCTACTTTCTACTCTACAGGTACTTAGGACCCTTCGGGTTCATGGACTAACCACTAAACCCTAGAAGACTTGAGGGCCGTCGGCTTATAGGCGTTTCTAGCGAGGTTGGCATGACTTCTGGATTCGATACAGCTTATGTCGTGATCAACTTACAGTTTTAAGGGTCCTACCCTCTGATTAAGCGGGCTGAACCTATAGTATTTTGCAGGGTTTGGAGTCTCACTGCTTTGCGGTTCAGGAGACGTGGAAGCAACCAATGCGGATTCGTGTTGCAGGGTATGACTTGAATACGTCTTGCATTTGGGCCACCTGGCTCTGCTGAACACATCGCAGCAGTATTTCCATCAGTCTGATCTTTAAACTCCAAACCCCGCAAACCCACAAGCCAATTCCTGTATCCCCAAACCCTGCAAAATAGTAGGTTATGACCCCATAACCATAGGGTCTAACCGTAAACCCTAAACCCTTAACCCCAAACCCCTAAAACGGTAGGTTTTTTGGATCCCCAGGTTCAACTCCGAAAACTACGCTGCTACACACTGATTTCATCAAACCCTACACGAGCTTTCGGGAGTTCGTGATTTCGGGTTTTAGCCCAGGGTGGTGCAAGCTATGACCCGGGTTCTGAAGACGTGTAGTCTAATCAAAACCTGTGGATCCAAAAACCTACCGTTTTAGCGGCTAGACCCTATAATTTAGGGTATTAACCTACTATTCTATAGGGTTTCGGGTCACAGGAACACCTTATAGTCCTCACATAACTAAATATTCTACAACATGACAGAGCCCCAAAACCTTGTTCCTGTTGGACCGTTTATCTGGGTTCTACCAGAAGCAGGACACGAAAGCAGAATAAAACATAGCAAAGCCTATTCCCTGCTTGTGGAGGAGTAGCGTTCTTGCGCAGTCGACGTCTACTGTCATTGTCTCGCTGCCAACGATTGTTCGGCTCGGCAAACATGCAAGACAGCGTGTGGCAGCGGCTGCTCTGATTCAAGGCCGTTGTGTAGCATGTCAGGGACGGCATGCGTTTCAGTTGCAGCTTAGACCTCAACCTTTTCCGGAAGCGCTTAACTACTTCAATTCCCAAACTCTCAAACCCTAAATTCCTTTTTGAACCTTTTGTGCCTAAACCCCTAAACCCCGAATCCCTTGAAGAACCCTTAAGGTAAAGGAACACTTCAAAGGAAGCCTAGAGAAACCCAGAGACCCCTCGAAGAAGTCGAAGCTGCCTGGAGCCTCCGCGCCGGCAGGGGCACTCTGTGCAACGTGGTGCTCCCACCTCGCTCTGTAGGGTTTAAGGTTTATAAGGGTTTAGGGTTTAGGGTTTTAGGGTTTAGGGCTTAGGGGGTTAGGGTTTAGGGTTTAAGGTTTAGGGTGTGTCAGGCGAGGGCGCGCGCTAGGGTGTGAAACACCCCGGGCCGCGTGCTCGCGTTGCTAGCAAGCCCACCCCGGCCACCCAAACTACACTCTGTTAGGGTTTAGGGTTTCTTGGCGCATTTTCAACTGAATGATTTCTATTCTTAAGTGATGTCATACTTACATATATATATATATATTGGTTCCTGGAGGTGCTAGACACTTGGAATGTCGTGGGACATGATGAGTTCAAGTAGGTTCAAGTTTGGGCCGCGGCTGTGGGTAGCCTTGGCCCTTGTCGGGCCTCCGGCAGGGCAGGGCCTGCTCGGCCCTGTCGGGGCCACATTCTGCAGCAAAACAGGGCCGTTCTTTTCGTGTGCCTGCTCTAAACCATCCAGGGTCCTTCTAGGCCCAAAGCAGCCCAAGCCACATTCTGCAGCAAAACAGGGCCGTTCTTTTCGTGTGGTTGCTCTATTCTCTGTCCTGTCCTCCCTAAATCTAGAAAATTGTGGCTGATTTTGTGGTACCAAATTCTGTTCATAAAATGTGCATTTTAATGCGGGCCAGGTGCCAATCTCGAGGTCCCCTCCTTTCCTTTCATGTGGCTGCTCTTAGCCGCTTTCCCACTCCCTAGACTCCGTCCCTGGGAATTTACCCTATACAGCCTAAACCCATAACCCTAAAACCAAAACCCAAAACCCTAAACCCTAAACCGACCGGCACGACCTCCAGAGGAAATGGTTGACGGTTTGGGGTTACTACTTTAGCTAACGCTGAAGGTGGTCTGGGTACGGCCAGCCCTTCATTGAGTACTGACATTGTCGTAAATGAAGCCACATTCGTTGGCTTGTCCAGGACAGACCGGTGAGGCTTAACCCTCACCTCTCCGCTTCCCGCTCTTTTCGTATGGGCGCTCGGGCTGTGAGGCCCTCGGCCAAGCGTTCGGGGTCTGTCGCTCGACGGTAGCGACCCCTCACTTAGTTTTAGGGTTTAGGGTTTAGGGGGTTAGTTAGGGTTTAGGGTTTAGGGTTCAGGGTTTAAGGGTTAAGGGTTTAGGGTTTAAGGGTTTAAGGTTTAAGGGTTTAGGGTTTAGGGTTTAAGGGTTGAGGGTTTAGGGGTTTAGGGGTTTAGGGTATTGGGGCTTATAGTTGTGAAGGTTCAGGGTTTATTCGGGGTGGGCTCTTTCGAGGGCTCTGTGCGGTAGGCTTCCCTTAAACGGCTCCTTTAGAGGGCTCTACAAGGGACTTGGACTTGAGAGTGGGGCCACGAAAGCTAGAAGCAGCCCTATTGAAAGGTTCGTTTCAACGCAGCACCATCTGTTCCCACATGAACGAAATGTGCTTGCAGAACACATCAGCGGTACTTTTCACATTCAAGACCTACAAGCTTCCCCACGTACCAACAACATTAAACTCTGCACACTATGCTTGCAGGTAAGGCCCCCAAAAAGGGGGGCGAGAGGGGCCTTCGAGGGGGTGGGGGAGGGGCCCCCCTCCAGAAATCATGTGGGAGGTGAAATGCGAAACAAGAAAAGCTCCATGTACCCACAAAGTATATACTTTAGGCCTTAAAGTACGTATATAGGTACCCCTTTAAGGCTTAAGTACTACAAAGCTACGGGGAGCCTTTGACCCTCACCTCAGCCCTAAAGGCCGAAAAGGCTCCAGACTCCTCAAGCCCAGCCGAGGCTGCCACGTGGGGATCAATATTTTGGGAAGGCTCAAGCAGAAGCCTCCAGAGGTTCACAGTTTAGGGTTTAGGGCTTTAGGGGTTGAGGGTTTAGGTCTTAGGGTTGAGGGTTCAGGGCCTAGGGCTTAGGGTTTAGGCTTGAGGGCTTAGGGCTTAGAGCTTAGGGCTTTAGGGGTTTAGGGTTTATGGGCTTAGGGTTTAGGTTGAGGGTTCAGGGCTTAGGGCTTACGGTTGAGGGTTTATGGCTTAGGGCTTAGGGTCTAGGGTTGTGGGTTTAGGGCTTAGGGTTGTGGGTTTAGGGCTTAGGGTTGTGGGTTTAGGGCTTAGGGTTGTGGGTTTAGGGCTTAGGGTTTAGGGTTTAGGGCTTAGGGTTGTGGGTTGAGGGTTTAGGGCTTAGGGTTTAGGGCGAGCAGAAGCCTCCTCCAGAGGTTCACAAAGACTCCAATATCCCTTAATTAAGGAATACCTAGGGCTTAGGGTTCCTTTAAGGGATCTAAACGGGATCTATATGGTTTAGGGTTTAGAGGATTTTAATATCCCGTAATTACCGAATATTCCTTAAATCATGTTGTGAATCCTACTCTAATTTCAGGTATATTCCAATCAAAGGATATTGAAGCCTCCAGAGGTTCACGGTTTGGTCATCAGCAACGACAACAACCACATCTGCACATTCATACGCACATACTTGCATGCATATGTACATACGTAGATATGTGCAGACGTACACACATACATAAATATACAGCCACATATACATGTCAAACATGCATGCATACGTGCATAACATGCATGCATATGCATGCATGATTGAATATGACTAGTGATATGATCTTGATGAGTACTATTCACATGGCTACCGTTCCCCGTCGAAGGCAAGGACCACTAAGTGTTTTAGAGATGGGAGGTTCCGAAAACAAGGGGTACCTTATTTTGGGGTCCTTATAACAAGGATCCTACTATTTAGGGCACTATCTTAGGATCCCTAGTTTCGGAAACTCCCGGATCTCTTTAACCCAAAGAGACCAGCTGAAAGACGTCCTCAAAGCCTTAAAGTTGCAATACTTTCTACCCCAATAAGCCGCAGAAATGCAAGGTTAAACTTTCCGGCTCCTACAAAACTATAAGAACCCCAAACAAGTTTAAAGGTAAGGTTTTGGGGATGTAAGAATATACACAAGTCCCACGCGGCGTGTGCCTTCCAGGAACCGCCTGTGCTCTTCAATGCCTTCTGGGAAGTCCTCACGGAGCAGGCCAAATCTGGGTTCAGGGGTTTAGGGTTTAGGAGTTTAGGGGTTTAGGCTTGAAGCCTAAAGCCTAAACGCTGAACCCCCAAACCCTGCAGAATAGTAGTAGTGGTCAGGGTGTTTTTTTTTTGTTGTGGCCCCTTTTTGCTCGGGCCCCGTGCCAATGGTTTCTAGAATTCTTTTTGCTGCGGTCCCAGGGCGTGCAAGGTGTTTTTTTTTTTGCTCCGGCCCCGCCGAAAGGCAGGGGAAAGGGCGGGGCCAGAGCAAAAAAAAAAACACCACCCAGACCCTGCCCCGGAAGGGTCGCCCCGGCCCACAGTGAGTGAGTGAGCTTCCGGGCGGGGCCGCAGCAAAAAAAAAAACACCACCCAGACCCTGCCCCGGAAGGGTCGCCCCGGCCCACAGTGAGTGAGTGAGCTTCCGAGCGGGGCCGCAGCAAAAAAAAAAACACCATCCAGGGGGTGTTTTTTTTTTTGCTGCGGCCCCGCTCGGAAGCTCACTCACTCACTGTGGGCCGGGGCGACCCTTCCGGGGCAGGGTCTGGGTGGTGTTTTTTTTTTTGCTGCGGCCCCGCCCGGAAGCTCACTCACTCACTGTGGGCCGGGGCGACCTTTCGGGGCGCGGGCCTGAGGCAGCGATGCTTTCTCCTCCGCCGGAGTGGTGTTTTTTTTTTTGCTGCGGCCCCGCCGCCGTCGGGGTGTTGTTTTTTTTTTCTGCGGCCCCGCCCGGAAGCTCACTCACTCACTGTGGGCCGGGGCGACCCTTCCGGGGCAGGGTCTGGGTGGTGTTTTTTTTTTTGCTGCGGCCCCGCCCGGACGCTCACTCACTCACTGTGGGCCGGAAGGGTCGACCGGCCACAGTGAGTGAGTGAGCTTCCGAGCGGGGCCGCAGCAAAAAAAAAAAACACCATCCAGGGGTGTTTTTTTTTTGCTGCGGCCCCGCTCGGAAGCTCACTCACTCACTGTGGGCCGGGGCGACCCTTCCGGGGCAGGGTCTGGGTGGTGTTTTTTTTTTTGCTGCGGCCCCGCCCGGAAGCTCACTCACTCACTGTGGGCCGGGGCGACCCTTCCGGGGCAGGGTCTGGGTGGTGTTTTTTTTTTTGCTGCGGCCCCGCCCGGAAGCTCACTCACTCACTGTGGGCCGGGGCGACCTTTCGGGGCGCGGGCCTGGGCAGCGATGCTTTCTCCTCCGCCGGAGTGGTGTTTTTTTTTTTTGCTGCGGCCCCGCTCGCCGTCGGGGTGTTTTTTTTTTTGCTGCGGCCCCGCCCGGAAGCTCACTCACTCACTGTGGGCCGGGGCGACCCTTCCGGGGCAGGGTCTGGGTGGTGTTTTTTTTTTGCTGCGGCCCCGCCCGGACGCTCACTCACTCACTGTGGCCCGGGGCGACCTTTTCGGGGCGCGGGCCTAGGCAGCGATGCTTTCTCCTCCGCCGGAGTGGTGTTTCTTTTTTTGCTGCGGCCCCCGCCGAACTCGGCGAGCCAATAACAAAAAATGTCTGGTGTACTACATCGGGTCTAAAAAGACCCGGCGGGGCCACAGCAAAAAAAAAAACACCACTTCCTAGTAGTAGTATTAGCCAAATCTGAAGCCTACAGCCTAAAGCCTAAAACCTACCTTAACCCCACGTAACCTACCTTTTTAAGGACTTATGTAAAGAAATCATATTAGGGAACCCTAAAAAGGTAGGTTCCTTAGGGTCCAGGTAAGCCCTGAACCCCCAACCCCTACAGAATAGTAGGTTATGACTCCTTAATTAGAGGGTCTGACCCTTCAATCGGTAGGGTTGTGGGATCCACAAGTAAACCCTAAACCCCTAAAGCCCCAAAACCCTATAAGGGATAAATCCTTATAGGAGCCCCTTACAGATCCCTTTAAAGTAATCCCTAAACCTAAACCCTAATCACAGGGCCTATGCGACTCAGGCTTCCTTTCAGAGTTGGTTTCAAGGCTCTACACTGGTGGTTGTCAAAATTATGGTCCCTTTCGGGGTCCCTATTTTAGTACGGCACCTGATATTTAGGGTACCCAAGTAGGGACCCTAATTTTGACAACTACCCACAGGTTTAGTGGGTTCTATGAGAAACGTCTGAAGGCTTACCTGTGACCCCAAACCCTACAAAACAGCAGGGTATGACCCCTTCATCAGAGGGTAGAACCCTTGAAACCGCAGGTTTTTGGAGCCACAGGTACCTGTTTCACCAAACCCTACAAAATGGTAGGTTATGACCCCTTGATTAGACTGTCTGACCCTTAAAACGGTAGGTTTTGGGATCCACAGGTAAGGTTTGGGCGAGACGCTTCAGGCTGACAAAGAAACCGCTGCCCCCAAAACTACCTGAAATTCAAGAAACCCGAAACCCTCCTTGGAGACTCAAAGGACGTAAGCAAAATTAGAAGTGCCGTGACTAACTGGGGATATGGGTGGTTGTCAAAATTATGGTCCTTTTTGGGTACCCTAAAAAATAGGTGCCCGTATTATAAAAGGGACCCAAAAAGGGACCGTAATTTTGACAACCACCCATAAGTACAGCTACCTTGTTTATATCCCTGTTTTAGTGGGTCAGATGCAGTTTACCTGGTTTTAGTGGGTCAGATACTACAGAACCAGGTAAATTCCAAACGACCCCCAAAACGGAAGGGTTTTGGATTCACAGGTAAGTCCCATGATCCTTGAAGTACTGTCTGAAACCAAGACGAAGACCAGAAACAGCAGGTCCCCAAAGACTAAAATTTTAGTACGATCCCTAATATGCATGAAAGAATATTAATATTCCTTAATTAAAGGATGTTGGAGTCTCTGGGCATATCAAACCCGGGCTTTGGGCTGGAGGTATAGGTAGGCCTAGACGCCCTGAACATGTCTACCTCTGTTACCGGATATGCTAGTAGGAAGCTGAGAGCTAAGATCGGGATTCGTTGAGTGCAGATGTTAAAGTACAAGTCTTCGGTGATACCTGTCAAAGCCGTAGGCCTGAACCCTAAACCCCAAAGACCTAAAACACAGCCTTAGCAAAGATGGCACTGCACCAATTCAGACTGACACAAATGACAGTCGACCTCAATGCAAACAACTAGCAGCCAAGCGAAGGTGCCTATAAGTGTACTTCCTGTACTTCCTAAGTCCCATGAATCCCAAAACCCTAAACCCCTAAACCCCAAACCCTTAAACCCCTGAACCCTAATCTCCAAGTGCAGAGCCATCTGCCTCCAGGAGCTGCTGTCTCCCTCAAGATGCCCTGATAACTGTGCCTACCTTGGGATCCGAAAACCTACCGTTTTAAGGGTTCGACCCTCTAATTTAGGAGTGATAACCTACTATTTTGTAGGGTTTGGGGCCACAGGTAAGCTGACACTCTAAGATTTTGGAGTTACTGTGGGATCCCCACCCTGAGCCCGATGAAGAGCCTCCTTGAAAATATTTGTCTTTTGTCGATGAGACCTGTTTCCCCTACCTGTGACTCCAAACCCTACGAAATAGTAGGTTATGACCCCTTAATCAGAGGGTAGAACCCCTAAAACGGTAGGTTTTCAGATCCCAAGGTGGGCCCTAAAACCCCCAAACCCTACGTCCAAAACCCGAGAGCGCAAAGCCCTTGGACCTAACCCTGAACCTTTAAAAGCTCCGGGGCCAATGCAATAAGAGATGACCCACCTAAACCCCAGAACAACTAAACCCTACACACTCTACAGCCTATGACTATAGCTGTGAGACTATAAGATTGTAAGCCCTAAACCTTACCTGTGGATACAAAAACCGACCGTTCTAAGGGTCAGACCCTCCAATTATGGGGTCATAACCTACTATTTTGTAGGGTTTGGGGATACAGGTAAACACCCAAAAACGCTGGGAGCCGTATCGAGCCCGGGGACCCAACGGCACGCCACAGCAGCTCGGCCATCTGCCAAAGCACGTCGTCTACGGCAGGAAGCTCGGAGACCTTCAAGGAATGTAGGGTCTCCCCTGGGATCCGAAAACCTACCGTTTTAAGGGTTCGACCCTGTAATCTACTATAATGTAGGGTTTGGGGCCACAGTTCCTTCCAAAAGATCTATAAGCGTTCTTTCAAGGGCTCTTATACGGGATCTTTAGGGTTTTGGGATTAGTTTTGTCAAGGAGTGTACGGTTTAGGATTTAGGGATAGGGTTCAATACTCTCTTCGTCTTTGAAAAGTTTTATAGAGTTTAGGAGCTTCGTGTTAGGCTTACATCTTCCACATAGTATTAGATAGCTTTTCCTCAATACTGCAGGACTTACGGGTTCTATGCTTTCTTTAGGGAATGTCAGGCTTCAGGCTTCTTTAAGAAAGTGTGAAAACGGGCTTCCTTGAGGAATGTAGGGTATAATATGCGTTCAAGGGTTGTGATTTTAGGGTTTAGGGTTTAATAAGGCTTCTATGTGGACGTCTGTCTGGCTCTTTCTCACCTTTTTAGAGACAACCTTCTCTCTGAAGGTCCATGTTCTCGCAGCTAAGCTGTGTAATACAGAGGCCTTAATTATGCAGTTATAATCAGGAACCCCAAGAACTCGTTGTGATTCATCTCGCGGTGGTTTAGAGAAGTGGCCCCTGCCAGAGTCGCGATCTTCTTGCAAATGGCCCTCATGTCTGGCGCCATAAATCCCCTAAACCCTTAACCAGAAAACCTCTGAACCCTTACACTAAACCCTGACCCCCATAAACTTCTAAACCCTTACACTAAACCCAACCCTGAACCCCTAAACCCCTTATCCCTTAAATCCCGAACCTCCAAACCTCTGAACCCCTAAAGCCCTAACCACTACACCCTAAACCCCTAAGCCCTGAACCCGCGTAGTAGGATCCTTCATATGATTTAAGGAATACCTGTATCCCCCAAACCTACAAAATGGTGGATTATGACCCCTTGATCAGAGGGTCTTACCCCTAAAACAGTAGGCTTGTGGATCCCCAGGTATTGCTAAATTAAGGGGTATTGGAGTCTCTGAGATCTCTAAACCCTAAACCCTACAGATCCCTTAAAGGAACCCTTGAGGATCCCTTTAAAGGAACCTTAGTATTCCTTAATTACAGTAAGGGATACTGGAGTCTCTCTGGGCCCTCGTCTTCGAGACTGCATCGCTTCAGACGGCACGAGATGCCTTTCTTTCCCGGCTCGGGCTCACCATCATGGCCTTGCCCAGGGACCCTTTAAGGCAGAAGCATCTACTATACTTGGCTGACTTCTGAACCCCTCCTAAAAGTTAAACTTTTAGCCTCCTCATTATAGTTCATATAGAAACCCAAAAAGTTAAAGTCTAAAGGGCCAGCCAGAAGAATGCCAAGATAAAGGTACATGGAGCCTTTGGGATGATGAAGCTTGGCGAGCTTATCAACTTGAATCGCCATGTCTTCGACGTCGCCTCCGCTGCGTGGCACCTCATAAGCAAACGCGGATCTCACCAAGGACCGCCCATATGATGTACCACGAATCTTTTTGGTCTGTTTGGCCTGGGACTATTCTTGAGTAGATGGAAAGAAGATGCAAAGTCGGCATTAAGCCACCCCTAAACATAAGCCCGAATCCCTTAAATTCAAAGCCCAGAACCTCTACAACAGCCTGAAATGAGCTGAATGTCATGAGCAGAGGCCGACGCTGAATGACATCATCACGTGTGATAATGAAAATATGCACTGGCCAACTGTTTTTTCCTGGCTGTATGTGCATGGCTGTAACATCCTGCTGTACTGATCCGACCTGGCCTGGAATCGGAAACACCACCTCTAGGATCCTTGAAGGCGTGAAGGCTGGATGCTAGCTCCCAAGCACCTGAACCCAACAATACTACAACCCTTATACCTAAAGCCAACAAACCCCAAATCCTGAAACCCTAAACCCATTGAACTAGGCCTCATTTCGCCAAAGACCTCACCCTGACTGATTTATGCTTTCGGGGTGTACGGGTTGAGGGTTTAACTCTGAGCCCTAAACCCCTAAACCCCAAACCCGTAAACCCTAAATCCTAAACTACCCTAAACCCCTAACCCTAAACCCCGTAAAGCCTTTTTATTCACCCGGATGTGAAGGGCCTGCTCGCCCCTCCCATGCGCGAAGAGCACTTTCACAGCTGCACTGAACTCCTGGTAATCCTGCGTTTCGGGTTTGTGGCTACCTGTGGATCCAAAATCCTACCGTTTTAAGGGTCCCTCTAATTAAGGGGTCATAACCTACTGGGGATACAGGTCGGGCTTGCTTTAGGGGAGTCTCGGTTGGACTAGTATTCGTTGGGGGCATTATACAGCTCCTTGAGGTGTATTCCCGGGGTACCCTAAACTCCGAGCCCTACAACCTAGATTGTCAGACTTGACAGGAAAAGCCTAGAGATTCGAAGGAAAACTGCGGATTGCTACATGTAGGACGCGAGAGTCAGTCCAAAACTAAAACCTAATCCGAGTCCATGCTTGGGATAGTATTACAAAACCTAGATGTCCAATTATCCCTTGTTGGGTTTAAGTACCCATACAGATGTAAAATGCTACCCAGCTTATGTTCAGAACACGGCTTGTCATGCCCTAGTATAAACCCTAATCCCGCAACCCAGGAAACCCCTCAACCCTAAACTTGACCTGTAGCCCCAAACCCTACAAAATGGTTATGACCCTTTAATTAGAGGGTCTGACCCTTAAAACGGTAGGTTTTTGGGGCCCCAAGGTAACCTTACCTGTGGATCCAAAAACCTACCGTTTTAGGGGTTAGACCCTATAATCCAAGGGTAATAACCTACTATTCTATAGGGTTTGGGGTCACAGGTAAGGCTTAGAGAACATGTTCGGGAGTCAGAGTTTAGAGGGCCTGCCGCTGAACTTGTCTCTGCCTTTTTGTTGGGTTCAGGGTTCAGGATTTAGGGTTTTGGGGCTTAGGGTTTAGGGTTTAGGGCACATGGTTTAGGGTGGGTAACTTCGGAAGTCGTGGCCAAAAAAAGTCGGTGTCTATCAAGGTTTGATGTGGCTTTTCCGGATTCGACATGACACCGTTCCCAATGTTTCAGAGTTTAAAGACGTCGAGGTTTTCGGGGGTTTCAGGTTGACAAGTTCAAGTTGAAGTCTGCTCGACTCTACTCGCATTAGCTCTAACCCTGGGGATCGAAAAATAGCCCAAAAGCCCTATGAGTCCTTAGATCCCTAGGGTTAGCGATGAGTGAAGAAGGCAAACGCTTGAGCTTCAACATTGGGAACTGCCTGGCAGGGGATGGGTGATGATCATGCTTCGACAGGCAAGGTCTGTGGAGGATTTGCCTGGGCAAGCACAGGATGTGTAGTGATACTGCTTGGACATGCAAGGTTTGTGGCCAATTTTTGGCGCGGAGATACCGTACTACGCAAACCCCTAAACAGTCCCTAAACCCTAACCCATTTCATCACATGGACGCCGAATTCAGCCCTGTCTTGCCCACTTGCAAGCTCAGGGGGCTTTGTAAGCAAAGTTATACTTCGGGTTATACGTCCCCTAAGTGGGGTTATCTTAGTTGTAGGCTAACTTACATCTACGCCGGCAAAGGCCGCAGGCGCGCACACCCTTCTCGGACAGACCTCTGATGCCACCAGAGACTCCAATATCCCTTAATTCAGGAATATACGCCAAGGGTCCAAGGACCCCATAATCATATATACTCCTAACCTACATAACTACTACCCTAAAGCCGAATACCTAGTTATTGGGTCCTTCGGACCCTTGGGGATACCTTAAACTATCGTAGGATCCCTAATATGATTTAAGGAATATGTCTGAATTGGGGGGGGTATTGGACTTGGCTCACTTCTGAACCCCTCCTAAAAGTTAAACTTTTAGCCTCCTTATTATAGTTCATATAGGAACCAAAAAGTTAAAGTCCTAAATCCTAAATCCACAAACCCTACACCCTGTAGATCCCTTATAGAAACCCTTAAAGGGCCCCCCTTAAAGACCCTAAGCGCCAACCAGAAGAACGCCAAGAGGAGTCTCTGGGGATGTGGACCTGACATCACCAATTCTCGCTGGCGTGGGGGTCGGTAGAATCACAGACACACGATTCTATACTGAACTTAGAACCTTAGCAAAAATCATAATTTTAGCTGTTTCTCAGCGGTTATAATAACAAAAAATTAACAATTATATCTAAGTACCCCTAGGGATTCTTCCGAACGTGGGCCCGGAACGTAGTTCCGTTGGTCCTGGTCTCTACCGATGTGCTGGAAGAGACTGGAAGCTCACGTTGTTGAAGACTGGTGCAGCAGTGCCCTAAACCCTAATTACCTGTGACCCCAAACCCTGCCCCTCATCTAGAGGGCAGGACCCTTAAAACGGTAGGTTTTTGGATCCCCATAAAAACCCTAAACCCCTAAACCCTAAACCCTAAACCCTTAACCCTTAAACCCTAAACCCTAAACCCTGAACCCTGAACCCTAAGCCCTAAACCCCTAAACCCTAAACCGCGTTCGCAGGTCGGCGTGAGACCCGAGTGGCGAGATATCGGCCCAGAGACTCCAATACCCCTTATAATTAAGGAATATACCTTAAATTATAGTAGGATCCCTTAATAGGATTTAAGGAATATTCCTTAATGAAGGGATATTGGAGTCTCTGGGGGGTTTATCTATCCGGTCTAATCATGCGACCCTCAACCTCCCTGGAAAACCAAAAAACTACCGTTTTAAGGGTTCGAACGGTTCGACCCTCTAAGTAAGGGCTCATAACCTACTATTTTGTAGGGTTTGGACCCACAGGTTTAACCTGAATTCGCTGAATCCGATTTGGACCTAAAGCTTCCTAAACTCTCCATCCTAAACCTTCTTAAAACGGTTTAGGGTTTAGGGTCCTTCTTAAAACTCGCAGTCGCGAAAGCCCTTCTACCCTGTCAGCGAGGTACCTAAAAGCCGAGAGCCATCCCTGCCGAGCCGCTGGGCTCAGCTGTCCTTTCATGTGTCTGGGAGGTGGCCGACCATCAGCAAAAGGAGCCGGGGTGGTCAAGCAAGGAATGACCTTCGAACGATCGCACACCGACTCATGGAATGTCAAGCCTGGCATGTCGAACGAAGAGGGCTCGTCCTTCTTGACTGAGAGGTGCAACCGTTGCATGCCATGCATTAGATCCGGCCCCCACCCTGTAATAGTGACTATAAGGATTATATAGGATTATATTAGGGCCCTATTATACTCCTACTATACCACTCTTACAGGGTGGGGGCAGCTTCTAAGCCATGCAGCTTGTTCCACTTGAGAGGCTCCTCTGGGCGATAAGGGTGTTGAGTCACGCTGGCCAAGTTCACCCGTGACCACCACTTGCGTGGCCTCGAAATGAGACCAAAAGCCGATGCCCTCAACCCTGAACAAGCCTCAACTAAACCCTACACCCTAAATAAACCCCTAAAGCCTCAACCCCGAATTAACTAAACCCCTAAACCCTAAACTCCAAAAGAGAGCCTTGTCCGTGAGGCGACAGCGAGCTGTCGACAGCCACTTCGAGAGGCTCGCCACCTGGTTGGGGCATTCACGCGAAACCTTTACAGATTCCTACAAGGCTGCCTTTAGAGGGTTTGCCTGTAGCCCCAAACCCTACAAAACGGTAGGTTATGACCCCTTCATTAGAGGGTCTGACCCTTAAAAAGGTAGGTTTTTGGATCCCAAGATAAACCTTAAACCCTGAAACCCCAAAACCCTACAGATCCCTTATAGGAGCCCTTAAAGGGAAACCCCTATAGAATCCTTTAAAGACCCTTTAAACCCCTATCTTAAACCCTGAACGCTAAACCCTAAACCTTAAACCCTAAGCCCCAAAACCCCTAAACCCTAAACCCCTAAACCTTGGCGATCGGCGGGTTTGCTATGCGATCGCCACGCGCTGGGTTTGTTTCAGGGCCCGGCACTGTGTTTGCTTAAACCGCTGGGTGGGGTGTCCTGTTCCTTGGGATCCGAAAACCTACCGTTTTAAGGGTTCGACCCTCTAATCTAGGGGTCATAACCTACTATTTTGTAGGGTTTGGGGCCACAGGTTGTCATAATGTACGACGAAGAGGACCTTACCATGGATACATCCTCGATCCTCCAGCTCAGCGGCACATCCAGTCCAAGTCGACGACTGAGAATATCGCTTATCTGCGTCAAATCAGCTATTGAATCGCTAAACGGATAGCAGTTCGGCCAACCCGAAGGGCGGGTAGATGGGTCTGGGATAGGCCTGGAGCCGTGAGAGGCCCTCCATCGGGCGTTCCTCATTAATTGGAATTTAAGGCCCTGAGTCTCGAGGTTGTCCGAATCCATCGAAGCTTCTCTCCAGACTTAGGGAATTTGGGGCTTTAGGGTTTTGAAGGCTTTAATTAAGGCTTTGAGGCTTAGGGTTTAGGGTTTGGGGTTTAGGGTTTGGGGTTTAGGGTTTGGGGCTTAGGGTTTAGGGTTTAGGGGTTTTGAAGGCTTTAGGGCTTAGGGCTTAGGGTTCAGGGTTTAAGATAGGGGTTTAAAGGGTCCTTTAAAGGATTCCATAGGGGTTTCCCTTTAAGGGCTCCTATAAGGGATCTATAGGGTTTTGGGGTTGCAGGGCTTAGGGCTTATGTTGGGATCCAAAAACCTATCGTTTTCAGGGGTTCTACCCTCTAATTAAGGGGTCATAACCTACTATTTTGTAGGGTTTGGGGATGCCGGATGCACTTACGCCCAGGACAATCCCTGAACCCCACCCGGCCGACCGAAACCCTATTGTTTTAGGGGTTAGGCCTACACTTAACGGGTCATAACGTACTATTTTGTAATTGTAGGATTCGGGGTCCAGGACATCATAGGGATCCTTAGGGGTGTAGGGGGGAGGGGTGTAGGGGACTATATTTCCTTAAATAGGCCATATTAGTCCTTATTATGGGCCTTAAGGCCCCCTACCCCCCCTCCCCCTACACCCCTAAGGATCCCTATGAGGACAAGAACAGCAAACACCATCAAAAGGCATGTCGGACATATCGGGTCTACATACGGATGGGTCCATGCACCTACTTATACTCCCAATTAGGGTACTTATACCTGTGCTTACTGAGTCCCATGAACCTCCAAGTACACAGTATTGATTTACTTTTGGCCTTGACGTACCCGCACAATTCTACGGGGGCTCGCTCTCTGTTGGACGAGAGACGGCTAAGGTCTACCTGTGACCCCAAACCCTACATAAGAGTAGGTTATGACGCCTTAAATAGAGAGTCGAACCCTTCAAACGGTAGGCTTTCGGATCCACAGGTAGGGTTTAGGGTTGCAGAGATGGTGCATTTGACACACGAGTATTTAACACGTATCTATGTCTGTCTGCACGCATCGATACTTGCACAGTTTTGCTGCTCCTGCGGTTCTCGTACCCAGAAACCTTGGCTGAATTCTGGACCCCTCCTAAAAGTTAAACTTTAAAGGCTATTTATTTGTTATAGTTCATATAGAAACCTAAAAAAATGTCCTAAATCGCCAAACCCTAACACCTATAGATCCCTTATAGGAGCCCTTAAAGGAAACCTTAAAGGACCCCCTTAAAGGCCCTAAGAGCCAACCAGAAGAACGCCAGGAAACGTAAGCATCGCCTGAGCTCAAACCCTAGACATTTGGGAGTTTCCGGTAATTAGGGGTACCTTATTCTGGGGTCCTTACAACTAGGATCCTACTATTTAGGGTACTATGGTTGATGATACAAATCCTGCATTACCCATAAGAAGGAATATACCGTAATTCCCATAGTTTAGGGTCCTTAAGGTCATGCAGGATTTATATATCATCACCCTAAACCTTAAAACCCTATAGATCCCTTAAAGGAACCCCTTAAAGGTACCCCCTATATAGATCCCTTTAAAGGAACCCCCAGGATTTCGATCAGCAGCCGTAGGGTTCCCTTTTTCGGAAGCCCCCATTCAATTATAGTATCCTTAAGGGAGGGGGGTCCAAGGGGGGTACCCTAAGGGTCCAAGTACCCAAATAGTAGGGTTTCAAGGTCCAAAAACCATTCAGAGTATGGATTTTGGGACCTAAAACCCTACTATTTGGGTACTTGGACCCTCTGGGGTATATAGCCTACCGATCCCTAAGTCTCCCTAGTACTCCCTAAGGTTCCCTTACAGTCCCCTAAGGATTCCTTATCCCCCCTTGAACCACCCTCCCTTAAGGATCCTATAATTCAACAGATGCTCCTCGTTTCCCCACTTGGAGGTTCATGGGAGTTGGTAAGGAGCTCTTTTTAAAAGGCTCCTGAAAAGAATCTATAGGGTTCCTTAAAGGGATCTATAGGGTTTAGGGTTTAGGGTCTACTTGGAGGTTGATGGGACGTAGTAAGTACAGTTATAAGTACCTTAATTGGGGTTATAAGTACATAAGTGTAGTCACCAATATTATAGCTCTAGTTACCAAGTCCCATGAACCTCACAGTATCCCACACCCTAAACCCCACGCCCTGAGCCAGGGAGGCACCTTGGTCTCAGCATGCCGTGCCTTCGGTGTAGTTGCATCCACATTGGAAACCATGGCGACAAAGCGGCTTAGGGATTATGGTTTAGGAGTTTAGGGGTTCGGGGGCTTGGGGGTAAGCATTAGGTCAGAGTGTATGTCCGAAACCTAGAACCCTTAAGCCCTGAATCCCTGAAAACCGTTGAAACAAATCATCTCTACCTTTAGAGGCGCCGCATGTACTAAGCGTTATAGAAATAGATGCCACCAAGAGACTGATGTACATGCATTCGGGATTGGGGCCTAATATTCGGAGTTGAGGGTTTGGGGCCTAATATTCCTGGATTAGATCCTTAACCCTGAACCTACGCACCACACTCAGTAGCAAGGAAAGGACCTATCTTCTAAACTCTTGAACCCTGCAAGCTAGTACAAGGGCTTTATGATAACTGCAATAAGGGCTGAGGTTGTGATCGGTTTTGCGTAAACATGTTCAAAGACGCTGATGACGTGTTGTAGTTCTGATGCCTACACTACACCTACATGACCTACATAATCTCGCGTTGGTCCATGTACCTCGCTCATTACTATGGAATTAAAGCACCCGGAAGAACATTCTGATCAGGGTCTTGGGGGACAAACCCTAAACCCTAAACCCTTAAACCCTAAACCCTTAAACCCTAAACTTTAAACCCTAGACAATTCCATGATAGCCCTCTTGTTAATTTTTGCCGGCTCTCAACCCTGAATATCCCTCCCTCAACCCTGAAGCATACAGGGCTTCTAGGTCATGAACCTATCTGTGGCTCCAAAAACACACCGTTTCAAGGGTTCTACCCTCTGAAGAAGCGGCCATACCCTACTGTTTTGTTGGGTTTGGGGTCACAGGTACCGATACTGAACTTAGAACCCTAGCAAAAATTTTAATTTTAGCTGTTTCTTAGGGATTATAATAACCAAAAAATCAAAATTGTTTCTAAGTACCCCGAAGGTAAAGCTTCAGCCAAGTCCAATCGTCGAACAATGGCCGGTCAGCATGCAGTGCTTCGGTCTTCGAAGGTTTGGGGTTTACCGCTTATAGGGTTTAGGGCTTATAGGGTTTAGTAAGGGTTTAAGGGTTTAGTTCGGGGTTTAGGGTTTAGGGTGGGACGGGACAAGTCTTTCCCTGAACCTGGCCACAGTTCAAAACCCGCACAAGTTCTCATGTGCGCATGTCGTATAGAGTTTGGCTTCACAAAAGTGTAAACCATCTGGGCACATGGCCCCTCCTTGCTTTTTGAACATGTTGCATGTCGAAATCCTCTTCGTTGCACTCGGTGGGTGGTAACCCCACTTGGAGGTTCATGGGACTTGGTAGTAAGCACAGTTATAAGTACCTCAACTGGGGATCTACTTACATATAGGTATACTTGCCTTGTCTATGGCCTCTTGGCTGATTTCTGAACCCCTCCTAAAAGTTAAACTTTTAGCCTCCTTATTACAGTTTATATAGAAACCCCAAAAGTTAAAGTCTGAAGAGCCAACCAGAAGAACGCCAAGTATAGGTATACTTACCTTGCCTATAACCTGGTTACTAAGTCCCACGAACCTGTAAGCAGAGACAGAGGCGAAATGGCCGAATACAGGGCCGCAAAGAGCTGTGATTTGCTTTTTTCAACTTACTACCCCGATAAGCCACAGAACTAAGAGGTTAAACTTTCCTATTCCTACTTAACTGTAAGAACCCAAAAAGTTTAAAGGTTAGGTATTGGGGATCAGAGGTCAATAATAACCAGGCGCAAAAGTAGTTTAGACGTTCGGTTTAGGGTTTAGGGTTTTTAGGATTTAGGGTTTAGGGGTTTCTATCATGGGCCGAATACATATAAGACCAAAACGTTTAAAGTGCTCCCATTGGCCGTCCAAGCTTCTGGACTGAATATGACTTCTTCGCTGCTGTTTATGAGGGCTTACAGGTCGCATGCAGGATTAGGGCTTTAAGGGTCTAGGGTTCTGGGGTCTAGGTACACATGTAGGAACATGAGCAAGAAACCTTGGGCCTTGAGCAGGGTTCTTGATATGAGCCCTAATATGTTTAGGCACTAAAACCTAAACCCTGATATTTTGCCCGGATATCTTGGGTGGTACACGGCCCTAAACCCTAAACCCTCACCCCTAAACCCCAAACTCTCAACCCCAAACCATAAACCCCAAACCCTCAACCCCAAACCCTAGACCCTAAACCCTAAACCCTCAACCCTAAATCCTAAACCCTAAACCCGGGTTCCTACATGAATCAGACGAGGGGCTGGAGGAGTCTCTGGGTTCAGGGTTCAGGGGTTTTCGGGTTTGGGGGTTTAGGGGTTCTTAAGGAATCCTTAGGGGCTCCTTTAAGGGCTCCTTTAAGGAATCCTTCAAGGAATTCTTAGGGGCGCTTCTATGGGTTTAGGGGTTTGGGGGTCTAGGGTTTAGGGGTTCAGGGTTTTAAGGGTTAAGGGTTTAGGGTTTAGGGTTTAGGATTTAGGGTTTAGGGTTTAGGGTTTTAAGGGTTCAGGGGTCTAGGGGTTTAGGGGTTCAGGGGTTCAGGTGTTTCGGGGTTTAGGCTGCAGGGTCCAGGGGTTCCAGGGTTGAAGTTTTAGGGTAGAATTTCTTTCAACCTCTGCGTGAACCCTAAAGAACAACATAACCCCTTAAACAAATGGATATGGCAGTAAAAGATCATTTTGCTTCCCCTGCTGAAGGTACCGTGGTAACTCTAGGTTTAGATCCCTACATTCGAATAAGACCTTTTGCGTCAATGCTAACATAGCTAACATGCATATACCCCTAGACCCAAGGGTAACCTAGGAATAAAAAGGGTGCCCCTTTTGGTGTAAAGGGGCTTATAAGGGAACCCGAACCCTTAAAAAGGGAATAAGGGTCTACTCTAGGTCCTAGACTCCAAATATCGTAAATGCCCACGCCACTTCGGAAGTCGGGGCCATCGTGCGTGGCCCCGGGAAAGCTGCGCTACGATCCGAGCTGTGGTTCATTGGCCACAAGGCAGGTTTTCACCGATTTTCCCGGCTCTCCATAAGGCTTTCGGGGTCTATGATGCATTGTATTGTTTAATGAGTTTAATGCATTGTTTAGACGGCCTGCGGCAATTGTGTACAGATCTGTTGAAAGGCTTACGAAATGTAGGGTTGCAGAAGCTGCTGGCTGTCGATGATACGAGGCTGCTGATTCGGTTTTAAAACTATTGTTTTACGGCATTTGGGCTTTGTAGGGCAGGGGTTTGGAAGGGTCCAGACTGCCCAGTGCTTAGGTATTCGGGCGTAGCATAATAATTTGAGAACGCACGCGCAAACCTGTCAAACGCTTGTAGGCTTTAGGGTTTAGGACTGGTTGCATGCTTAGGGCTTGCTTTAATTTCTCGAACATTCCGCTGGCGTGCCCTTATGATAAGAACAACAGATTCCACCAATACTCGTTTCCTTTTTCAAAGGCAAACAACATCACGATTTCTGGTTCAAGGTCCGAAGTGGTCCTCGTCTAACCCTAGGCATCTAGGACTAACATATTAAGGCTCTTGGGCCCAATGACCATACTATATAAGGCTTTTGGGCTATTTTGATGCCCAGGGTAAAGGGTGGAACATGCAGGTTGTGTGTTAGTTTGAGTTTGGGGCTTTGGATGTTGGGTTTGGGGTTTGGTTCACTTCGACAGCCGGTACCTATCTTGTTTAAAAAGCCTAAACCGGTTCAGGGATCATACGTCAGGGCAGCAGGTATGCCGTAGGATCTAGAAAGTCAAAACTGTAATAAGTAACAGGTTCCAAAGTCATATAAGGTTACGGGGCCACATTGAAGGCTGACAGCTACTCTACTCATCTTTGCTCTAGTTGGAGTTATGGATTTTGGGGCTTAGGGTGAGGGTTTACATAACATGGTTTAGGCAGGGTGTAGGTTTGAGAGTACTGTGGGGTGTTGGAGTTAGGATATGGGGTAGCCTGAAGCAAAAAGGAACCACAGATCGATTGACGCCATTAGAAATGCGAAAGGCCGCTTCGGGCGTTTTCACGATCCCAGTATCTCAGGGCTCAAAGACTCGAGTTTGGGAGCAACACTTTAGCACACATCGGCAGGAACAATGACGAAACAACTGTCCGAATCACACAGCTCCACAACAAACGCGAAAGCTAACACCCATCCAAAGACAGGTGATTTGGGACGCTGGGTGGCCTTTCCCTACAGCTACATCTGGACTGCCATGCGAGGACTGCTCTACATTCGGATCACCTGCTTATGACAGACCCACTGCTGATGAGTGGGTACCTGTGGATCCAAAAAACTACCGTTTTAACCTCTAATTAAGGGGCCATAACCTACCATTTTGAGGGATTTGGGGATACAGGTAGTTCTCCAAATTAGGGTCCCGCATTTTTAGGCCGAAATGCAGTACGGCATCCCAAAACGCCCAGGAGGGACCCTAAGTTAAAGAACAACCCGAGTGCTTACCTTTGGAAGCACCTTTTAGCGGATACAAAACCGTAAACTCCAAACTCCAAAAGCTTTAGTCATAGCAGCGCACATCAGCATGAAATTGTAATTCATGACCCCTAAGGGTCCAAGTACCCAAATAGTAGTGGTTTCAAAGTCCAAAAACCATTCAGAGTATGGATTTTGGGACCTAAAACCCTGCTCTTTGGGTACTTGGACCCTCTGGGGACGCGACTTTAGAACCCCACAAAACCCTGACAAACCTTTCAAGAACCCTCTTTCAACCGAGTAAAACCCTGAAGAGATCGGGTATCTAAGTCTTTTAAAACCCTAGAAAGCAAAACCCTAGACCCTAAACCACCTAAACCGAAAAAAAAAAAGCACGAAACCCGGGAAAAGCAGGCTGCAGACTCCTACTACACCTGATATAAACCCAAAAGCGGTTTAGGGTTTAGGGAACCCAAAAGCGACCCGAATTTAGAACAGCCCCCACGTGAAACCTTCATGCCGGTGCCGATCAGCCCACGGAGTGCAACCCCGCCCTGCAGACTGTAAGGGCTTCGGGTTTACGGGTTTAGGGGCGGGTGTAGCGTTTAGGGTTTAAGGGTTTAGGAGTTTAGGGGTTTCGGGTTTAGGGGTTTTTGGATTTAGGGTTTAAGGGTTTAGTGTTCAGGGGTTTAGGGTGTAGGGTTTAAGGTTTAGGGCTTAAAATGGGGGTTTAAAGGGTCTTTTAAAGGATTCTATAGCGGTTTCCACTGAAGGGCTCGTACAAGGGATCTAAGGGATCTATAGTTTGGGAGTTTAGTTTAGGGTTTACCTTGGGATCCAAAATCCTACCGTTTGAAGGGTTCTTCCCTCTGATTGAGGGGTCATAACCTACTATTTCGTAGGGCTTGGGATACAGGTAAGGTTTAGGGTACACGGTTCAGATGAATTACAAGGATTATTCATTAGGGTTAACGGCTTAGCGTGAAAAGTCGTTTAAGGTAGAGGGCTTATGTTTAAGGTGCTGTAAAGCTTACAGTTTGGGATAAAGGGTTTGGGGTTAAGGGATCATCGTAAAAGGTTTAGGGCGCTTTAAAGCTTAGGGTTTAGGGTTTGGGGGAGAGGTGTGTAGGCTTTAGGGCTTGGTCAAACCCCTACAACCTTACTACCCCAAAGTTGCAAAAGTAAAAGGTTAAACTTTCCGATTCCTACTGTGTAAAGGTTAGGTATTGGGGATCCAAGAAACGGACAGCCGAAGTCTCTAGGACTCTAGGGAAGCCTAGATGGGTCTGTAGGAAATTGGCTGACTTCTGACCCCCTCCCAAAAGCAAAACTTTTTAGTCTCATTATTAAAGTTCACATAGAGACCCAAAAAAGTTAAGGTCCTAAGAGCCAACCCGAGGAACGCCAAGGGAACTTGGTAGTTTTTGTACTTAGGTTCTTTAGTAAACTTTACAGGGATTTGATACAGGGTTGCGCAGCTTTACTCGGTCTTTTATTAGCAGGTTTTATGCCGCCTTTTCTGATTTCATAAAGCTCTATAATATTGATGAAGTTTTGAAGACGTTGAAACAGTTTAAGAAGGGGTGTAGCAAAGGCTTTCTTAAGGGGTTTCAAGGGGCTGGTCTCATCCATTTTCATTGTTGCGGATCTTGGCGTCTTTCCGGCTTTGTGTTCTTTTTGGTCAAAACTGTGTTTACACACTTTACACCCTACGGGCCTACGGGGTTCAGAGTTCGGGCTACAAGGCTTTTCCTACATGTTCAGTAAGCCTTTGGGCACAAAACGTTATTTATATAGGAAGTGTTTAGAGGTTACCTACTCCACTACTGGCTATTTTGTCGGGGGGCTTGTTAGATCAGAGAAGACCCTAACCCTCAGACGCCAAGCCTCAACCCCGAAAGCCTCGCACCCTCAAGTGTCATGTATACATATGTAGTGTCTAATCAGACCTTGCATGTGGGCCCCATGTAGGTACTTAAGGGCGACCCGAAGAACAATGCAAAATCTTTCAGATCTCCCAAACCTAATGAAACTCCAGGCACTTGGATAATGTAGGGAAGTGCCGGCGTTGGAGTTTCTGTAGTAGTGTAGCAGGTGTGTTAACACGGCAGGACCATGTACTTAGTTCCCGTTGGAGATAAGCATCGGCGTCGTCACGCTCCGACAGGTTTTGCACTTCCCCAGAAGCGGGTCGCGCGAGTGCAGAAGCTGCTCGCGGCAATACCTGGCCAACATGGGGCCAAGGGCAATGTCATACTTCCGCTCCAGGAGATAGCCTCGTAGTTCTACACACCTGGCTGTGCCAGCCTCTGCTGCCTCCTCTTCGGGCAGCAGATGTCGGCGGACAAGGCTAAGGCCCTCCGCATGAGGAATCAGCTCCGCGCCAAGTGTCGGCACCCTCAGGTATTCCTGGAGCTCATAGGCTCTCAGGACAGGTGACGCCTCAGCCGTTAGATAACCCAATGCCTCACCTGTCATGGCACTGGTCAAGCGCCAGACATCCTCACCTGTGAAAGCACCACGCGCTCTGCAGGCTCCGAGAACATACTCTGAGTGCCACTGCAACGCCAAGTCCATCGCCGACCTGCCCCAGCCGGCTAACCTCGCTTCAGGGTCACCAAGTAAACTCCGGGGCACGAAGCCCGAGGCCGCCAATGTAATGGTCAACGAGTCTATCAAGCAGTTGCAGCCGTCGCTGCTAGCACGACACAAGTGCAGATTTTCTTCAGCGAGCGTGGCCAGACGCTGCTCGCTGCTGACGCACCCCACGGTATTTGCTTCGTCTTGAGTAGCAAGACGCAGGAAATGTTCCATGGGAAGAACCGTCGCACGGAACACACTAGACCCTGATGCTTGAACCCGAACCGCCGTATGGCTTCTATGGAAAGGCAGACTCGAAACTGAAGCTCCCAGAATAAACCCTAAACACTTTTAATATAGGGACCGAACATGAGTGTTTCTTTTATTAAGGCTCGTATACTACCCCATACTACATATGGGGTATAATATTGAGACCTCAAAGTATGTAAAACCCCTCAAGAACCGTTTCAGGAATGGTTTGAGACACCCAAAAGCAAAAAGGGCCGCAGATTCCCGTGAACCCTGAATCAAAAAGCCTTAAACCCCACCTGTCGCTCCAAACCCTTCAAAATAGTGGGCTATGACCCCTTCATTAGAGGGTCTAACCCCTAAAACAGTAGGTCTTTGGATCTCCAGGTATATTAAAACTAAACCCAAAACACCAAAACCCTGTAGATCCCTCATAGGAGCCCTTCAAGGGAACCCTGACAGATCCCTTTAACGGAGCCCTAAACCCTAAACCCCTAGACCTTCAACCCCTAAACCCCTTAATCCCACCTTCGATGTACTAAAGCTGCACAGAGCCCATAGGCTACAACGCCTGTGGAAGTAGCACAAACAAAGAAATAATCCCACCTTCAGGAGTCTGCTCGTCCACCAGCAGAAAGCAGATGCTAGGCTTTTCCGTTCGGAAAGCATCGGATGCACCTGCGAATTGGAGCGTTCCTTACCCTAACCCCCTGGGTTTTAAGGTTTAGGGTTCAGGCGGTTTAGGGCCCCGTTAAGGGTTTAGGGTTTAGGGCTTAGGGCTTAGGGTTTAAGCCTGTGGATCTAAAAACTTTTGAGGGTCCGACCCTCTAATTAAGGGGTCATAGCCTACTAGTTTGTAGGGTTTGGGGCCACAGGAAGGGTTCTAGGGTTTAGGGTTTGTAGGGTTTAAGGGCCTAATAATCAGGTACTTGGGTTTAAGATAGTAGTTATGCAGGTTCATAATTGGGAGAGTATATGATTATTAGGTACTTGACCTACTACATGGGTACAGGGTACATGGAGCCTTTGGGTCAAAGGGTTAGGTTTAGTGTTTAGGGTTTAGGGCTCAGGGTTGTTACTCTGCGGAACTCCTTAAGGGTACTATAGGGTTGGTTTGGTTTAGGGGTCCCGGGTCTGGGTTTAGGGTTTAGGGGTTGGGGCATTCCTCACTCTACATCAACTCAAGAAGCCAAACACAATGAAGGGCAAGAAGAGGCAGGTAATCTTGAACAGTCAAAACAAAGCCAGCAAAAAAGAAAAGCACAGATCAGAGACAAAAGGAAACAAACAACAACGAGAGGCGAGTAGTAAACCACAACGCAGAACAGAGCAAACAACAAAAAGTGAAATCACGCACCAACAAAAGCACGAGGCAAAACGACGCGAACACAAGCGAACAACACGAGAGGAAACAACAGGAAAACAGCAGGACAAGGCCGAGCAACACAACCTCAGCTGAAATACAGATCCAAGGGTAGAAGGAAGGACCCTTAATGCGGACCCCCAGGTATATACCCCTAATATAATAAGGACCCCTGGGTATATACCCTTAATACAGCTATTATATACCCATTACATAGCCCATGATAGGGTAGGGGTCCCCATTAAGGGTCCCTCCTTTTCCCCTTTGAATAAAGCAACCAGCAACAAGAAAACAGGAACCAGCCCACATCTTCAATTTCCTGAAGGAGTACTCAGACTATCCACCTAGATTCATGTGGAACGCATTCGGTAACTACGGCTCCTACAAGCCCTACGTAATAAACCGTTTCTGAAAACACATGGTTTAGGCTAGAGGGTTTAGGGTATACAGGTACGTAGACCTACAATGCCTTCGAGTAACCCCGGATCCGGGTGGTAATCGGAAACCTAAGCGGCAAGCGCAAGCCCGAAACCCAGCACATTTAACTCTATAACCCTAACCTTGGGATCCGAAAACCTACCGTTTTAAGGGTTCGACCCTCTAATTCAGGGGTCATAACCTACTATTTTGTAGGGTTTGGGGCCACAGGAAACTCTAAATTTTCCAAAATGCCCTTGCAATAAGAACAACATCGGAAGCTCGAAAGCCAGAGCCCCAGTTCACCAAAAACCGATCCCGTTAATCATAACATCAAAACATCCCTAAGGGTCCATGTACCCAAATAGTATATACTTTGGGCCTAATGTACCCATATAGGGAGTACTTTAAGGCCAATGTATATAGTATTTAGGTACATGGACCCTTAGGGCATAGTGGTGAAATAGGTGCCCTTGTACTTGTTTGGGCCATAGCGCACTATACCTTCATGAGTACTTGAAGGGGATGATGTTTCTGATTATTCAGTCGAGTATGCAGCCTGCCTAAGATGCCACACCCAACCAACCCAATGGCACTAACCTAAACTCGAAACCAAACACAACTGCAAAAACAAACCAATGAAATCCTGGACAAACCCTGAACCCTTTCAGTAAGCCTATGAAACTCTAAACCACAAACCAAGTAAACCCAAAAAATAACTGTTACCTCCTGGGCAGCCGGCCTTTTCACTGTGACGGTCCCGCCATTCTCAGGCCGGCACCCAAAATCTCCTGCAGGTACTGAGGGCTCTTGAGGTCTACTTGGAGGTTCATGAGACTTAGTAAGTACAGTTATAAGTACCCTAATTGGGATTATAAGTACATATAGGTGTAGTTACATTAATTATAACCCTAGTTACTAAGCCCCATGAACCTCTAAGTACGGTTCAGGGTTTAGGGTTAAGGCTTCGGGGCTTAGGGTTTAGGGCCCCTTAATAAAAAGCTTCCGGCAAGGGTTCCTATCAGGGCTCCTCACAATGAGGGTTCCTGCAAGGACTCCTTGTAGTAGGGTTCCTTTGAAAGGCTCCAGTAAGGGTCGCATAGGGAGGACCTGGGGATCCGAAAACCTACCGTTTTCAGGGTTCGACCCTCTAATTTAGGGGTCGTTACCTACTATTGTGTAGGGTTTGGGGTCACAGGTATACCCTTAAAGGGAGCCCTATTATAGAACCCTCTAGTGCCCTCAAAAGGAACCCCAAAACCCTAGTGGGTCACAGGGAGGATATTCGTTTCGCTAATGCGATACAATGCACTCTCCGGCTGAAGCTTTGTATGCACAAGTTGGTAACCCTAAGGGTCCATGTACCCAAATAGTATATACTTTAGGCCTAATGTACCCATATAGGGAGTACTTTAAGGCCAATGTATATAGTATTTAGGTACATGGACCCTTAGGGTAGGCTAGGATCGACTTCTCTATGTGGCGCTACAGTTCATACAGTTCAGTCTCCACAAACTAGACTTCAGTCACTTCAGTCCAGCTGACGCAGCCGCAGTTCTATGTGAGTCATCCGGTTCATGTCGCTGTTGAACCCTAAACCCTACCTGTATCCCCAAACCCTACAAAATAGTAGGTTATGACCGCTTTTTTAGAGGGTCGAACCCTTAAAACGGTAGGTCTTTGGATCCCAAGGTAAGCCCTAAACCCAAAACCATGACGCTGTTGGGTTCTCCAGTTGAAGGTTTTGGGTTTAGCGTGGGATAGACCTGTCGCAACTTATAACCCTATACTCGGGATCCGAAAACCTGCCGTTTTAAGGGTTCTACCCTCTAATTAAATGGTCATAACTTGAGTCATAGCCTACTTTTATGTAGGGTTTGGGGCCACAGGTATACGCTAAATAGACCCCAACCCTAAATCCAAAAACCCCGGGCGCTAAAACCCTGAACCCTGAAAAACCTAAAACCCCCTAAACCAAAAACACCAAAGAACACTAATTAAACCCTAAACCATCCTTTCAAATGGCCCCAAACCCTAAACCCTTGCGAAATAACCCTGAACACAAAAACCTGAAACCCTCAGCCCCGAATGACCCTCGACCCCAAATAGCCCGAAGCCCTAAACCCTAAACTACTAAAACTCAAACTCGAACCCTCAACCGTGAACAACCCTCAACCCTAAGCCCTAAATAGCCCGAAGCCCTAGACCCTAAATTACTAAAGCCTTGAACCTGAAACCCTTCAACCCTGAATGACCCTTAACCTTAAGGGTAACTGATACAGTCTTCGGCTGTGATCAAGTCCTGGCACTGGCTCTGGCCCAAGCCCACTCTGCACATGCAAAGCCTTCCAAAACCTGATGAATCTCGGAATAACCGTAAAACCCTATGTTTATGCTTAAACCATGAAACCTTTAACAACAAAAACTAACCAAACTTGTAACAAAAAAGCAAGCTGCCAGTCAAGTCCTCGACAGAAGCGATCAGCTCGGTGTCCAGCCCGCCGCTGACAAGCTGAAGGACGCGCCTCTGTGAATGAGCACTTAGCATTTACATGGAGGTTCATGGGACTTAGTATGTACAGTTATAAGTACCTTAACTGGGGGCATAACCAAATATAAGTAATTATAGTTGCCTTGTGTATAACCATAGTTACTAAGTCCCATGAACCTTTAAGTAGATGCGCCTAGTGGCTCAGGGTTTGGGGTTAAGGGTTTAGGCTTTAGCGGCGTTTAAGTGCTTCGGGTTCAGGGTTTAGCGGCCTAGGGTTTAGGGTACATGGTTTAAGGCTTGTGCTACACGCGAAACCTTCTTGAAAGGATTCTGCTAACCCCCGTGAAGGATAATGGGATATAGTGACTGGGGCAGTGCAAACTATCCGAAACTCTACTTGTAACGCCGAAACAAGTACGCCTAAACCACCAAACATCCTCAAAACCCTAAACCATCCTAAACCCCTAAACCCTAAACCATCCTAAACCCCTTAGACCGTAAACACCTGCAGGTCCCATGATCCTCCAAGTGAACCCTAAACCCTGACCTTGGGATCCAAAAACCTACCGTTTTAGGGGTCAGACCCTCTATTTAAGGGGTCATAACCTACTATTTTGTAGGGTTTGGGGTCACAGGTATAGTACCCTACTATAGATCCCTTAAAAGGACTCAACCCCCTACTTTTTATGGTACCATCAAATAAACTCCTTTAACCCAAATAACCCTTATGGGAACCCTTATAGATCCCTTAAAGGAACCCTTATATATCCCTACTATGGCATCTTAAAATCAAAGCCCTTAACAAGAACCCAGGATCCTAAAACCCCGAGCCCTAAACCCTCTAGAACCCTTTAAAGGAACCCTGTAAGCCCCTTGAGGAACCCTTTTAATTGAAGCAACCCTAAACGTTCTAGAACCCTTTAAAGGGAGCCTATAAACCCCTAGAGAAAGCCTTTTAAAGGAACCCATAGCCTTCTTAAAGGAACCCTAAGCCCCATGATCCTCCAAGTGAACCCCTGTTGGCGCCTGCGGACCGCTTGCTTGTCTTCTGCGTCTTTGCCGAAGAAGCTGAACTCCACCTCGTCACAGGCATTCCCACAGACTCCAAAATCCCTTCATTAAGGAATATACTTTAACTCATATTAGGGGCCCTGCTCTGATTTGAAGAATATACCCTAAAGCATAGTCGGAGTCCTACTAAAATTTAATGACTTATAGGCCTTAATTACGTGATATTGGAGTCTAGTCGTCGTCCTCCTCGACCACGGAAGCAGCATCCTCCCCATTGAACACTGTCCGGTTGTCGTCTGAAGAATCCTCCGTTAGGCCGTCGTGGTCGGACGGCTCTGTGTCGGCATCCTCGGCCTTCTTCTCAGCTGCAGTAGCCACGTCCTCGCCGCCGGTCGTCTTCTGGGTAGCCACACCGCCGGTCGTCTTCTTGGTAGCCACGTCTGCAGATTAGGAAGGCCGCTATGACACAAAAAAATTGACCCACTAACCCATTTGGGAGTTTCCCAAAATTTGGGGTACCATATTTTGGGGTCCTTATTATAAGGATCCTACTATATTAGGGTACTATATTAGGGTCCCCTATTTTCGGAAACTCCTACTTGAAATCACGAAGGCTCAAGACTCTGGGCTGAAGCCTCCCCGGCCCTTGACGGTTTCGGGCCTAAGCCTCAAAGGGGAAAAGGAGGGACCCTTAATGGGGACCCCTACCCTATAATGGGCTATATAATGGGTATAATGGCTATATGAAGGGTATATACCTTGGGGTCCTTATTAAGGGTCGGGCCTACAGTAAACCCCATAAAGTTGGAAACCGGATTAAGGCCAAATAGAGCTGGGATTCCTTGTTCTTGGCTCTTAAGGATTCAGGCTATTAGGTTTCCAACTTTTAGGCTTCGACTGTAAACCCCATAAAGTTGGAAACCGGGTTAAGGCCAAATAGTGCTGAGATTCCCTATACATTACTCTTAAGGATTGAGGCCACGGGGTTTCCAACTTTTCGGCTTCTACTGTAAGCCTCCCAAACCTTCAACCCTGAAGCCTAAATCCGACACTAGGGCGGCCATATGAAGCCCCTTAAACATGTTCGCCAAACAAGATTCTCTTCAACCCATAGGGGAACCTGTGTATATACAAATACATAGACATATACATAAACATATATATATATATATATATACATATATATATATATATATACATATATATATACATATATATATATATACATATATATGTATATATATACATATATATATATAGAGAGAGAGATGTCTATAACCCTGCAGGCCTACCTAGTTAAGCTCCTGGAACTGGAACCCGGGGCATGGCTCTTTCTCAGCAGAAGCTCCCTAAGATTCGACCTCAAAACCCCGAGCTCGTCTTCTGTGCTGAGTTTAGGGTTTTAGGGTTTAGGGGCTTAGGGTTTTAGGGTTTAGGGTTTTAGGGGTTTTATTGGTTTAGGGTTTCGGGTTTTAGGGTTTAGGGTTTTCGGGTTTTAGGGTTTCGGGTTTTAGGGTTTTAAAGTTTTAGGGTTTTAAGGTTTTAGGGTTTAGGGATTTAGGGGTTAATTAGGGATTTAGGGTTTAGGGAACCCCGAGCTCCTCACATGAAGTGGGGATCGAACTAGCCCAAAAGCCTTTTGGAGTATGGTCTTTGGGCCCCAAAGCCTTAATATATGAGTCCGTAGATACCTAGGGTTTTGAGGTTTGGAATTCAGGGTTTGCATTTCTTAGTGGTCGTAAGTCGTAAGTACACAGGCTTTTGTGGCGGCTTCAAAGGTTCTTGTAGGTTTTTCTATGGCTGTATACGGGAATTTTGCTTTTTGATGGGTGTGGTGTTTTGCTTATTCTACAAGGTTCGCTTTGAAAGGTTTCATCTACATAAGGTACTGTAGCTATGATAGAGGCATATTAGTAGAAATGGTGTTATATACCTGGTTACGATACTCCGAATCCCCTAAACCGAAACCCGAGCCCGTCTTGCTAGGAACCCTAGATAGGTCGGAAGTGCGGGTCATGACGTTTTCCTACTTGTCGGGTACCATGGGGAACTAAAGGTTAACCTTTTTGGTTATATAGGGATTATATAGGGACTATACTACCCAAAGGTTACCTACTCGACTAATTTCTACCTGGACCCTAAGGAACCTACCTTTTTAGGGTTCCCTAATGTGATTTCTGTATATAAGTCCTTAAAAAGGTAGGTTACGTGGGGTTAAGGTAGGCTTTAATTCAAGTGTAAAGCCCTTACAACAGTAGGCTTTCGGCTCCCAGACCCTGGGAAAGGGGCCTGCACCATGTTATACGGTTGATGATACACTTGGAGGGTCGGGGGACGTAGTAAGTAGTTATTTTATAGACTTATAAGTATCATAACCCCAATTAAGCTCCCTGTTAGGGTACTTATAAGTCCACTTATTACCTACTTACTAAGTCCCCCGACCCTCCAAGTATAAATCCAGTGAGGCAACGGCAAGGAGGAGTTCCTTGTACATGTCCGGGACTAGTAGAGGACCAGCTCTGGAGCCCCAACAGTCAGGCCGAATCCTTTACTGGAACCCGAGTTCTTGCTACGGTTGATGATATAAATCCTGCATTACCCATAATAAGGGATATACCATAATTCCCATAGTCTAGGGTCAAGAAGGTAATGCAGGACTTATATCATCCACCGTAGTAACTCATCAGCCGCTAACTAAACCCTGAAACCCCGAAACCCTAAATTCGAAGCCCTATTCCATAAGCCACGAACCCTAACCATAAGCCCTAAACCATAATCACAGTACGGCTGCAAAAACCTAAATCCTAAACCCATATCCCTAAACGCCTGAATTCGAGGGACCCTAAGATCCAAGGGAAAAACGAGGGACCCTTAATAAGGACCCCTAGGTATATCCCCTTAATATAGCTATTATATACCCATTATATAGCCCACTATAGGGTAGGGGTCCCCATTAAGGGTCCCTCCTTTTCCCCTTTGATAAGAACTACCCGCTTGGAACTCTGACTCTGGCCTGCTCGCCGTTGTTCAGGTCTCCCGTGAGCCCTGGGGACACCCAGAGACTCCAATATCCCTTAATTAAGGAATATTCCTTAAATTATAGTAGGATATCTTATATGATTTAAGGAATATTCCTTAATTAAGGGATATTGGAGTCTCTGGGCAAGGCGACAATACTAGGCTATGAACAGTTAATGCGCGTGGAAAGAATGTGGTCCCACACAGTACTAGCTACCGCCGGGGCGGACCATACTTAGAGGTTCATGGGACTTAGCAACTAGGGTTATAGTTAAGGTAACTATACTTATAATTACATATAACACCAATTCACAGCTTTTTGAAGAAGAAGACCCCACAACAAAAAGGGCCAAAAGGGTACTACTGGGAGACCTGGTCTACGCCCCAAGTCGATTTCTAGGTCCCTGGCTCTCGTCAACCCATGGCCCAATGACCACTGGGACGTTCAAGACCTGGCTTCGAATGCAGCAAGGTTTGGCAAGTTCGTCTAGGGTGTAGGGTTTAGGGCTTAGGGTTTTGGGTGTTTGAACGCCTGTTTGCAAAATGCAGAGAGTCTTTAGGAATTAGGAGTTTAGTGTGCAGCGTTGAGAATTCCAAAACCCTAAACCCTAAACCCTAAATCCTAATCCCTAAACCCTAAATCCTAAACCGACGATACGTGGGCTTGTGGTTTGCTTCAGTTTGAACTTTCATGACTCCACCGGTCCTCCTGTGAATGGACTTCCGGAGCCTGAGGCATACGCCTACTTGTCGGGATAGGGGTTCAGGGGTTTAGGGGTTTAGGAGTTTAGGAGTTTAGGGCTTAGGGTTTAGGGTTTAGGGTCTAGGGGTTTAGGGTTTTTGTCGGGTATCATGGGGAACTAAAGGTTGACCTTTTTGCTTATATAGGGATTATATAGGGGCTATACTACCCAAAAAAGGTTAAAGGTTACCTACTCGACTACTAGGTAAGCCTACTTGCTTAGCATCCTTGGGAATTAAAGTTAACCTTTGGGAGTATGTTAATAAATAGGGATTATAGTCTGGGAAGGTGCGCACAAGACTAGGTTTAGGGTGCCTGTACCCAAAGCAAACTGCTATGTGTCATTGGGCTCTGCGGTTGAACCTTAAACAAGTGGAGTCAGTAGCCACGAGAGTTTAGAACCACACCGGTAAAAGGCCCTGATAACAATACCAATGAATGACAACACAGCAACCCCTGCTCAACTAACAGATAGAGCTTCGCCCGATTCTTAAAAATTTTGAGCCCTTCATTCAAAGATCAAAGCCTGTGAAACGTGAAAGCCCTTCAACCATCAAAACGACTCCGTTGCAACAACTACATGGGAACCCTTACAAACTCATGGTAAAGCCCTGAAGCCCCAACAAAACCTACGGCATCCTGTACACAAACGGTGTGAAGGTGGTACAGTAGAGGCCAGAAACTTGGAACATCACTATCATCATGCCGTAAAGTATATATAGCAAACTGGAACTAATCATCCTTCATCCATGTAGCAACTTTCTGAGGTTCACTATATACAACAACCCTCAATGACAAACCCTCCAACACTTAGAGGTTCATGGGACTTAGTAAATACGGCTATAATGAGTGTAACTATACTTATACATAGTTTTAACCCAAGTTAAGGTTCTTATAACTGTAGTTACTAAGTCCCATGAACCTCCAAGTAGACCCTAAGCCCTAAACCCTATAGATCCCTTTAAGGAGCCCTGTAGATCCCTTTAAGGAACCCTATAGATCCGTTTAAGGAACCCTACAGATCCCTTTAAAAGGAGCCTTTGAACTATATACAAAAAACCGCTCAACACAAGCCTTCCTGATGTAGATTTGGAAATCCTCACCATCCGGATTGAAGGCGTATCGTGCCCTTAGTCCGTAGACAGTAGGGTTCAGGGCTAGGGTTTAAGGTTTAGGGTTAGGGTTTAGGATTTAGGATTTTATAGGGTATCGTGAGCCCTTAGTCCGTGGACAGTAGGGTTTAGGGTTTTATAGGGTATCGTGAGCCATTAGTCCGTGGACAGTAGGGTTTAGGTTTTAGGAGTTTAGAGGGTATCGTGAGCCATTGGTCCGTGGACAGTAGGGTTTAGGGTTTTATAGGGTATCGTGAGCCATTAGTCCGTGGACAGTAGGGTTTAGTCCGTGGACTAATCTAGGAATCAAAGGGGTTCCCTGTTTTGGGTTAAAGGGGCTTATAAGGGAACCTGAACGCCAAAAAGGGAATAAGGGCCTACTCTGGGTCCTAGGTGAACAGTAGTGGGGCATGTTAAAAGTTCCTCGATTCGAACAGCTTACAGTTTGAGGGCTAGGGTTTAGAAGTAATAGACAGAGCCCTATACCTATAATATCCCTTAGTAGGAATTATTTAAGAAGGTCTACTAGCCGGTCTGTTTATTCTTTTGGGGGAACCATGAAAAAGGACAAGGCCGGTTTAGGGTGGCGCATGTAAAGGTGAAGGATCCTTGACCTGAACCCTGAACAACCTGAGCTAAACCCTAAACCCTAAACAACCTGAGTTAAACCCTAAACACGCTAAAATCCAAAGCTGAAGCCCTCAAACCCCGAACCTGACAGAACAGACATTAAATCCCAAACCCTCGACCTGAACGGCTACAAATCCCAGACCCCCGGGAGGATCCAAAAAGTAGATCCCTTAATTGGGGTTCCTATAAAGTACCCTCAGTAGTATAGGGCCCAAAATTAGGGGATCTACTTTCTAGATCCTCCCGGGGCTAGACCCTAAACCCCAATTAAACCCCTAAACCCTAAAACCCAACTAAACCCCTAAACCCTAAACCCCTAAACCCCAATTAAACCCCTGCCCTAAACCCTGAACCCTAAATCTACTTTCTAGATCCTCCCGGGGGTCCGGGGAGGTCTGGCCACCAACGTGCTCCAGAATTTTACCGCGTGGAGATGCGACTGGAGAATAACGGAGGGGTTTAGGGTTCAGGGGCTTAGGGGTTTAGCGTTTAGGGTTTAGGGTGGGGTTTAGGGTTTAGGGGTTTAGGGACGGGGGTAGGGGGCCTTAATAACGCTATTCAGGACTCGACAAGTCTCTAATAAGGCCTATTTCAAGAAGTACAGTACCCTACCCCGGGCCCCGTTACCCCCACTCAGGATCCCCAAGATTACAAGATCCTGGAGTTGATGGTTGAGGGTTTCTAGGCTTAGGGTTCAGTGTTCAATCTAGGGTCCCGTCTCAGGGGGGGTTGGATGATTTCGGTGCTACAGTGTTGATGTATAACTCACGGTTTGGGATGGAAGCTTCATGTTACACAGCACAGCCCTTAGGCACCGCTTAACATAAGGGCCTGAATAATTCGTAACACTCTTCGACATTATGAAGGTTCGTCGAAAAAGAACAATGTAACTTCGCACCACTTTCAAGCTTCAGCCAAGTGCACGGTGCCGTCCAAAAATCCAGGCTGACAAATGTCAGCCATTCCGGCGACCCCTTCGACGATCGACAACACCACAGGGGCCCCTAAAACCTAATTGCCCCGGAACGGTTTCGACTCAAGACATCGAGAGACAGCATAGTGCCAGAGCGACTGCCAACGAGCTGCTGCTGACAGAGCAGGGCAACGATAACGCTCAAAAGCGAAATCAAAACGGAAAAGCGCAATCTTTCTGGATCTATGGCTTCACCAGAGACTCTAACACGGCATTCTTAAGGGACATACCCTAAGCGGTGTATGGTTTAGGGTTTAAGCCTAAGATATAAAGGGGATCCCTATTAATATGATTCGAGGTTAATGAAGGAGTGGGGGCAGTATGCAAGGTTTATGGCTTCAGGTCTTTGGTGACTGGTTTATACCTTCTTGGAGGCTCATGGGACGTAGTAACTAGGCTTGTGAACAGTTAACTATATTTTTACTTACTTATAACCCGGTGTGAGGGATGAGGAGTTTTGAGTCTACTCTAAAAATCCACGTATCTGATAGTAGCTACTTTGGGGTCTGCAGTCTCTGCAAACAGTACCGACTTTGGACGATTTGGAGCCGCAGGTTTAGGGTTGAGGTGTCAGGGTTTAGGGATTAGTGTGCTGATTGTGAACATGTGGGGCACGGACGATCCCTCATACATGTCTATACCTTTGATGTGCTTATATGACTGTTCATATACATAAATACATATACATATATATGTATCTATATATGTATAAATAAATAAGTATATATATATACATATATATATATACATTTATATTTATTTATATACTATGTTTGTATGCATTCTTCGGACAAGGAGTTGCTCGTATTTCATGGGGCGTAGGTCCTGAGCTTCGGTACAAGAGGTTTCAGAACGCTTGTGAAAGTGCACATAAGGACAGGCGTAGGTCGGCTAGGATTTAGGGTTTAGGGTTTAAAGGTTAAGGGGCTAGGGGTTTAGGGTTTAGGGAATAGGACAGGCATAGGTTTACTTCAAACTCCTCTGCACAGGAACTGAAATCACAAAGGCTTTGCAATGAGTCATAGTTGGGGTTTGACAGGTTTAAAAATAAGTATACCCATTACATGAAGTTCTAGATGCTTCATATTATAGTTTCAGATATGTTTCCCATGATTCCTACATTGTGGAATGGGTCGAGAAAGACCTGCGAAGAGAGTTGCAGAGTCTGGGAGGTCTGATATCCAACGTGCACCGAGATTTAGTGGATTGTTCAGGGTTCCCCTAAGACTCCAAGTATAAAAATAGTACCTACTTTGGGGTCTAAAGTCTAGAAATACTACCTACTTTGGGCTATTTGGAGTCTTAGGGTTCAGGGATAAGAGCCGAAATAGGCTTTCACAGGATCTTGTCCTGTAGCTGCCGCGCTTCTAGAGGGCCTGTAGAGCATTCATATATGCTGTTGTGACAACTTTGTGCTGCCTTGCTGCTAGTGACTTTCGACTTTCACGCCACCTGCAACCGCTAACACTGAGAAACCCAGGCAAATCTGTCACGCGTTCCGCAGCTGATCCTGCACACTACTGCTGTCACCACCCTGGCCAGTATCACCCCATGTCACGATGGAGCCATCGCCAAGAATGGCAGCGAAAGCACTCGAAGAAGATTGGATCTGGTGCACTTTCTTGAGCTGAGCGTGCACAGCACTGCTGTCACCACCAAGCCTAACGGATCCCCAGCTAACCACGGAGCCATCGGCAAGGATAGCAGCAAAAGACCAGTTAGTGGCTTGGATGTGCTGCACATTCTTCAGCTGCTCCTGCACAGCACCACAGTCGACATCATCACCCCAGGTCACGACAGTTCCATCACCGAGAATAGCAGCGAAAGCGCGGGCAGACGCTTGGATCTGCTGAACAGTCTTCAGCTGATCCTGCACGGCACTACTGTCACCACCGTCACGGGCAACACCCCAGGTCACGACAGATCCGTCACCAAGAATAGCAGCAAAGGCGGAGTGATTGGCTTGGATATGTTGCACTTTTCTAAGCTGATTCTGCACAGCACGACTGTCACCGCCGTAGTAGGCAAAGCCCCAAGTCAGGACGGAGCCATCTTCAAGAATGGCAGCGAAAGCACAGGCATTGGCTTGGATCTTCTGCACATTCCTCAGCTGATCATGCACCGCACTAGTGTCACCGCCAAAGTGCGCATCGCCCCAAGCTGCGACAGATCCATCGTCTAGAATGGCAGCGAAAGCGTGGTCATTGGCTTGGATCTGCCACACATTCTCCAGCCTATCCTGCACAGCACCGCTGTCACCGCCATAGCGTGCATCGCCCCAGGCCACGACAGAGCCATCGCCGAGAATGGCAGCATAAGCCCATTTCGAGGCCTGGATATGCTGCACATTCGTTAGCTGAGCCTGCACAGCACGACTGTCACCACCGTAACGATGGACCCATCTGCAAGAACAGCAGCAAAAAAGTACTCATTTGCTTGGATCTGCTGCACGTTCTTTAGCTGATCATGCACAGAGCTATTGCAACCACCAAGGGCAGCCGTGCCCCAGGTCACAACCGATCCATCGCCAAGAATGGCAGCAAGAGCGCTTCCGGAGGCTCGTATCTGCTGCACGTTCTTCAGCTGCTCCTGTACAGCACTACTGTCCCCACCATAAACCATAAACAACATCACCCCAGGCGACGACCGATCCGTCGCCAAGGATAGCAGCAAAACAGCGGTTATAGCCACATACCTGAACTCGGTTTACGTGCCTTGGCTGACTTCTGGACCCCTCCAAAAGGCTAAACATTTAACCTCCTTCCCAAAGGCTCCATGTACCCTTATAGTAGATACTTAAGCCTTAAAGGGGTCCCTATACAGGCACTTTAAGGTTTAAGTATCTACTATACGGGTACATGGAGCCTTAGGGCTTATCATAGTTCAAACAGAACCCAAAAAGTTAAAGTCCTAAGAGCCATACAGAAGAACGCCATGTTGCAGGGTCAGTGCGTCGCCATTCTTCAACATGGAATCCTTCACTGGCGCAGATACATCCAGCACGTTCCCAAACGAGTCCAGCAGCCGCCCTTTACCGACTCCGAGTGCGGCCTGTGCCCGAACCTTCAATATTTCCACATCCTCATCGAAACTAGCTTCCACAGTGATGGTCTTTCCACTGAGCAGACCAACTTCCACAGTGATCGACATGTTGAGTGATGCAGCGGAAGCGTAAGTTCTTACAAGGTCGGGCTAAGCTATGGAGGAGAAGTGCTCATGTAAGGGTCGTTCCACTTGTCGCGGTAATGATTTCCCAAACAGTGGCCCGCGGGTCATGGGCTTCGTCCCAACCACTTCCCTCACTGAATATCCTTACTACCCCAATAAGCCACAGAAATAAAAGGTTACAAATGTCCGATTCCTACCAAATTATAAGAACTCAACAAGTTTAAAGGTTAGGTATTGGGGACCTGTATATCTCTTACGACTCCGCACATGCAACTTGTACCTTGGACGGTCGGAGCGCAATCAGGTTCCTAAACCTTGGCTGACTTCTGAGCCCCTCCTAAAAGTTAAACTTTTAGCCTCCTGACTACAGTTCATATAGAAACCCCAAAATGTTAAAGTCCTAAATCCCCAAACCCTAACCCCTATAGATCCCTTACAGGAACCCCTTAAAGGACCCCCTTAAAGGCCCCTAAGAGCCAGCCAGAAGAACGTCAAAAGACTGTTCCGCAAACGGATCCTAAACCCTAAACTCACGGCCTAGGCCGCCCACCTTCGATGGTGGGCGGCGCTTAAGCCCCTCGACATCGATGGCGCCCCCAGCCCCCACCCCAGCCCCAGCCCCCCATCCCCCCCCAAACCTGCTACCCGAAATCTTGACGGGGGGGTGTGGTTTGGCCACCCCCAAAAAAGGGAACCCGGGGGGGGGCTTGGAAGCCTAGCGAGCAAAGTTCCAGGACCTAGGGGCTTCCTGGCTGGTCCTAGGGGGGACTTGGACAAAATCTGCTCCTTTTGCGTTTCGCCACTTCGCGCCCCCCTGACCCCCTGGCCCCCCCTGCCACCCCCTGGCCCTCCCTGCCCCCCCCGGCCCCCCCTGGCCCCCCTGGCCGCCTCGCTGGCCCTGGCCCCTCCTTTTTCTGCCCGGCCTCCCCTACCCTCCTCTGGCCCACCTCCTGCCGTACTCTGCCCTCCTCTGCCTTCCCTTTTTTGAGCAGAAGCTTGGCTGCAGAATTGTGTGGTTGTTGTTAACAAACAAGGACCTAACAGAGTTTAGGTCCTAAACCCTAAAAGGTATAGGTTTGGGTGGTTTGCCGCCTCAGACGGCGTGGGGTGGGTGAGTAATGTGATGGCCCGCCACAGTCGGGCCATGTCTGCGATTCGCAGGCAACAAGACCGCTAATAAATCCTACAATCCCTGTTGCACTACCGCTACGCGATCTTGCAGCAAACCCTAAACCCTAAACCCTAAACCCTAAACCCTAAACCCTAAACCCTACACCCTCAAGAGCAGGATAAATAGAAATTGTGTTGCATTTCGCCTCGAACTGATTTGCATTTTCAATAGCATCGAATTTTCCTTAAACGTGTCAAAGAAAGCCCAGCACGGCACAGCCCAGCCCAGCTTAGAAGCAGAAGCGAAAATCAGAACCCGCGAGCCGTCCCCCAAATCCAAAGATCAAATTGCAAAAGCAAAACCAAACCCGGCAAAACTCCGGACCCAAACCCTATACAATCCAGCCCAATCCACACCCAGCATCCCAGCCTAGTAGCCCAGCCCAGTCCAGCCCAACCCAGCCCAGCCCGCCCCAGAGCCCAGCCCAGCGAAAATTCCGAACTGACAAATCAAAAAGCAAAACGTGTCGATCAAACCTTTCTGTCAAAACGTTTCGCTCAAAACCCCGGACCCAAACCCTATACAATTTCTCAACCCAGCCCAGCGAAAACTCCGAACTGACAAGTCAACAAACAAAACTTTCGGTCAAAACCCAGCCCACTCCCAGAATCCAAACACCAAAGCAAAAAACGAAACTGCTCAACATGTTTCGGTCAAAACGTTTCGCTCAAAACCCCGGACCCAAACCCTATACAATTTCTATCACCAACTCAGCAGCCCCAAGCCCCCCAGACCCCCCAACCCAGCCCAGCCAGCCCAGTCAGCCCAGCCAGCCCAGCCAAGTCCCAAAATCAAAAAGCAAAAGCAAAAGGCAAAACCCGGCAAAACCCACCAAAACCCGGCAAAACCCGGCAAAACTCCGGACCCAAACCCTATACAATTTCTATAAACCCTAAACCCTAAACCCTATAAACTCAAGGCATAGGCCGCCCACCTACTGTGGGTGGGCGGCATGGGGACGGCAGCGCCCGCGGCTTGCCCGGTACCGGAACACGTTCTCCTCAGGTGCCCTTTTGCCTCCTCGAAAATGCCCCCAGAAAGGGACCCCCCAGAAAGGCCTGGGGCCTCCAGCGAGCAGAGTTCAAGGACCTAGGGCCTCCAGAGCCGGTCCTAGGGGGTCTGGGCAAAAAATTGCAAAATTTGGCCTGGTGTGGGCAGTTGTTCCCCCTGGCCGCACCTTGGCCCCCCCGGCCCCCCGTGGCCCCCCTGGCCTGCCCCTCCCTGCCCCCTGCCCCTGCCCTGCCCTGCCCTGCCCTGCCCTGCCCTGCCCTGCCCTGCCCTGCCCTGCCCTGCCCTGCCCTGCCCTGCCCTGCCCTGCCCTTGGCCCTCAGATGTTTGGGTCAGAAGGGGGAAGATTGAGGCCAAGAGGGACCTAACTGAGTTTAGGTCTAAACCCTAAAAGGAATAGGTTTGGGTGGCTTGGCCGCCTCATACGGCGTGGGGTGGGAAGAAAGGAAAAGCCTTCCATGATCAGGCTTTCGCAGCTACTCGCAGTAGTACAACGCACTTGACACGACCTTGTCGCAAATTACTTTCGCCTACGCGCTACTCTACGGCAAACCCTAAACCCTAAACCCTAAACCCTACACCCTAAACCCTAAACCCTAAACCCTAAACCCTACACCCTAAACCCTAAATTCCCACCCAGGCCTGCTTAGGCCGTACCCACCCTTTTTCTTAGGGTGCCTGGACCCAGAAGGAAACTTGGCAGTGATTGACACCAACTCTGGATGGACAATGGGTGGAGCCATTGGAGAGTGGTCGAATTCAGCCCCTAGGGCTGAGCCAAGCCATTAGGCCCCTTGCGTGGCGCCCATATTCGCAGAGGGAATTCCCTCGAATTTCAAGAGCCCCGCTGGCCTGCCCTGGCCCCCCCTGGCCCCCTCCTGGCCCCCCCTGAGCCCTGGCCCCCCTGACCCTTGCGGCGTGTGTAGGTGCGGTCCCTCTGGCCCCAACAAACAGACCAGGGGCAGGTGGGAATTGAGGGCGCAAGCGCTAAACCCTAAAAGGCAATGTTTTGGGTGGTGGCCTGTGTATTCTCACAGCGGGTGGGAAAGGTGAGGAACCAATGTGTAATTGTTTAGTGGTGGAATCGCATTCGAACGCTAGACGTCGATATGCCGCCCCCCCACACCCCTGGGAGTGTTGGGGCGCCATCCTACATAGAAAATACTGCCGCTGCGCGGCCAGACACCCTAAACCCTAAACCCTACACCCTAAACCCTAAACCCTGGCCATGGAGATTCTGGAGGGCTCCTTAAAGGGATCTATAGGGCTCCTTAAAGGGATCTATAGGGTTCCTTAAAGGGATCTATAGGGCTCCTTAAAGGGATCTATAGGGCTCCTTAAAGGGATCTATAGGGTTTAGGGTTTAGGGTCTACTTGGAGGTTCATGGGACTCAGTAAGTACAGTAATAAGTACCTTAACTGGTGTTATATATAATGAGAAGTATAGTTGCCGTATTTTCAACTTTTAACCCTAGTCACTAAGTACCCTAAACCCTAAACTCTAAGCCCTAAACCCTAAACTCTAAACTCCAAACCCCTACACCCTATAAACTCTAAACCCCTAGCCCTAAACCTTAAAGTAAAAGCCAGAAAGTTGGAATATGATTATCCTAAACCCTTTATGGTAAATTATAGGATATCCTACCCTGAAACCATATTCCAACTTTCTGGAGTTCCCTTTAGCCCGAAAGCCCGGCAGTCCGACTACACAGAAGTTCGAGGACACATCCTGGGTTTCCGGGCGAGGCAAGGGGGTGGGGTGTTTGTACAGGAGTTTAGGGTTTAGGGTTTAGGGGTTTAGGGTTTAGGGTTTGGGGGGTTTGGGGTTTATAGGGCCCCAAAAAAGCACATAAGCAAAATTTAGGACAGGGATATCCCATATAAATCCTTTATAATGACGCCCAAGTAGGTAGGGATATCCCTATAAAATGCTTATGCTTCTGTGCTTTTTGGGTCCCTAAGTTTCGGCAGTCCTTGCACTCTCTGTCTAGTGGTTTAGGGTTTAGGGTTTAGGGTGCAGAGCTTCAGGCTTGGGGTTTAGATGCTTTACAAAGAAGTTGCCCGGAACCCTAGGCGCGTCGCGTCAGAGGTAGAGTCTAGACCCTAAGGAAGCTTGTTCGATGCCGACCAAAGCATGTTGACGAATCCGAGACACGATTGTAATGGAAAGCCAATCTTACCGCCACCACTGCTGCCAGAAACCTTCAACAGGAAACCAAATGCCCTAATTATTCCTAAACACTACTCTGTAAGTTCGAAACCCTGAACCCTACTCAGAAAAACCAATCCGTAAAGCCGTAAATCCTCAACACCAACCCTAAGGGTCCAAGTACTCCCTATTATGGAACTTTAGGGCCTTTTTAGGTATCAAAAACCATAAATAAGGACTACTTGGACCCTTAGGGCAAACCATCAAGCCTCAACCCATGACTCGCGATTCTAAGAGGCCGACTCACCGTCCCACTGGAAGAAGACGCCCTTGCCCTTCTGCTGTTCTGTGCTGAAGTTGAGCAGCATATCCTGATGGGAGGCCAAAAAGGGGGTTTAAGATTCTTGGGGTAGGGATTCCTTAAGATGAACAAGGTGGGTTCAGGACTGGAAGTGTAGCGGCTTAGGGCTTTAGGGTTTAGGGTTTAGTTGTTTTTTGGGTGGTTTAGGGTTTAGGGTTTTATAGGGTATTGTGAGCCCGACCACACCCCATCGTTAAAATATACCTGCGCTCATACTGAGGCTGCCTGAATGGCTTAAGGCACCTTCCTTCATTCATGGCTTTGGGAGTCCTTTGGTGAACCAGCCCAAGTGGTGAGAATGTCCAAGACACATTCGACTGTTTTCTCTAAGGCGCTTAGTACGCCCTATATATAACAGCAACTATTCCTCAGGAACACCCAGCTGAGGAGCCAGAACTCAATGACAGAACATGGAAAAACAAAGTCTGATGTGCGTGGTTGTCAAAATTATGGTTCCTTTTTGGGTCCCTACTATAATACGGCACCTATTATTTAGGGTACCCAAAAAGGGACCTTAATTTTGATAACTACCCATGTGACTGTGACAGAGCTCCGGAACTCGGAACCGGAAAGCGAACCCTCTTAGACCCAAAGCCAAAGAACACTGTTTTTTTTTTATGGGCCCTTTGCCGTCTGCACTTGCGTCCGAAACCCCAAGGTTGAGGGAGCCAGTTGGACCCAACTCCGAGACCCAACTTAACCCCAAAACCCTGAAATCTATGAAGATCAAAATCCCAAACCAGACACGACGACGACGTCAGTGTCCTCCTTCTTGTCGGTCTGCATCGTGGTCTCAGTGCCAGTGCAGAGGTTTCGACAAATTGACGAAACCAATTTTTGGATGAACGCTGAATAGCAGGATCCCGATTGCCGTAGTTGGAGGTTCAAGGGGCTTAATTAATCAATTCAGATATAAGTACGTACCTTAACTGGGTTACCTTCTTCATAGTCCTAGCTAGTACGTCCCCCGAACCTTCACTTGGCTGACTTTGAACCCCTCCTTAACAGTCAGACTTTTAGCGTCCTTATTATAGTTCATATAGAAACCCAGACAGTTAAAGTCCTAAGTGCCAACCAGAAGAACGCCAAGTTATAATGAAGCCCAAGAAGGTAGGGATACCCTTATAAAATGCTTATACTTACGTAAGATGAAGCCCCTTATAATTTTATAAGGTATATGGAGAAACACCCTCTACTAGCCCTAGCTACGCCGGCTACGCCGAATTTCACAGCAGAGCGGCTTGAAGTTTGGGGTATGCTTGGAGTTCATGGGACTTAGTGGGTAAGGTAGCTACACTGTATAAGTTAGAACTACCTCAGTTCGGGCTAATTATAAGCAAGTCTAAGTGTGGCCTTGCTCTTAGCCCCAGTTACTAAGTCCAAGAACGCTAACAGTGCTCAAATCAGATGAACACTTCACTCGGAGCCTGACTTGATCGTGCCGGGAGCTCGTGTTGGCGAGGAAATGTTGTAACAACTGCAGTGCGTAAGCAATCAAGCTTGCTCTGCGAGCATCTCCCAAAGCTGTGGCCAACTGGTACAGAAGCCGGCAAGTTTGTGGCGCCGATCACAACCGGGACTTCCTCCACCTTTCAAGATGCTGCAGAGCAAAGCTGTGCGCTTTCGTGGTGATCGCACAGCTGCATGCAGCCCAGCCAGGTTTTCCCCAGAGGCACCGGAGCACTGTCAAGTTCGATGGTCTTCGAAGGTTCAGAACCAGATGCTGCCAGGCCTGCTTCCCCCAAGGGTCCAAGTAGTCCTTATTTACGGTTTTTGATACCTGAAACAGCCCTAAAGTTTCATAATAGGGAGTACTTGGACCCTTAGGGTTCATGACCATGATAAGCTCTCCTTCTGACGGCGTTGTGGGCACATTTTCGCGGTCGCCTGAGGCGCCAAGGCCTTCGCTTCCGTCCCCCTGCAGCCGGGAGGCTGGGAAGGACGTTAAAAGGGGAAAAGGAGGGACCCTAGGCCCTTTAGTAGGGTTCCTGCAAAGGGATCTATATGGGGTTACTATAAGGGGTCTCTAAGGGTACTATATTGCTGTAGGAACCTGATTAAGGTTGGGCAAAGGGGAAAAGGAGGGACCCTTAATGGGGACCCCTACCCTATACTGGGGCTATATAATGGTTATATAATGGCTAGATTAAGGGTATATACCTAGGGGTCCTTATTCAGGGTCCCTCCTTCTACCCTTGGAGACATAGTAGACTTTGGGAGGGAAGATGACAAGCAACTAAATCGGTAAAAACCGCAACAGTTCAGAGACTACAGAAGCCTTAATTATTAATTTCAATCTTACTGTACGTTATGTAAGGGTTGACCGATCCTATGACGGTTCCTATTCCATGATCGACCCTATGACGGTTCCTAATCCTTGAATCAAACCCTACACCCCTATAGTAGAAGCCAAAAAGTTGGAACATTACTGTCCTTATGCCCTTAATCTAAAGTAAAGGGAATCCCAGCACAAATCATCCCAAATCTATGTTCCAACTTTTGGGGGTTCACTTTAAACACTAAACACCCCAGCTAACCCCAAAAATCAACCTGCAAGCCCTCTGGGGCCGTTACAAGACCGCTCAACATCCAAAAACCCCAAACCCTAAGGGCTTAGGGTTTAGGGTATAGAGTTTAGGGGTTAGGGTTTAGAGTTTAGGGTTTAGGGTTTGGGTCCATGTGCCCAAATGGCATATACCTTGGCCGAAGTACCTAAATAGGGACTACTTTAAGGCCAAAGTATATACTATTTCGGTATATACATGGACCCTTCGGGAAAGCAACACCCACAAGACATCTGAGTCTGGGACGCCCGGGTTCTTGAAGAAGGACGCGAACTTCCATCTGAACATATCGATCTTCCCATCCTGGCTCATGTAGGAACCTGATTAAGAAACCTTGTTTTTTTTGTCAGGGTCCTTTATATGAGCCCTACTATTTTGGGGTTATAGCCCCGGGTTTCTCGTTCAGGTTCCTACATGACCATTCGTCTTATGGGTGTTTAGAGCTTGCTAAGGGAACTAACCCAGAGGGTCCAAGTACCCAAATAGTACGGTTTTAGATCCCAAATTCCATACTCTGAATGGTTTTTGGGACCTTGAAACCCTACTATTTGGGTACTTGGACCCTTAGGGTAATTACAGGAGTGTCGGGTTCTTGGTTCCATTAAGGAAGCTGCGGGCGCTTCGGATTCAGGGTTTAGGGCTTAGCTTTTTGGATCTGAGCAGATCGGAATTTTTCGATCTTTCCATCATGGCTCATGCGCGGGCCTTAAGAACTAGAATAGGGTTTTTTGGAAGGGTTAAAGCAAACCAAGTTAACTGCTAACACAAATTGAGTGTGGTTCCTTGCTGAGGAACGGAGCTTAACTTGTGGCAATAAGGGGGAAAGCACACTACTTCTTATAGTTCTCTAGAATGCTAAACTAGATGGAATACTTTACCAAAAATGCAGCGAATCCCCATAACGCCTCTGCGTTATCCGACTTAAACAAACACCTCAAAGAACCAATAAAACTCCTGCACCACACGGTATGCTCCTTTAAAGAACAAAAACAAACTACTCTCAGCCCTAAAGGTAACCCGTCCAGGAACTACGATGCCTATACCGAAATAAACCCCCAAACCCTAAACCCTAAAACCCTATACCAAAATCAACCCTGTAAGCCCCTGATGAAGCCCTGACGAGAAACCCGAGAAGACACACCAAAGCCAAAACCTCGTGCAAAACCCTCAGAAGGACCCTAAACCCTAAATCCCTAAACCCTAAACCCTTGAACCCCCTGAACCCTTAAATCTTTTTCGAAACCAGCCGGGTCGGCGTTGAACTTCACAGGTGAACGGCTCGAGCAGCAGAGTCGGGAGCCGACGGAGGCCCGGTCAGCTCCGTGCAATCCGTGAGCCTGCGGATCTGCTTGTGGCTTTGGGGTTAAAGTAAAAGCCAGAAAGTTGGAACATGATTATCCTAAACCCTTCGATGGTAAATTATAAGGTATCCTACCCTGAAACCATATTCCAACTTTCTGGAGTTCCCTTTAAGGTTACGGGTTTAGGGCTCAAGGCTTTCGGATTTAGGGCTTAGGTTACCTAGGTTTTAGGGTTTAGGATTTGGGGTTTGGGGCTTGGGGCTTAGGGCTTGGATAGCTTTGGGGTTAAGGTGATAATTTAGGGCTATCCCTCAACCCTAAACCATAAGATCGTTTAGGGTTAGCTTGCAGCTTAAGCATTTAAGCTCTGATCATGTTAGTTCTTGCGATTTCAAACCCTACCTGCATCCCCAAACCATATTAAATAGTGGGTTATGGCCCCTTAATTAGAGGCTCTAACCCCTAAAACGGTGGGTTTTTGGCTCCCCAGGTACAACCTAAACCCTGAACCCCTAAAACCTAAACCCCTAACCCCTAAACCCCTAAATCCTTAAATCCCGAAACCCCTAAATCCCCTAAACCCCTAAACCCCTGAACCCCTAAATCCCTAAACCCCTGAACCGCTGAATCCCCTAAGCCCCTAAACCCCTAAATCCCTAAACCCCTGGCCCTAAACCCCTAAATCCCCTAAACCCCTAAACCCCTAAACCCCTAAATCCCTAAACCCCTAAACCCCTAAATCACTGAACCCCTAAACCCCTAAATCCCCTAAATCCCCTAAACCCCTAAACCCCTAAACCCCTAAATCCCTAAACCTCTAAACCCCCAAATTCCCTAAATCCCCTAAACCCCTAAACCCTAAACCCTAACCCCTAAACCCTTAAACCCTGAACCTCGAGACTGAACTTCCACACCCCGAACCGCAATCTGAACCCACCCCAAGGGTCCAAGTACCTAATAATCATATACTCTCCAAAATCCTAACCTACATAACTACTATCCAAAATCCGAGTACTTAATTATTGGGCCCTTTGGACCCTTGGGGCCAGAGCTCAACTAGGCCCCCCAAAAAAGCACGTAGCAGGCCCTGAGTGTCGGTGGTTTCATTTAGGGTTTGGGGTTTCGGGTTCCTTGAAGGGATCCCATAAGGATTACTATAGGGGGATCTATAAGGCTACTATTAGGGCCCCACAAAGGCACATAAGCGACAATACGGATAGGGATCTCCCAAATATACCCTCCTTAAAAGGAAGCCCAGTGAGGTAGGGATATCCCCATAACGTGAACTCTTATTCTAGGATGCCCAGTAACCTAGGCATAAAAAGGGCTCCCTTTCCGGTATGGGGAAACTTTATACTGGGTATCCTAGTATTAGGATCTAGGAATCATTGTTTGGGGTTCCCTTTTTTGGGTTTAGGGTTCTCAGTTAGGGTTTAGGGTTCAGGGTTTTGGGTGTAGGGTCTGGGCTAGCTCCAATGACCCCGAACCAAACTCTTCACCCAGAAACCAGCCCGAATTTAGGGACCCAGAAAAGGACCTACACAAAAACCCCTAAGGTTGGGATATCCCAGAATCCCCTCTTTGATTAAGCCAGTAAGATAGGGATATCCCACCCGAAAGTTCATGTTTGGGTGCTTCTTTGGCCCCTGAGAATTCGGGTCATGGACCTATGTGGTATACATGGGAACCCCATCAAGGCCAATGTTTTCTGCCATATAGGTAAATGAACCCTAAACCCCTAAACCCCTTAACACCACCCCAAAGCCCCTAAACTCCTAAAACCTAAACCCCTAAACCCGAAACCCAAATAGAATTTGGTGACCCTGAAGCCAGAGTTCCCTCATCTCCCCACGTCAGAAACCTGCCAGTTGATGTTGTAAAAGCCGACTTCGCGGTATTTCCTGCCGGAAGCGGGCCGGGAAGCAAGGTTGCTTTGGTGGTACGGTACACATGGGTGGTTGTCAAAATTAGGGTCCCTTTTTGGGTCCTTATAATAATACGGCACCTATTATTTAGGGTACCCAAAAAGGGACCATAATTTTGACAACCACTCACATGCGTCCCTGTCTGCGTTGTCTGATCTTGCGGGGGAGCTGTGATACAGGTGTCACACGGACACGGGATTACAAGGTGTTGCATTAGGTTCAGCGGCATGGGTTGATTCGCTCAGCTACATGCAATGGAATCTCACATTTCTTTTATAGAACCCCAAACCCTAAAGCCAAGCCGATAATAATGCCCTACGTGTAGCATCCCTGTCCCTATTGCCACATGAATGGATCCATGGTTTCCTAACCCTAAACCGAACCCGTTAAGCCGATAAAAGTGTCCTACTACATCCCCCAAAGAACCCTAAGCCCTAAAACACTAGGCGAATAATCATGCCCTATAGCATCCCTCCTGCCACACGAGGGGAACTGTGACTTCCTAACTCAAAGTCCCGCCTGTACATAGGGTTGGGGCTTGCAGTATTCAAGGTTTAGAGTTCCAGTTTAGGCGGGGCTTAGAGCTTTGAGGATTTAAGGTCCATAGGGTTTACATAAGCTGAATGCTTAAGGATAGAGAGCAATACGCTTAAGCGTTTATGGCATCGGGTCGAGGACGTGCTTGAATTTTCCCCACGCGTGTGGGAACTCTGGGCTTCATCGATACTTGGAGGATCATGGGACTTAGTAAGTAAGGCTATAAGTACCTTAAGTGCGGTTATAAGCAATTATAAGTATGGTTAATTACCTTTTTTATAACCCCAATTACTAAGTCCCATGATCCTTCAAGTAGACCCTAAACCCTAAACCCTATAGATCCCTCTAAGGAACCCCTATAAATTCCTTTAAGGAACCTTGTAAGAAGCCCCTTACAAGTAGTAGGGGCCTTCATAAATTGAATAAGGGGTCGGGCTTGGGCTTCATAATATCGGGGGCCTCAAAGGGTAGGATGAAGGTAGGTGGGATATTCCCAAATAAGAGTCCTGGTATAAGGGATCCTTAATCCCACCTACCTTCATCCCACCTTGTGAGGCCTCCGATAATAATAGTTCGCAATAAAGTCAGAAGAGCTATGTGGGGACTTACAAGTGGTATCATGGCTTCGCCAAAACCTGGCTGGTCCTTGGAGTTATGAGCCTGCCAGTAAGGTTTATAGCAGGGCGAAAAGGGAATGCTGGTATTTCTGAAAGACTTGCCGACTGGAAAACAATAAACCGCCCGCCCGAGTCCAAAGCGTAACGCCGAAAAGCACCCAGGCACCAACACTCAAATAAACTTTCAGCCGTACAAGCCCGAAGCCGGCACTTGACCCGAAAATCCCAAAGACTAAACCATGCCCCTAAATCAGACCTGTGGAAGGATCTCAAAACTGGACTCCCCCCTGAAAGAATCAGGCTTACCATATCATGGTAGGACACCTAAACCCCTACTTGTCGGGTACCATGGGGAACTAAAGGTTAACCTTTTTGGTTATATAGGGATTATATAGGGACTATACTACCCAAAAAAGGTTAAAGGTTACCTACTCGACTACTAGGAACCCTAAACCCTAAAACCCTAAAGCCCTATAATGGGCTATATAATGGGAATATGATAGCTATATTATGGGTATATACCTAGGGGTCCTTGTTAGGGGTCCCTCCTTTTACCCTTTGAAAACCCTAAACCCTAAACCCTAAACCCTGTTTTGGATCAGAATAGCCGGCCTCCCCTGGTTGGGCAAGTTTCGTCGCGGAGGGAAGTACCTCAAAAGGATCCGAGTGAGGGTGGTGGGGGGGGGGTGGGGGGGTGGGGGGTTTAGGGCTTAGGGTTTAGGGTTTTAGGGTTTAGGGTTTAGGGCTTAGGGTTTAGGGCTTAGGTTTTTTTGTTAAAGCACCTGTTTCCGTCTGCAGAAGGTTTCTACTCGGGAAGCCTTGTCTTGAAGGCAGGCTGTTAGGCCACGCTCGCTTGTCAGTGTAACCTCAGAAAACTCATCCCTATGCATGTGCTCAGGTTTGAAGACACCCTCGTTCTTGACACAGGACTTCACTCCTCATCGGACGTGCCCAGGCCTTCGAAAGCACGGTCCCACGTCTTCTCAGAATAGGTTCTCTCAAGTTCCGCGCTAACACCCCACTGCTGCCCCTCGATCGCCGCGAGCGAGGGCAACGGCTCCATGGTCGGGAGCCGCTTGCGGATACCCTTCAGCTGTGGCAGCGTCACATCAGGCCTGTCCAGTACCCGCAGGTGCTGTGAAGTGATACGCAACCCAAGAATTGGGAGCGCCAACCGCTTCGCGATCCCAAGCATCACGTGGGAAGAGGGATAAAGGCATGCACCGGAGAGTGCTTTTGCCAAGCGGAGGCCCAACACATCACCCGTGCTTTTCGGGCAGGAACCGTGCCGCGCGCGGCTGCACAGGGAGTGCAAAATAGGCACGCTCCTGGGTTGCGTACCCATAAATGCGATGAGCATAGGGTTTAGGGTTTAGGGTTTTAGGGTTTAGGGTTTAGGGTTTAGGGTTTAGGGTTTAGGGCTTAGGGCTTAGGGTTTAGGGGTTTAGGGCTTAGGGTTTAGGGCTTAGGGGTTTGAGGTCTAGGGGTTTAGGGTTTAAGGGTTAAGGGTTTAGGGGTTTAGGGGTTTAGGGTTTAGGGTTAAGGGCCTTAACTTAGAGACTTAGGGCTTACCGGTGGATCCGAAAACCTTGCGCTTTAAGGCTTCTACCCTCTAGTTGACCTCCTTTTTTGTAGGGTTTGGGTTCACAGGTAGACTATGTTTACATCTGGAAGACGTAAAACAACCACTTCTCAGGTCCCTACGGCAGATTTTACAGCCCCGTGAGCGTCTGCATACTCCAAAACACATGATACATCAAGCCGCCATTTTCCTTCCTGCGGCTCAAGCGATCATGGTGCCTTAATCACCATCAGGGCTACGCAATCCTCAACTCTAAACCCAAAGGGGACTAAGTTGGTTGTGCGGTATGTCTGTGGGCTGCTTTGGCACCATGGAGACAAGAGATAGTGGCGCCTTGTTAAACTTAGGCTCTAGGCTTTTGGGCCCAAAGACCATACTACATGAATCACCATCTTTGTCCATACACTGGTGGGATAGCTTACAAACCCTAAACCTCACAGTGACCCTAAACCCTACAGAATAGTAGGTTATGACCCCTTAATTCGAGTGTAGGACCCTTAAAGCTGTAGGTTTTTGGACCCTCAGGTAAAGTCCAAACCCTAAAAGCCCCAAAACCCTAAAGATCCCTTATAAGAACCTTTACAGGGAACCCTTATAGATTCCCTTAAAGGGAGCCCCTATAAAAACGGGAGGTTTTTGGATCCTCAGGTCCAAGTAGACCCTAAACCCTATATAGATCCCTTTAAGGAACCCTATAGATCCCTTTAAGGAACCCTATAGATCCCTTTAAGGAACCCTATAGATCCCTTTAAGGAACCCTATAGATCCCTTTAAGGAGCCTTTTAAGTCTCCCGACCCTCCAGGTAAAGTCCAAAGCGCAGCTCTTTCTTTTAGGAACCCCCCTAAACCCTAAACCCTAAACCCTAAAGACCCTCTGATTAAGGGGTCATAACCTACTATTCTGTAGGGTTTGGGGATGCAGGTAAACCCTAAACCCTAAACCCTAAACCCTTAAACCCTAAACCCTAAACCCTAAACCGTAAACCCTAAACCCTAAACCCTAAACCCTTGAGGCTTCAACCGACTCGACTGTGTACCTGTGACCCAAAACCTATAGAATAGTAGGGGGATCCTTAAGGGTTCCTTTAAGGGATCTATAGGGTTTAGGGGGTTGGGGTTTAGGGTTTAGGGCCCCAAGCCCTATAGGATAGTAGGGTATTACCCCTAAATTCGAGGGTCGAACCCTTAAAACGGTAGGTTTTCGGATCCCAAGGTGTAGAACAGTAGGGTATTACCCTTAAATTATAGGGTCTAACCCCTAACACGGTAGGTTTTTGGATCCACAAATGGGGGTTTAGGGGCTTAGTGTTTAGGGGTTTCGGGATGTAGGGTTTAGGGGTTTAGGGGCTTAGAGTTTAGGGGTTTCGGGATGTAGGGTTTAGGGGTGTAGGGGCTTAGAGTTTAGGGGTTTCGTGATGTAGGGGTTTGCGGGTTTAGGGGGTTAGGGTTTGGGGGTTTAGGGTTTAGAGGTTGCGGGGTTTAGGGGGTTTAGGGGTTTGGGGGTTTGGGGGTTTAGGGGTTTAGGGGCTTAGAGTTTAGGGGTTTCGGGATGTAGGGTTTAGGGGGTTCAGGGGGTTTAGGGGTTTGGGGGTTTAGAGTTTAGGTTTTAGGGGTTTAGGGGTTTAGGGGCTTAGAGTTTTGGGGTTTCGGGATGTAGGGGTTGGGCGTTTAGGGGTTTAGGGGTTTAGGGGGTTTAGGGGGTTTAGGGGTTTGGGGATTTAGGGTTTCGGTGTTTAGGGGTTTCGGGTTTAGGGCTTAGGGTTACGAGCACTTGGACTAGAAGTCTTGTTACCTTGTTCAAAATCCTCATTACTAGTTATAGCTACCTTGTCCAGAACAAAGCATACTAAGACCTTGTTCAAAAGCCCCAGTTGCCAAGTCCCAGTATCCTTTAAGTAGCTCTTGCCAAGCTACGCTTCCTCCTCGCAGTCTATGGTGATGCCGGTGAGCCGCAGGCTCAGCCTTTGTAAAGGAGTTTAGGCCTTGGGATTGAGGGTTCAGGGTTGAGGGCTAGGGTGTGGGGTCTAGGATAAACCCTAAACCCTAAACCCCTAAACCCCATAAATGTTGGAAACCGGATTAAGGCCAAATAGTGCTGGGATTCCCTATACATTACTGTTAAGGATTGAGGTTATTGGGGCTTCCAACTTTTGGGCTTCTACTGTACGTAACCTGAGGTGCATCCTTCACAAAGGATACCGACCTCCCGCGGATAGTGTCAGCCGAGGTCTGTTCGATGGCTTCAGCAGCACCAGGTTCGCGATCGTGCCACTCAGTTTCCACATGTTGTGGTCAGTGGCATTGCGTCCACCTCCCGGTATGCGTGCCCCTGCTGGATTCACGTCTGCCTGGAGTCGGAGCCTCATGGTGGCCATGCAGAGCACGGTTGGATTGTCGCCTACGAAGGATGCCAGAGTAGCCGCCAGTCCCTGGTTGGAGCGAACCATACGTCCACCCTGCTTCACGATGACGACCGCTTCCTCGCATCCGAATGTAGCTGCAACCATACCGAGCAACGTGCAAAAACCCTGATATGCTGTTGTTATTGGCGTTGATGCCTGGGGGGCTTCTGTGAAACGCTGCTTGTTGCGCTGAACCCTCACCCCTTCCCACTTGACACATCATCGGGCGTAGTGAGCAAGAAACGTTATGAAAACCTATCGATTGGAGCTATAATCACAAATAAATAAATAAATATATATATATATATATATATATATGTACATTCTTCGTTTTCCTAGTTACGAAGTCCCATGCTCCTTTAAGCAAAGTATTTGTTGGGCTAAACTCTTGTCCCACACAAGCCTCGTTTAGGTGTCTTTGCAGTGTGAGGGCCGAACTCCCAATAGGACTATAACTTTTAGGGTTTACGGTGTAGGGGCACAAACGCCCAAACAATTCAACCCTCGATTTGGAAAAACAACCTGACACCTGCGCCCCAAAGCCCCTAAAACCCTCCAAACCCTGATACACTAAACTCGAAACATGTCAATTCCAAACCCTGAGCCAGAGACGGTGGTTACGGTTGATGATATAAATCCTGCATTACTCAAGGACCCTAAACTATGGGAATTCTGGCATATGGTAGTGCTCATCAACCGTTAGGTAAAGCATTTGGCTTGGGGCCCAGAGACTCCAATATCCCTTAATTAAGGAATATTCCTTAAATTATAGTAGGGTCCCTTATATGATTTAAGGAATATTCCTTAATTACGGGATATTGGAGTCTCTGGGGGCTTGAGGAAGGGACTGGGAGGGGGCTGGGATTTCAGGGGCTTCAGGCACTGAAGGTCGGGTTTAGGGCTTAGGGTTTAGGGCTTAAGGTTTAGGGTTTAGGGTTTAGGGATTAGAATTTAGGGATTAGGGATTAGGGTTTAGGGTTTGGGGGTTTAGGGATTAGGGTTTAGGGATTAGAATTTAGGGATTAGGGCTTAGGGTTTTGGGGTTTAAGGGTTTAGGGCTTCTAAGAGCCTTCAGCCCCGAAGCTTCAAGTACCCTAAACCATCAACCGAACCCCAACACTCTGTACTTATGGTGGTTGTCAAAATTAGCGTCCCTTTTTGGGTACCCTGAATAATAGGTGCCGTACGACAATAGGTACCCAAAAAGGGACCCTGATTTTGACAACCACCCAAATATAAATCCTGCATTACCTTAAGGACCCTAAACTATGGGAATTATGGTATATTCCTTATTAAGGGTAGTGCAGGATTTATATCATCAACCGTAGTGTATCACAACTCCAAGCCCTCAACCTGAAGAAACTGGACCCGACAACACCGAACCCTAAATCCTGAAACCTAAAACCTCAAACCTAAGTCTGTAAAGCCCAATAACCTATGAATGTAGCCGGAATGACCTACCCTTCTAAGGGACTTTACAGAGAAACCATAACAGGGAACCCTGAAAAGGTAGGTCTTTTCGGCTACAGGTACCCCTAAAGAAACCTTTTCCCTAGGGGTCCAAGTGCCCAAATAGTAGAGTTTCAGGTCCCAAAATCCATACTCTGAATGGTTTTTGGACCTTGAAACCCTGCTATTTGGGTACGTGGACCCTTAAAGGTTTGGATGCCCCAGGCACTGCGGAGGCGTCGGTTCTGTGACAATGCCCAGCAGCTGCCGGACATACCTGGGGCGACGTTTACTTAAAAGGATCATGGGACTTAGTAACTGGAGTTATAAGGGGCTCCTTAAAAGGCTCCTTAAAGGGATCTATAGGGGTTCCTTAGAGGGATCTATAGGGTTTAGGGTTTAGGGTCTACTTGAAGGATCATGGGACTTAGAAACTGGTGTTCTAAATAAGGTAACCATACTTATAGTTACTTATAGCCCGGACATATAACCTTACTTACTAAGTCCTATGATCCTAAAAGTAGGGTTTAGGCATACCGGGCTCCGGGTTCCTGGGCTTCGGGTTTAGAGTTTAGGGACTTAGCTGCTGAGTTCATAAGCCCCAAAACCCTAGGCCCTAGGGCTCAAAGGAAGACCATACTATATCAGGCTCCTGGGCTACTTTGATGCCCAGGGAGGAGTGTACACTTTCAGTTCTAAAAGGCATCATATTCTCCCAGAAAGTGGAAAGTGTACTCACTCAGCTACTAAGCTAAGGGTCCAGGTGCCTATCAGGTTCCTACTGGGGTGCCTCTAATCGACCTTCTATAAAGGTGCCATAAGTGTCACGTTGCAGAAGATGCTTGGGTTTGGGGGAACCCTTCACGGTGAGACACGAAACCTTCAAACTCCCTTCCAAGCCGCAGTTCCACTCATGACAAGCCTCACATGAAACTTTACAATATAAAGGACCTATATACAAAAAACCTAAACCCCAACCCTACAACCCGAAACATCTAAGCTTACCCCAGCCCTAAGTTGGAAATGTCTGAGCCAATTATAACAAAGCCCATGAGCCCGTTCTAAAACCCTACTATAGCGGCCTCAATAATTAAAACAGGTTTCCTCTTAAGGGTTCTTTTAAGAGTTTTCTTCAAGGTAACTACAGGGATTTAAAATGACTTAGAATAGGGAGGGCCTTCATTTGTAGAAAGAGGGTCTAACCCGTATAGAATAGGCTTTTGCCCTTGTAATATACTCACTATACGGAACCCCAAGGAATAATGTTGGTTAGTATTTCGGCTTCTGTATTATTTGACACGAGTCTCCGCAGAGACTCCCAAAACCGTTAATTGCAAAACAAATCATCTCGGGATCCTTGATATGAACGAAACAACTCCCACGAACAACCCTCTGCATAGTGGCTCCCAGTTTTCGAGCATAAAACAACATGAAAAAAACTAAACCTTGGACCCTAAACCCCAAACCCTGAACCCTAAACCGTGAAGCCCACGGAGGGATTTGCCGGGATGCTCTGCCCGGTTCCGCAACGGTGTCTTGCGCCGGTTGATTTGAAATCGTGAGGTCATGTAGGCCTGGCAGCAGGGGTCTTGGGTTTAGGCTTAGAGCTGATGGGGTTTACTAGGTTTACGGTCTGGGGTGCGGAAGGGTTTGGTTGCAGGAAGCCGGCCTTCGTACAGGTTGTGTATGCTTTACTATACTTGAAGGTTCATGAGGCTTTGTAAGTAGGGTTCTGCATAACATAATTGTATTTATAGTATTTGAACATGACCCCAGTTGAGGTACTTGTAACTGTACTTACTGAGTCCTGTGAGCGTCCAACCACCGCTACAGACTCTTTGAAAGTAAACCTTCTAAATGCTCCTATTATAGGAACTCTTTTGAGTTGCTGAGTCCCACAAACATCCAAGTACACCCTAAACCGTGCAAAGCGACTGAGTGCAAACAAGGCCGCGTGCGTCCTTTTGCCAACTCCGCGAGTTTACTACAGGGGCTTTAATAATTAGAATGAGGTTTGGGGGTATACTATACTATTCTTATAATCAATAAGGAACCCCCAAAATAGTATAGGAAATTATTTAGGCCCCTATAGTGCACCCTGACTTCCCTTGCGGTTTAGGGCCTCGGGTTTCTGGAAGACCACTTTAGCCCCAAGCCCGGCCTAAACCCTAAACCCTACACTAAAACCTAGACCCTAAACCCCTAAACCTATCCTGAACTTAGAACCCTAGCAAAAATTACAAGTTTAGCTGTCTCTTAGGGATTATAATAATCAAAAATTAAAAATTATTTCTACGTACCCCTAAGAAACCCCTAAAACCCACGGTTTAGAGTGTAGGATTTAGGGCTTAGGGTGCAAACTCCTAATTATATTAGGCCGCGAGTAGATCTCGGAGTTCTTCTTCTCTTTCTTGTAGTGCCCTAAACCGGCAACCCTAGATGACCCGCTGTAAGGATGGGGTCTTGCCTTGCAAGTTTCAGGTTGGAGCCACCGCCAAACCCTAAACCCTAAACCCTCAGGACACTCTGCGAAGCCGGTTTAGAGGTATAGGTTTAGGGTTTAGGGTTATAAGCATGCAAATCTATAGAAACATCTAAGACAACGAAGAGTACTGTAGTTGGAGCAATAGGTAAACCCTAAATTGTATTGAAATCAATCCTATAGAACCGATACCAAACCCTTCCCAACAGAGCCCCCTTTTAAAGGAACTTTTTCAAGGAACCCTAAACCCCCTCTTCAAGGAACCCTTAAAGGAACCCTAACGGCTCTCCTAAAGTGCAGGTCAAGGCCAGCCCCCAAAAGAAAACGCAAGCAACGTCCGGGAGCACCCCGAGGCCAGCCGAGAAGTACAAGCAGATCTCGGTGTTAATTGTGTTTTAGTGTTGATGGTTTAGGGTTTGGGGGTTTAGGGTTGCGTGTTTACGGTTAAGTGCGTGGGGTTCGGGCGTGGGGCTGTTGTCAGGTTCCTTATAGGGCTCCACACCTGTTTTTGTACGAGCCTGGGCCTATGGGGCGTTTGGGGGCCTCTAGACACGAGTGCACGGCCTGTTTGGTCTTTATAAACTTGTGTAGGTTTTGTCTCAGGGGCTGAAAGGCCTCACAAGTGTTGTTGTTATAGTTATAGGTGTTCAGGGTCTGTTCTGTGTTCGTACTCAGAAGTTCATGAGGCTTAGTATTCGTGGCAGCCTGACGGAAACTTGGCTGACTTCTGAAACCCTGCTAAAAGTTAAATTTTGGCCTCCTTCATATAGTTCATATAGACACCCCAAGGCCCAAACGTTACAGTCCTAAGAGTCAACCAGAAGAACGCCAGCCCCGTCTCGGCGTAGCTGTCGCCGTGGAAGTCTTTTCGAGCTCTCTTCGATTTAAGGTTTACCTGGGGATCCAAAAACCTACCGTTTTAAGGGTTCGACCCTCTAATTGAGGGGTCATAACCTACTATTTTGTAGGGTTTGGGGATACAGCTAGGGTCTTATAGGGTTTAGGGCTTCGATCGCCAGCTCGATCTCAACAACCCAAAGGGTCCTATGTACCTTTATAGTAGAATGTAGGGTTTCTTTCTTAGGAACTACTATTATGATCCAGGGAAGTATCCCCCATAACAGTACATAGGACCCTTTGGGCAAATCATCTGTCCGTTGAGTGGTTTTCGCCGCGGGGGCGACCTTCAAGGCGCCATGCGTTTCACGGCCAAGGAGCCGTGTCGCCTTAAGCCACTTACCTTTGGTTAGTAGGGAATGCAGGAGTGGGGTACAATTAAAAACTGCTATTACTACCATTCTTCCATTCCCTACTCACCAGAGGTAAGGCCAGCGAGCACCCACGACTCTATGACTTCTCTCCGTTGAGGCGGCACATAATGCTACATGCCTGCGTCCGCTGCGACAGCCATCTCCCTGATCCTGAGCTTCTTGTAGATGTGGGTACTTCAGTAGCTCGGAGCGGCTGACGCCTAGGTCCTATCCTGGTCTCTCTCACTTCTCAAGCAGTGCTCATCCAGGGACCGGCTCATCTGCTTCCAACGAATGCGGTAACTCTCTTAATTGCAGCACGGATGTCAATTTCGGGAGGATGCTGCCTGAAACGGATGTTTTGACTCGTACAATCGGTCTGATGGTTGACCAGCCACGGGCTGTGGGGGAGGGCACATCCAACGCAAAGGTCGAGCCAGAAACCAGCGCGCTTCAGTCTCCAGTAGAATAGAACCTGCTGGCCTTGCCGATATTTAGGTCCAACTTTGGGTTCAAGGGCGCGGTATCCAAGGTAGAGCAAAAAGTGGTCACCATGATCTGGGTCTTCCAGGAGGTTATAGCGGCTATAGCGGTTTAGAAGGGCTTTGAACACAAAGTCATATTCGTTGGGATTCGGGGCTTTGAGTTTACGGACTGGACACAGAGGGACATCCAACCCAACCCTAAACCCTAAACCCCAAACCCCAAACCCCAAACCCCCAAACCCTGAACCCAAGGCCCTGCAACACTGACCTCAAACCCCCTGACCTGCAAATCTAGTCTTGGCTGGCTTCTGAACCCCTCCTAAAAGTTAAACTTTTAGCCTCCCTAATATAGTTTATATAAAAACCCAAGAAATTAGAGTCTAAAGAGCCAACCAGAAGAACGCCAAGTAGAGTCCATTGAATTAAGGAAGCAACACCCTGAACTCCAAAGCCCAAAACCAAAATCCTAAGATAGTCGCCTTATTCGTCAGTCTGGCGGCTACCCTAAGGGTCCATGTGCCAAAAGAATTAAATTCTCTGGCTTCAATCTAGTCCTCATTTGGAGCCAAAGTATATGCTATTTGGGTACATGGACCCGTAGGGCTATATACGTAAACCCTAAGCCCTCAACCCTAAACCCCAAACCCTACCTGTGGATCCAAAAACCTACCGTTTTAAGTGTTCGACCCTCTAATTAAGGGGTCATAACCTACTATTTTGTAGGGTTTGGGGATACAGGTAAACCCTGAACCCAAGGGCTATACGTATGGGGCTTTCAAGACATAATCGCTATGGTTGGCAGCTTCAGGCTTACGGGACCAGGTCGATTCACCGCAAATGCGCGAGGGCGTAGGGTTTGGGATTTAGGGTTTTGGGTATAGGGTTTAGGATTTAGGGTTTAGGATTTAGGTTTAGGGCTTGGGATTGAGGAGTTAGGGTTTAGGGGACTGCACAAACACTAGACCCAAGCAATTTAAAAGCCCTACCTTAAACTACCAAAACCTACTATTTTGTAAGTTATTCCTACTATACGTAAAGCCTAAAATGAAATCTATCGGGACCCTACCAAAAAGAAGCAGGTTTCCCGGTAGTTCAAGGTCAGCCTGTAAGCCCCACACCGTCAAGCCCTCTAACTCGCCGTCCCCCAGACCTTAAAACTTAAACCCTGCAGTCCATGAAGCCCAAGTGCCACATGGGTGCTTAACGGATCATGGGACTTAGTAACTACAATTGGTAACTAAACTTCCAGCTTATTTGCGATAATCAGAGTTACGGTACTTCTAACTGAAATTATTAAGCCCATGAACCTCCAATTAACTCGCAAAATGCGGACCCTTTCTAGGTCTGCGAGACCCGAATCCAAATCCAGCTACCCCATCCCTGAATCCCACAGACGTTGCGTGCAACCAGACCTAAATCCTTAAACCCTACCAGGGGATCCAAAAACCCTACTGTTGTAGGGGTTAGGCCCTCTGATTAAGGGGTCATAACCCACCATTTTCTAGGGTTTGGGGATGAAACCCTAAACCCTATAAACCCTCAACCCTAAACCCTCGACCCTAAAGCCTCAACCCTAAAACTCTCAACCCCTAAACCCTATAGATCCCTTTAAGGAACCCTATAGATCCCTTTAATTTAAGGAACCCTCTAGATCCCTTTAAGGGAACCCTAAAGCCCTGAAGCCTGAACTCTGGGGCTGGCACGAAGAAGGGCACGGGCTTGCCCGCCTTAAGAGGCGACCGAATACCCTAAACATTAACTATACTGAACTTAGAACCCTGGCAAAAATTGAAATATTCGCTGTTTCTTAGGGATCATAATAACCAAAAATTAACAAAATATTTCTAAGTAACCCTAAGTTAAAACATGAATCCCAAAGCCGCACCCCTAAACTACACAATGTCCGTCCTAGCCCTACTACAGGTTTAGGAATCAGGGCTCAGCATAGTACACACTCTCAAGGTCTTTAGCCTACTTGTCCAGTATCTTTGGGAACTAAAGGTTATCCTTTGGGGAGTATATTGGGATTAGAATACCCTCAAAAAGGGTTAAAGGACTAAAGGATACCTCCTCCACTACTAGGTTGGTGCTATGCTGATTCAGCTCTAAGCTTTTAGGGGCCCCAACCCTACACCCCTAAGCTCAATCACTCACAGGCGGCTGAGGCCCAATGGTCCCATGTCGAGAAAAGGAGGCCAAAACCCCAAAAACTGCCGAGGGTCTACTTGGAGGTTCATGGGACTTAGTAAGTAGGGTTATATAAACAAGGTAACTATACTTATAATTACTTATAACCCCAGTTAAGGCACTTATAACTGTACTTACTAAGTCCCATGAACCTCTAAGTAGAATCCAGAGTTTCTGGATCTGGGTGATTTGGGTATAGGGTTTCTTGACCTGGTTTGCCATTTAAAGCAATTGAAAAAAGATCGTAAATAAGACCCACTTGCGCCGAACATAAGTGAAAATCTAAACTATCCCAAAGGCCTACTGAGTTAGACCCCCCAACTACCCTCTACCATAATCCAATTACCCACAAGTAAGGGCCATAAGGACTCCATTGAAGGGCTCGTGGGGGTCCTGGTAGTTAATCTTTTCGGTAAGGAGTTTACTGTAAAACCTAAACCCTAAACCTTAGGGTATGAGCCTACAGGTAGAGGGTTCGTGGGACTTAGTAACTCGGGTAACTATACCTATAGCAATTCAAAACCTTACAAGTTTACTCCATACGTCCCATGATCCTGCAAGTATAGATTCCAGTACCCTAAGGCTCCATGTGCCCATATAGTATATACTTAGGCCTTAAAGTACCTATATGGGGACAGCTTTAAGGCTTAAGTTTCTACTATTTGGGTACCATGCACCATAATACACTAAACCCTATGGAACCTTAAAAGGAACCCTTAATGGAACCCTACTATAAAGGTACCCAAAGACTCCAAAATCCCTTAATTAAAGAATCTTCCTTAAATCATGGAGCCTTTGGGGTACCCTATTTAACCCTCATAGAACCCTTAAAGGAACCCTTTAAAGGAACCCTTTAAAGGAACCCTGTAAAGGAGCCCTTTAAAGGAACCCTATAAAGCCAAGGAGTATTTCAAGGATTCAGGACCCAGGGCCTCTTACGCAGCTGTTTGCGGTTTTGGGCCAGGGTTTGACGCAGGGCTGAGGGTATGTTTCAGTCAGGTTCAAGAAATGGGTGGTTGTCAAAATTAGGGTCCCTTTTTGGGTCCCTACTAAAATACGGCACCTAATATTTAGGGTGCCCAAAAAGGGACCCTAATTTTGACAACTACCTAAATGCAGTCCCAGACCAATCTTAGGAACACGCCCCAAGTGCGGCCCAATCTTACACACACTATGCGTCGTAAAGTCGACACCGCTGATCCTGAACCCCAAACAATCAAACTCTCAACCCTGGTCAGGAACCCTAAAACCCGATTCGCACTGGCTGTGGCTCAGGGTTCAGGGTTTAGGGTTTGGGGTTTAGGGTTTGAGGGTCTGGGTTTGGGGTCTAGGGGGCTGTGCACCAAACTTAACCTTGAACAACCTACCTTGCTAGGGTTCCTTATTATGACGTCCTTATATAAGTCCTGAAAAATGTAGGTTCTTCCGGGTTAAGGTAGGGTCTAGGATTCTCGTTTGTCTTGTCGGGGGCACCCGACAAAGCAGGAGCTCGATTAGGTTCGGCTACTACTCGGATGCAGAGGGTTTCAGTTTTTGGAGTGTGGGGCTCAGCGCTCAAAGGGTTCGGGCTGAAGTGCTACCCTAAACCCTAAACCCCAAACCCCAAAACCCTGCACCCTAACGCCGCTGAAGAATGAATGTTGTAGAGGTTGTAGGGCTGTAAAGCCTAGGGCTGACTCCGGGATGAGCTGGGAGGATTCGGGGTGCAGGCTATAGAGTTTGCAGCCCGCAACCAGCCTGTCTAGTATAGGAACCTGATTTAGCAACCCTGGGTCTTTGTTGGGGTTCCTTACATGGGAGTTTTCGAAAATAGGGGGTACCTTACTTTGGGGTCCTTATAACAAGGATCCTACTATTTAGGGTTCTATATTAGGGTCCCCTATTTTCGGAAACTCCCACATGGGGTTCCTTACATGAACCCTACTGTTTTCGGGGTATAGGGCCAGGGTTTCTGAATCAGGTTCCTACATTAGCCCGTGCGGAGCAATGTATTCATAAGACACTTCAGGCTAAAAACCCAACCCGCATGCACCATTCCTGAATTCTAACACCTGTAAACATCACTGGAAACTCAGAAGCGCAACTCAACCTCGAAACACCTCCGACGCGATGAGGACCCTAAACCCTCCTGAACCCTAAACCCCAAAACTGCACAGCCCCAAACCCTAAACACTAAGGGACCCCTAACCTTAAAGGAACCCTAAGCACTCAACCCCAGGCCTCAAAGTCTTGACCCTCAAACCCAACCCAAGACTGGTGCCTGCTTCAAGCGCACTTGTCGCTGACCATCCACCTGCCACAAGAATGCATGTCGGGTAAACTGAATAGAGGGGCCTGAGAGAGGGGTTAAGGGGTTCAGGGTGTAGGGGTAGGGGTTCCGGCTTTTCACGTATATGGGTTTAGGGCATAATTAAGGGCCTGCCTTGAACAGGTTCTGCTCAAGTTCCACATCAACTTTACAGATCTTGGACCCACTGCAGCTGCACTTGGCCCTTCTTGCCGGCCTTGCCCTAGCAAAGGCATTCTGTAGCTCCTGCGACATGCAGAGCTCGTGGAGCTTGTCTAACTCGGTGACGCCAGCACGAGCCCCGAAACCAAAAGTCCATGGAACAGCAACTGTCGTAAACCGTGCGAAATGTTCTCGTGCTGCTGCTTGGAAATGCGAGCACCGCCCTTGGTAGCGCACTTGGCTTTGCCCTCGAATTATGCTTGCATCTACTGCTTGAGGACTTGCTGAGACTCATAGCGGATACCTGGCATATCCTCATCCATCAAATCATCTTTCACAATCATCATCCCCAGCTTTTAATGCAGATGACCAAATGGAAGCAAATCCAAACCAACGCCATCTGGAGTTCGAACAACAGGTCTCCCATGCTGTGGTCGGGGGGCTACAGGTACTGCTTGACATGAACTAGGATTTTGCTGGTTTCTTACACGCTGACTAACTAAGGCTAAGGGTAACCTACTTGTCGGGTACCATGGGGAACTAAAGGTTAACCTTTTTGGTTATATAGGGATTATATAGGGACTATACTACCCAAAAAAGGTTAAAGGTTACCTACTCGACTACTAGGGTAACTAGAAGCGGATAAAATTCCAAATTCTTCAGACCCGCCCCCCATGATGGACTTGGGTGTGGTGCGTTTTGGGTTCAGGGTGCTGGGATCCCCTAAATCCTACACCCTGCGCTTTGATCCCGTGGTGTTGTGCTCAAGGCTGTGCGGTTTAGGTTCCAGTGTGCAGTGCTTCGGGCTTACCTTTAGCCTAGCCCACAAAACGGTACTAGACCTAAGAGTAACCTAGGAATAAAACGGGTGCCCTTTTTGGTTTAAAGGGGCTTATAAGGGAACCTAAACCCTAAAAAAGGGAATAAGGGCCTACTCTAGGTCCTAGGGTACTTCGGGCGCCTTCATTATAAGGCCTACCTACACTGCAAAAAGCAACTAACGTAATAGCTCAACACCGGTTCTGCATGCTTAAAAGAAACCCATACCTTGAAGGTAGAGTATAGGGAATCTCGCACTAACTACCTTAAGTCTATGTTCCAACTTGATGGGCCTCACTATAACCCCATGCATCCGAGGACCTCATAGTTAGGGCCCTAGACCCCATAAGGACCCAATAATCAGGTCCCTGGAAGCATAGGGTAGTTCACAAGGCCAGCACCTTGGCATTGGGATTTCGGCCACGTCGGCCGGTCAGCTCTGCCAGCCTGAACATTGTGGGCTTCGTTGGGGTGTCTCATGGTTTCTAGTTCATGGTTGGGATCGGATTAAAAATGTACATGTTCATTCCTTATTGGGTTTAAGTACCCTTAAAATGTAAAATGTTACCCAACTATGACAAAGGTTTAGGGTTCAGGGCTTGGGTTTTAGGGTCTCAGAGGTTTAGAATTTTCGAACTAACAAATTAGGGATTAGGGTTCAGGGTTTGGGTTTTAGGGTCCTGGGTTTCAGGATTTAGAGTTTTAGAACTAACGAATTAAATTAGGGGTTAGGGTTTGACCTAAATCCTGCAGTCTCGCAGGGAATCCCAAAGCAACCTCTCATTCCGGCTTTGGGTGTTGAGGTTTCGAGGTTTTGTCCCGGGTCAGGCTTAGGGTTTTGGGGTTTAGGGTTTAGAGTCTAGAGTTTAGGGTTTTAGGGTTTTAGGGTTTAGAGTCTAGAGTTTAGGGTTTTGGGGTTTAGGGTTTAGGGTTTGAGGTTGAGGGTTTACGGATCCCGCTCAAGCTTGTCTGAAGTTTGTGGGGTCTGGGGGCTGCGAGTTTGGGGTTTAGGGCCAGGCTTAGAGTTTAGAGTTCTGGATTTAGGATTTACCCGTAGCCGCACTCTGCAAACCCTATCAACAAATGGTAAGTCACGACACCTCAGATTGATAAGATCTATATCCCTTGACATCATACGTAGCTGGAGCCATACACTGGTAATCCGAAGCACTAATATTACATGGCAGAGTGAATCCTTAAATGCTATGCCCTAAACCCTAAACTTTGACTTAAACCCTAACCCCTAACCCTTAACCCCTACCTAAACCCTGAACGGCCTACCTTCTTAAGGACTTATAGAAGGAAATCATAATAAGAAACCACAAAAAAGGCTTCTCCCGTAATGGTTGTCTTAAGGGTTCTATGTGTTCCCATTTGCAAAGACAATGCTCGCATGTTCTCTGCTGACGAGGGTCAGATTTGCAGGCATTGGAACTTTCGCACAGACCCCGCAGGGTCGGAACTGGATACGGTAGGGAGCACGCCCCACGGGTACGATCGGCTGCGCAAACAGGTTGGGCGCCCCCCGGTTGAGCGGTAGCTCGCCGAGGAGTTCGTAATATTTTATTTCAGGCCGAGCATCCAACCTGGGGGCGGAAACTCGTCCGTCGTTGTCTCATAATTAACCATTTCGGCTCGGGAGGGCACGGCCGGTCGAAGCGCGGAATGCTACCGCTCGCCGTGCCTGCGAGACGCAATGGCGACAAGTGATGGTCCCGTCCTTCTTCACGATGCGCAGCTTCCGGTGGTTTCATTCGCCCAGCAATGTCACCAAGGCAGTCGGGACGTTGCGATTGGGAAGCATTAACGACCATGCCTCGTGGAATCTGGTGACAAAATCAGTACACAAGCCACCCTAAACCCTAACCCCTGAACCGGGGAGTCGAGATTTGGGACTTTAGGGAGTCTCGGCTGCAATATGTGCACGGCCTGTGGGCTTGTCTCGCACTGATTTAGGGTTAAGGGTTTGCGGTAGGGTTTAGGGTTTAGGGTTTGTGGTGCAGGGTCCACGTACCCAAGTAGCTGAAGGCTCCAAATACTGTGACCTGAAGGGTTTTTGGTGCCTGAGACCCTGCTGAGGGTTGAGGTTCAGGGCTGAGGGGTTCAAGGTTCAAGGGTGGAGGCATTTATTAGGGTTTAGGGAGTCAGGGTTTAGGGTTTAGGTTTTAGGGTTTAGGGTTTATAGGAACTTTGCGACCAAAGTATATGCGATTTGGGTACATGGACGCTTGGGGAAAGGTTAAGCTTTGAACCCTTTATGGTACCCTAAACCCCTAGAACCCTTCAAAAGATCCCTGAAAGGAACCTATATAGAATCCTTCTAGACCCCCTACCCAGAGACTCCAATATCCCCCACTTAAGGAATATACCATAAATTATAATAGGACCCCTAATAAGATTTAGGGGATATTCCTTCATTAAGGGATATTGGAGTCTGTGGGTAAGGGATACTACGAGGGCTTTGGTCTTTTAATTCTCAGGCCGGTATGGAACCCTCATGGGAACCCCTCATAGCATCAAAACCCTAAAGCCTTGTAGAGGTTACCTACTCTGCTACTAAGTCTTGGTGTAGGATTTAGGGTTTGGGGCTTTGGGGTTTAGGGCTTAGGGTTTAGGGCTCAGGGTTTAGGGCTTAGGGCACACTAAACCCTAGTAAACCCCTAAACACTAAACCGTCCCTAAACCCTAAACCCCTAAACCCTAAACCCTAAACCGTCCCTAAGCCCTAAACCCCTAAGTCTTTGAATTCCCAGGCGCTTGAAGTTGCAGCTATCTTGGCCTCTTGGAGGCATTAGCCTTAGCGGACCGACAAGGGGGTTCCCGGACTTCTAGGTTTCCTTTAAAGGGCACGGTTTAGGGTTTAGGGTTTAGGGTTTAGGGTGTAGGGTGTAAACGGAGCTATGAGGGTTCCTTGAAGGGGATCTATGAGATTTCCTTTAAGGGCTCACATAAGGAATCTATAGGGTCTAGGGTTTAGCTCCACCATACAAGCGGTCACCGAAGCAAACAACGGACTCATCTCCAAGGATGGCCTCGATCAGTCCTTTGAACGCGAGCCAGACTGACATGGGAGTTTCCGAAAATAGGGGACCTTAAAATAGTACCCTAAATAGTAGGATCCTGATTATAAGGACCCCCAAATAAGGTACCCCTAGTTTTCGGAAGCTCCCACATGCGACGAGAGCGTGCCACTGTCGGATCCTGCTTCGTTTCACACTCACGTCGGCGTCGATAAAGCCACCATCTGGCATCGTCCTCTTCTGCGTGCCAGTGGACGTGCCGCCAAGCAGGTCACAGGGCCACGACACGCGAAAAACTAGGGGTACCTTATTAGGGGGTCCTTATAATCAGGATCCTACTATTTAGGGTACTATTTTAAGGTCCCCTATGTTCGGAAACTCCCATGTCAGTCTGGCTCGCGCTCTCAAAGGATATAAGGCATCAAGCTCTTGCAAATACCCTTTGATGTTCTGGCTGCTAGCTACGCGCGTGCGTCCTCTTGAGCCAATCTTACGATATGGGACCCTCAACAACGAGAATAGGGATTTGGTGTCAAACAATATTTGGCTATAGTAGTACTAACAACCACAATGGTAGTGGTAATTATTTGACCATCCCAAGGTTTAGGGTTTATGAGGTCTTTTGGACCTGAAAGGGAATCAAAACAATGAGAACCCACAGAAACCTGATAGCCCCGCTGTGAACATCTAAAAATGCGCTGAATGACCCAAAGTGTCGGTGGGGTTCGTTTGGGCTTAGGGAGGCTCATGCTCAGACGCAAGACTTTTTGTGTTAAGAACCATGCATACAGAGTACGGTTTAGTGAAGCTTAGCTTTTGGGCTTGAGGCTTTGGGGGTTTTGTGCCCGAAATCTTGTCGGAGTCACTTGGCGAGGCGTTGTAACATAGTAGAAATTGCACGACCCCAAACTCCAAGGGTCCAACTGACCCAATGATCGGGTACTCGGGTTTATGATAGTGGTTTTGTAGGTTACTGTCCTGGAGAGTATATGATAATTTTGGTACTTAGACCCGTAGGGAAATGCTGACAACTTCGCACGGAACGGAGGCCAAGGCATGAGATATGCAGAGTGGCAAAGTCTGTCGGGGATGCAGAAACGGACGCAAATTTAGCGAACTCGACATAGTGGAAGGAACGTAGACATCTTTCATGGCTTCCTATGAAGCACCCTTTACGAGCAGGGCCCTTAACCATAAACCCCAAGCCCTGAATCCTATGGGTAGCATGCAGCACCGAAATCGGGGGTTCTGCTTTCAAGATCACGACCTTACTTGGAGGTTCATGGGACTTAGTAAGTACAGTTATAACTACATTAACTGGGGTTATAAGTAATTATAAGTATGGTTACCTTATTTACAACCCTATTTACTAAGTCCCATGAACCTCCAAGTAGAACCTCTGAACCCAAGTCCGGAAAGTCAATACTCCAGAAACCCAGAGCCCCGCACCTGCTCCTTTAGCCCTCAAGTCGGCGACACCCTGAAGCCAAAAAAACAATCTAAAAACCCTAAACCCTAAACCTTAGGTACGGCCCCCACTCAGTAATGGTTGAATAATATTCATAATATAGATATAGTAGGACCTTAATAGTAGCCCTATTATAGACTCTTACTGTATGGGGGCCGTACCTGACCTAAACCCTAAACCCTAAACCCTAAACCCTAAACCCTAAACCCTAAACCCTAAACCCATAAACCCTAAGCCCTAAAGCCAGAGCCTAATCCTCCCCTGCAACCCGAAAAGACTCAAAGGGCCCCACAGGGCCCCGTAGTTAGGTGGGATGAAGGCAGGTGTCATGCCCCCAATGTAAGATTTAGGGTTTAGGGTTGAGGGTTGAGGGTTTAGGGTTTAGGGTTTAGGGTTTAGGGAAGAGCCCTAAAGTAACCTGATAATCCTACCAACTTAAAGGTTCATGGGCCTTAGTAACTGGGCTCAAAAAAACATACTATGTTCAAAATCAATCATAACCCCTGTTAAGGTACATATATTTGTACCTGGTAAGCCACATGAACCTCCGAGTACCTGCCTCCCACCTTGTAGCCTGAAGGTCCTTGAAGAAAATCTAGAGTTTAAAAGGTTTAGGGCTTGGGGCGGGTTTAAAGTAAAACCCGAAACCCCAAAGACCTTAAAACCCCCATGCCGTGGAAACTGCATATAAAAGGCTTAAGGAGTAGAATAGGGTCTCTTGGGTATATGATTATGCACGATTAGACATTGACATGTGTATGTATATATATATATATATATACATATACATATCTAAATATTCAGGAACCTTCAAGAGGTGGTATTGCGCGGCATTTCACCCCTCGAACGAAGCCGTGATAATACCCCGCTGGAAGTAGCCCTTACAGAACCTAAGCCCGAAACGCCTGAACCCTAGAGATCCCTTGAAGGAACCCTTCAAAGGAAGGCCCGAAACCCTAAACCCTAAAGCCTCAACCCCCAAACCCTACAAGCCCGAAGCAAGAAACCCCTGAACCCTAGAGATCCCTTAAAGGAACCCTTCAAAGGAAGCCTTCAAAGGAACCTAACCCGAAACTAAACCGCCAAGCGACCCCCAGACATCGAAGTTCACAACACGAGACTTCGGATTCATGACAGCCATGAGCTGGCAGATGCTTCGGGGTTCTTATAGGGTTCCCTTAAAGGGATCTATAACGGTTACCTCTAAGGGCTCCTATATGGGATCTATAGGGTTTAGGGTTTAGGGTTTTTGGGGGGTTTAGGGTTTAGGGTTTAAGGGTTTAGGGCGTAATGCAGGGCTTCGGAAGGTTGGACTTAGGGTTTAGGTCTTAGGTTTAAGGGTTTCGGGTTGGGGCTCTGCCTGGACCCCGAATAACACACCATTTTTTGGGATCGTTGTCAAGAATTCATAATACGAAGCCTAAAACAGTAGGTTCTTCGGGGCCAAGGTAGGGTTTAGAGTTTGGGGCCGCAGGAACTGTAGGGCTTAAGGTCTGAGCGTACAGGGGCCAAGGGTTCAAGGGTTTAGGGTTTAGGGCTTTGGGTTTAGGGTTTAGGTCCACGGTCCAAACGTGTTGGTGGCTTGCTCCTGGCCTTCAATTGAGGGTCTTGTGAATACTCTGCCTCTTAAAATCGAAGGTTGCTCTAGTATTCTTGCCTTTTTGTGGGTTATGGGTCCTGGTCGGAAGCCCAGTAAACTTTAAAAACTAAACCCTATACCCTGAACCCTAAACCCTAAAACCCTAAACCCTAAGCCCTAAACCCTAAAGCCCTAAAACTCTAAACACCCTATAAACCCTAAACACTAAACCCTAAAACCCTATATAAAACCCTAAAACTCAAAAACCCTAAAACCCTAAAACTAAAAACCCTAAAACTCTAAAACCCTAAAACTCTCAACACCCTATAAACCCTAAACACTAAACCCTAAAACCCAAAAACTCTAAACCCTAAAACCCTATATAAAACCCTAAAGCTCAAAAACCTAAAACCCTAAACCCCTAAAACCCTAAAACCCTAAGACTGAAACCAAGGAGCTCCTAAACCCTCACAGGTAAGTCCTCCCGCAAAAAGCAGCCGAAACAAAAAAAAAAAAAAAAAAAACGACTGCCAAGACGGCTCCATGCGACTTCTAAAGGGTTCTATAGGGCTCCTTAAAGGGATCTATAGGGTTTAGAGGTTTAGGGTTTAGGGTTTAGGGTTTCAAGACTGCTCCTTGTGGCTCCTAGGGTTAGGGTTTAGAGGTTTAGGGTTTAGAGGTTTGGGGGTTTAGGGGGTGCCAAGACTGTTCCTTGTGGCTCCGAGGGTTTAGGGTTGAAGGCTTTAGTTTAGGTTTAGGGTTTAGGGTTTGGGGCCTGGGGTTTTATGATCATAGTGATATGGTATACACCGATTCCGAATTATTAAACCCGAAAGCCTGAGCCCTTTTAGAAGGGTAAAACTGCCCCGAACAACCGTCTAAACCCCTTGGAATATTGAAACCCCTACGCCCTAAACCCTAAGCTCGAAACCTAAACCCAAACTGTACCTGTGACCCCAAACCCTATAGAATAGTAGGTTATGACCCCTTAATTAGAGGGTCTACCCCCTAAAACCGTAGGTTTTTGGACCCAAACTGTAAACCCCAAAGCGAAGAAAGACGGTGCCGGATCAACCCAGCGCTTGAGGTTGGAGAAGGCGGTCTGACAGCGTTTGTCTTCAAACATTGCTAGGTGGGGCTTTTAAAGCTCCTGAAAAATATTGATAAATAAGATCCTCTTAAACCCAATAAGGGAAAATATAAAATGTCCCAAAGCCCTACCTAGATTGGCTTTAATGGGCTTAGGCTTGCGGGTCTAGGGGTTTAAGGCTATAGGGGTTTAGGGTTTAGGGGTTTAGGGCGTAGGCTTGAAAATTAGGTGCATTAGTGTCAAGGCTCTTCTAAGAGTTCTACAGGGAAGGATACTACAGGCTTTCTGCCTTTGGAGGCTCGTGGGGTTCTAGAGGAGTTCTAAAGCTTCAGGGCCTTTTGGGTTTAGGGCTTAGGTTTTTTGGGGTTTAGGGTTTAGGGTTCTAGGGATTTGGGGTTCAGGGTTTTAGGGTTTAGATGAGCAGCTCTCTAAACCCTGGGCATCAAAACAGCCCAAAAGCCTCATATAGCATGGTCTTTGGGCCCAAAAGCCTTAATATATGAGTCCTTAGACGCCTAAGGAAATTACACGGCAGCCGGAGGGGTTGCAGCGGCAGACGGTGTCAGAAAGACCTCCTGAAAGTCCAAGCCCGTACAATGGCTTTCGCTGGCAGTGGGGTTGGGCCCCTGTGCAACATCGTCGGGCTCGAAACCTAACACCAGCACTCTGCCGTCTACGACCGCTAAGCCTTCTCTGGTGAGCGTGGCATGTTCAGCGTAGGATCGATATCCTGGAGGGGGCCACATCCCCATATATCTGACCGCGGACTGAGTCTGGAGCATGCCTATGCCCTCGAACATATATCCGACTCCCTTGGCCGCTTGTCGGGCATCTATGAAGATGAACTCTCCTAAATTGGGTCCTGGTGCTATTGACTCCGCACCGATGACCCGTTCGACAAGCATCCCATGATGGACCACGTACGTCAGACCTTCTGAGGCACGAGGTCTGCCGTAGCTGACATTGACTACATCCCGGTACCCCTAACTGTCTAACCCTAAACAGCTAAACTCGAACTTCCTTCAATGATTCAACCCCAAACCTGTGACCACGAACCCTGCAAAATGGTAAGCAATGACCCCTTCATTAGAGGTCGAACCCTTAAAACCGTAGGTTTTGGGATCCCAAGGTATAACCCTTCAACCCTAAAAACACCAAAACCCTATAGATCCCTTATAGGAGGCCCTTAAAGGGAAACCCCTATGGAATCCTTCAGAGGCGCCCCTTAAACGCCCTAGCTTAAACCCTAGGCCAGCCTAAACCCAATATCCTACATCCTTGGCTGACTTCTGAACCCCCGCCGAAAAATAAAAATTCAACTTGTAGCCTCCTTTTTCTAGAGAAAAAACCCAAAAAGTTAACGTCTAAAGAGCCAACCAGAACAACGCCAAGCATCAATATCCCGAGCACAAACTCCAACCTTTGTAAACTCTCGAGTTGATAATATGAATCCTGGGCCCTTTAAAGGGATCCAGAAGGCTACCTTTAGGGGTTCCTTTAAGGGATCTATAAGGGGGGGGGGGGGGGCTTTCATTTTAGAATGAGGAAAAAAACCGTAATTCCCATAGTTTAGGGTCCTTAACCCTGGGCATCAGAAGAGCCCGAAAGCCTGCTATAGTATGGTCTTTGGGCCCCAAAAGCCTTACTATAAGAGTCCTTAAAGCCCTGGGGTAAGGTAATTCAGGATTTAAAGGGAACTCCAGACAGTTGGAATATGGTTTCAGGGTAGGATACCCTATAATTTACCATTAAGGGCTTAGGATAATCATATTCCAACTTTCTGGCTTTTACTTTATATCATCAACCGTATGAAGCCCTGAAGCCGTAAAAACTTTAACCCCTAAAGCTAAGGCTTCCAAACAGGCGCAATAGCGAAACCCGTCCACCCTTGTCCTTTTAGAAACAATGGACAGAGCCCTATACCAATATCCCCATTCCTACTATTTAAGCAGGTCTACTAGCCGGTCTGTTTATTATTCTGGGGGAACCACTGCTTTACTGAACTTAGAACCCTAGCAAAAATTATAATTTTAGCTGTTTCTTAAGGATTATAATAACCAACACTTTAAAATTATTTCTAAGTACCCCTAAGGAAAAAGGACAAGGCTAAACCCGTCCAGCTGCGCCTCCCGGCCCCCGCACGGCCCGCAGGGGCAAGAGACGTCACCGGGATATTTCCTGCTTGGAGGATCGGTTGATGTAGCAAGTAGAACCCTAAACCCTAAACCCTACTTACTAAACCCTAAACCCTATTTGGGCTTAGAACCCTAAACCCTACAACCCTAATTACTATACACTAAACCCTGAACCCTATTTGGGCTTATGGAGATAAAGGATCCACTTACTTTTCAGCTTAAAGGTTCCAGGTCTGACGAATGGGGTCATAAACCCTAGGATGTTGCCTCGCTTTGGGGCTGCAAGTGGGGCTTCAGGGTTTAGGGTTTAGGGTTTTGGAATGTTTTTGCAGTTTAGGAGATACTAAGACAAAGTCTGGGGAGCCGCCAAGTGCTCAAAGTGTCAGCATGAACGGATTTGGGCTCGATTTTTCGCTTCGACCTGAGCCTAAACAGCTTGGGCTTAGGATTCATGGTTCATACTCAGACAGCTGTACTATACTACCACATAGCAGAACCAACCCACACAGAAACTTGAGCCTTACCGTCGATATTCTAAACCGAAATTGACAATGACTGGGTTTGATGGATCAAGCCTCGCAGGTGCTGGCATCAACAAAAGAATCGGCAAGCAGGTGTTCATGAATTGCCCAAGAAGACTCCAATTATCCCTGAATCAAGAAATCCCGAGGTTTGCTTTAAGGGTGCCTTTAAAGGGATGTATAGGGTTTAGGGTTTAGGGGACACCAACATCCCTTAATCAAGGAATATACCTGAAATTATGGTGGGATCCCTAATCTGACTTAGGGAATATTCCTTGAGTAGGGATAGTGGGGTCTCTGGGCCCAGTCGAAGAGGCCGCCTTGCGAAGCTCTGATTTGCCGGGCGGCCTTCTGTGGAATCCAGACACTCTCACGAGAGTGCACCATCAGGACACCACAGGCCAGCTTCAACCCTAAACCCTAAACTGTAAACCCTAAACCCTGGTAATCCAGAGACTCCAATGCCCCTTATTTGCGGAATATACCTTAAAACATATTAGGGATCCGAATATAATCTAAAGTGTATTCCTTAATTAAGTGATAGTGGAGTCTCTGGGTAATCCAAACATCCTTGGAGCCTGCGTTTACGCGGTAGATCCAGAAGCTCTCGCGAGCCCACTAATTCAGGCAAACCATCGCAATCCCAAAGGCTCCATGGCATCTTGACAGTAGGGTTCCTTTAAGGATTCCTTTAAGGGTTCTTTTAAGGGTCCTGTAAGGGTTCTATAGGGTTTAGGGTATAACGGTCCATGGTACCCAAATAGTAGCTTAGTAGATACTTAAGCATTAAAGGGGTCCCTATATAGGTACTTTAAGGCCTAAGTATATACCGCATGGGTACATGGAGCCTGAGGGAAGTGCATTCTGTCCGAAGAACAGCTGCTCACCTCCCAAAACCCCATGTAGCAGTATTTACGAGCCAATAGGATGAGGCTCTAACTTGCAGGGGGCTAACGAAGCTAAGACCCACGATGAATGCAAAGCCACTAGAACAAGATTGTGTAACACACAAGGAAACCTAAAAACAGATTAGAAACCCCTTTAACTTTAACAATCCAGAACGATCCCCTAAGACCCTAAGCCCTATAACGCATGAGCATCCCTAAACCCTAAACCCTACCCAGAGACTCCGAATCTAACTTAGTTAAGGAATACTGCTTAATTCATAACGGGGCTCCTACTATAGTTTCAGGTATATTCCTTAATTAAGGGATGTTGGTGTCCCCTAAACCCTAAACCCTATACATCTCTTTAAAGGCACCCTTAAAGCAAACCTGGGTGTTCCCTAAATTAAGGGATATTGAAGTCTCTGGAATCCCAAGGGTAAAAGGAGGGACCCTGAATAAGGACCCCTGGGTATATACCCTTCATATAGCTAGTATATACCCATTATATAGCCCATTATAGGCTAGGGGTCCCCATTAAGGGTCCCTCCTTTCCCCTTTGACCAAAAGACGGGACCGGGAGTCGGGCTGACCCCAGCCGAGGATGTTTCCTGAGCACGAATGATTTCTCTCAATGTTAAGGGTTTAAGGTCGTCAGGAGGTTTAGGGTTTAAAGGGTTTAGGTGTATCCCAAAAGTCGTAACCGGGATTAGGGATGATCAGTGCTGGAGCTCCCTATACTTTACCTTATAAGGGACGAGGATGATGATGCTCCAACTTTCTGGCTTGTACTGTAGCGGTGTGGCGGTTTAGGGTTTAGGGGTGTAGAGCTTAGGGCTGCTATTACTTGGACGATCATGTGATTCCGTAGGTAAGGCTTTAGGGGTTTTATAGTTTCTGTGAGGATTCTACGAGGGGTCTACAAGGCTTTAGGGTTTGGGGGACTTAGTATGGCTCCAAGAACCTGAGTGGGTTAAGTATTACTTGCCTCAGCTAAGTCCCAAGATCCTTGCATTATGTTCCCTTGTCGGGGTTGGGGTTACAGTTACAGGTAAGGGTTCAAAGTACCCAATGATTAGGTACTTGGTCTTCGACAACGGATTTGTGAGCTGCTAACGGTAAAGAGTAGTACTTAGTACTAGTGCCAAGGTACAAACAAGGACAGCATGTCATCGATGAAAACATTATATCTCGCTATTGCGGTAGCCGAAAAACAAGCTTCTTGAGAGGAGCCTTATTCAAACCTCAGAAAGCCCCTATTTTGAGGAAGTGTACGGTCTGGGAGCCTCGAACTCAGATCTTTCTGTATGCCAGTAATTGTGCCTGACGCAAGAGCCTGCTTGACAAAAATCTAAGTAGGGACCTAGAAACCCTAGAATCCTTGAGGTTTTGCCATGAAACATACTCCCTAATCAAACTGTATGAGAAAATCTGTGTAGCGTTGGACCTATAAACCCTTTAAACCTTTAAACTCCAAATCTTACATCCTAAACCCTAAACTTACTTCCTCAAATAAGCCACAGCAATAATGGTCTGGCGTACTCGTGCCACTGCTCACAGACGTTCGGAGACGTGCAACGCAAGCGACGGACGTCTCCCAGAGGGTCCAAGTACCCAAAATAGTAAGGTTGTAGGTCCCAAAATCCATACTCTGAATGGTTTTTGGACCTTGAAACCCTACTATTTGGGAACTTGGACCCTTAGGGTCTGCGGTGACACAGGCGGAGCAGATAGAATGAAGGGCTCTGGGGTCTAGCAGAACGTACTCGAAAAATAATCTGAGAGGAGTTGCTAGGGTTTAGAGTTTAGGGTTTAGGGCTTAAGGTTAAGGGTTTAGGGTTTAGGGTTTACGGCTGCGCAGTGCAGGTGCTCGGTCGGCAACGCCGACGCCGCTGTTGACACTTCCTTTTATGGGAGTTTCCGAAAAAAGGGGATCCTAATACAGCACCCTAGATAGTAGGATCCTTCTTATAAGGACCCGCAAAATGAAGGTACCCTTAATGTTCGGAAACTCCCTATATTCGCCTCCACCCCGCCCAGAGGTTCCTATTCGGATTCCCTCTATTCCCCACCTCTTAATCCCCGCCACTGCCCCCCCCCCTTAAAAATGGAAACCTGTCACTGAGCTCCAAGGTACGGCGGTGAATTCTCGCCCCCTCCCACGGATTTTGGCTTCTGTGGCCCCAATTTTCACCCGCTTCCCTTCCCCCCCCCCCCCCCCCCCCCCCCCCCCCCCCCCCCCCCCCCCCCCCCCCCCCCCCCCCCCCCCCCCCCCCCCCCCTCCCCCCCCCCCCCCCCCCCCCCCCCCCCCCCCCCCCCCCCCCCCCCCCGCCCCCCCTTCCCTCCCGCCAGTTTTCACACGGGACTGCAATGTAGCATCTTTATGTGTTTCGGTACTTCAATTCCTTTCGGCGGAGTAACGTGGTTGAAAAGGCTGTGATGCTTCCCTAATCCAAGACGCCCACGAAATCCACAGCCTCAACGGCCCATACTTAAGGCATCCCGCCGCTTGCGAGAGTCTTGGTATCCAGTGTTTCGGAATGACGACACCAAAATTCGTACTGATACTACCACTACTAATACTACTCACAATCATCCTGCTTCGTGTTGCTATGAACATTACTTTACTATAAGTGCGATTCCAACTGTTACTTTTTTCCTACAAGAGCTTGCTGCAGATAGTAGCCACTCGCCGCATGCGCGTACAGCCGGGCCGAGGCGGACGACGCGCAGCGTTTCAAATTAGCGACGAGGGCCGTGGGTTTAAGCTTTAGGGCGCAAGGGCGCTAGGGTCCCGGATTCGGGGCTTGAGGCATTTAGAGGATATAATTACAAATATACATACATATATATGTATATATATATAGATACATAATATGTGTGTATATATATATATATATATACATAATGTAAATACATATATGTACATTATATATGTGTATATAGATATATCATGCCCCTACAGGCTTCAAGTTTAGGGCTCATCATCATGATGCGCCCTACCGCCAGTTGTGCTTGCGGTTGTTCGCGTATTGCCCAGACCGCTGTAGAAGTCTTCCACGCTGTATGTGCCATCCTTCCATGCACCACTCGTGAAACTCCAAAACGTTTAGAGCCAAAAACATGAAGGCTTAAGGTTCTGCGAAAATCAAAAGTCCTCGGGTTAACTCTTAAAGACCGGGACCCTAATGCTCCACACCATAAACCCCGAAACCCCGGAGGCAAAACCCCAGATCCTAAACGCTGAAACTTTAAAAGCTCGCCCAATTCGAAACTTAGATCCTTATTGAACTCTGCACCCCAAAACGCCACACGCGAAACACGATCCCCGTTATCAGTACTGGTACTTCTATTGGTACTACGATCGTGCGGAGTATTATCTCCAAAAGCTAAAATGTTGCCCAAGTCTCCGAAGTCGTTGGCGGAGCCCAGGGGCATCTGCGCAATGGCGGGGAAGCTCCTTGACTGTCGGGTGTAGGGCTTCAGGCCTATATGTTTCTCCTGTGGATCCAAAAACCTAATGTTTCAAGGGTTAGACCCTCAAATTAAGAGGTCATGACCTACCATTTTGTAGGGTTTGGTATGTTTCTCCTGTGGATCCAAAAACCTAATGCTTTATCGGTTAGACCCTCAAATTAAGAGGTCGTAACCTACCATTTTGTAGGGTTTGGGGAGACAGGCTTGGCTTATGTCTTTATCTTTTAATTTGGGGCTTAGGGTTTATATGGTTGGTGGCTTAGGTTTTTGGTTTAGGGTTTAGGGTTCAGGTCTTGGAGGGGGTTTAACGGATTTATGAAAGGGAACATGGGACCAGGGCTTTTGCAGGGGCTGTAAGGGCTTTAGAAGGGCTTTGTACAGGGGCGCCAGAAGTAGGGAATCCACCCACGCGTTGCTGTAGAGGCTTTGTGTTTAACGGGCTACAGCACCAGAAGGGTTCTACAAGGCTACCAAGGGCTTAGGGTGCAAGGTCTCCAAAAACACAAAAACCCTGTGATTAAGAAATTCACCCCCAAATGTCGGAAAGGGTCTGAAAATGATGTAAGGTACATTGCTCGAAAACGCCCTCGAGTTGGTACGGTACCCTACAATGTAGAGGCACAGCGTAATTGAAAGGTTTCGTGAACCTCTTTGGACTTCTTGCCTTGAGGATTTGGGGCTTTACCTGTATCGCCAAACCCTGCAAAATGGTAGGTAATGACCCCTGTAGCCTAGGGTCTAACCCGTAAAACGCTAGGTTTCTGGATCCACAGGTGAGGATGTGGGGCTTTAGGATTTTGGATAGGTCTTCAATTCGGTACCCACAAGACACTAAAACTACCCTTCATGCACACGACTACCTTTATGGAATCCCAAAAGACCATCCTTGCTGTGCTTTTGGGTGGCCGGTTTGATTATGGTACTGTGTGAAACTACGGAGATAAATAGGTATACAAGCGTAACAGTGAGTAATAATAATTACATTGATGCCCGTAGTATATACATATGTGTACATTAGTGTATGTAATGTGTGGTGATGCATATACATCTACATCTACATCCGCATCGACATGGACATCTACACGTACATATGCATCCACATCCGCATCTACATGTGTTTATACATCTACATCTACGTATGCATACACTACAGATGCACATGCACATAAACATGTACATATAAATAAACATATACGTAAACATATACATAAACATATACATATAGATATACATGCACATATACGTATACATATACACATACATACATACATACATACATACATATACAAATATACAAGTATGCAAACATACATATGCATACACATATACATAAACATGCACATGTACACATACATCTACGTATACACATGCATATACATATACATACACATATACTTATGTATAAATACATATGTATTTACACGAGCTGTGTATAATACATGCATACATACATACCTACCTACCTACCTACATACATATCTACCTATGCGGGAACAAAAGGTTATCCTTTGGGAGTACATGTGGGAATTATAGGGATCATCGTACCCCCCCAAAAAAAGTTACCTACTCTACTACCAGGACTATACCTAAACCCTAGGTCTCTAAACCCAAAATTCTAAACCCAAGACCCTGAGTCCTTAAAGGAACCCTTAATCATATAGGAGTTTCCGAAAATAGGGGACCCTAATCTAGTACCCGAAATAGTAGGATCCTTATTACAAGGACCCCAAAATGAGGTACCCCTCATTTTGGGAAACTCCCATATAACCTAAACCCTAAACCGTTTATAGAACCCTTGTAGATCCTTTTAAGGAAACCCTTAATCATATGGACCTATCAAACCCTCAACGAGACAATAAACCCCTGAGGCGACCACTCTGCCATCTCCGCATCTGACCAGATGAAGCCATTCCCTTTATCCTGTGGCGATTTAAGGGGTTTAGGGTCTAGGGGTTTGAAGTTTCAATGTTTAGGGCTTGATGCTTGGAGGTTCATGGTAACTCGGGTTATACATAAGGTAACTATTATCGCAAACTTTGGACCCCCCAAACCCCGAACCTTAAACCGTAGAACTCGAAAACACTGAACTAAGCCTAAAGCCCAAGCTGTAAACCCTGAACCCTAAACCCCCTAAGCCCCAATCCCTAAACTCATCTTAGAGAGTTCCTTCACCCGAAACGCTTCTGCAGGGGCCTTAATAATCGGAATATGGATTTGGTGCAGTATAGGAACATTATGATGAGGAACAACCCGCCCCCGCCTCCCTCCCGCCCCCCCCCCCCCCCCCGCCCCCCCCCCGCCCCCCCCCCGCCGCCCCCCCGCCCCCGCCGCCCCGACTCATTATGCTCACTCCCTGCTGTGGCCCTGTTCCCTTCCCCCCGCCTCCTTCCCGCTTTCCCGATTCTTTATGCTCACTCCCTGCACTCGGGTGTTTGGGCCAAAGGGCGCCAAGGCTTGCAACATTGTGAGAGTTTCCGACGACAGGGGACTGTAATGTAGCATCTTTACTTGTTGGGGGCCTGGAAAATTTTCAATTCCCGGACAATACCTGGACCCGAAAGCAGGAAACAAAAGCTTCAAGACCCCTAAAGCAAGAAAACCCCAATCTTTCAAACTAACTTGTTAGTGTAGGCAGCAGGCCGAGTCTAAGCAACCATGCTTTTTAATCTGCAGTGAAGCGTGGTGACTTGCTCTTTGTCAGCAGCACTGACATTCGCCTGCACTTCCAGGTTCAGGGCCGAGGATTTGGTTCTTGGCATCGGGGTTGAAGGTCTACATAGGGCATCCGGTTTTCAGTTTCCGACACTACTGAGTCTTCATCGTGGATCATTGCGCAGGCTTCCTTGTAAACTACAGCTGGGAACTAAGCCTCTGTTTGGCGAGAATCCGCCATGCCCACCCCTGCAGCAACTTGTGAACCTCCAAACTCCTCAAACTTTCAAGCTGCACAACGGTTTAGGACTGAGGGTTTCCCAAAGGTTTCCAAGTATCTACCTACATAGTACAAAGAGGGTTTCTATAATAGAAATTACTTTTATGGTTTCGGTGAGTGTTCCCCTTATAGATACTTAGGATTCTTTGGGATTCGGGCTTCAGGTCAACGAACTTCCAGCGTGTTAAAGCACCCAAGTTTCAAAGCCCTTTTTCCCAGAACCTCAAACCCTGATTGTTCAATTCTTGTTAGGATTACCAAAAGGCTTCCAAATACCTACGTAATACAAAGTAGGGTTTCTACACTAAGAACTACTTTTGTGGTTTTGGCAAGTATCCTGCATACAGATATTTAGGATCCTTTGGGTTTAGAATTTAGGCCCATTGAACTTCGAGAGCGCCAAAGCTCCAAAGATTGTTATGTATGAAAAGTTGAATATACAAAACCCTAGAGCCCTAAACCCCAAAACCCTAAAGCCCTAAACCCTAAAATCCAAAACCCTAAACCCCCTAAGCCTCGACCCTTAAACTCCTACATCTTAAGGCCCAAAACCCCAAACCCTAAACCCCTAAACCACTAAACCCGAAAACCCTAAAACCCTTTATTTGTTTCTGAGAGTGAATATCTGTTTCTGGTGTTAAAAGTCTGTTTCTGAGACCAAAAGTCTGTTTTACCGAAGACCTAACCTGTGTGACCTCACCTTGTCTGCTCCGAAAAACCCCAGCAGGGTCTTAATCATTGTTTGGGCCCCTATGTTGGTATCGAATTGATGGCTTTGCGTCTCAGGCTTGTTTTAGACGCCCTTTCGTTGGGATAGGCGGAGTAACGTGGTTGAAAAGGCTGTGATGCTTCCCTAATCCAAGACGCCCACGAAATCCACAGCCTCAGCGGCCCATACTTAAGGCATCCCGCCGCTTGCGAGAGTCTTGGTATCCAGTGTTTCGGAATGACGACACCAAAATTCGTACTGATACTACCACTACTAATACTACTCACAATCATCCTGCTTCGTGTTGCTATGAACATTACTTTTACTATAAGTGCGATTCCAACTGTTACTTTTTTCCTACAAGAGCTTGCTGCAGATAGTAGCCACTCGCCGCATGCGCGTACAGCCGGGCCGAGGCGGACGACGCGCAGCGTTTCAAGCCCCTATATTCCTATATTAAGAGATTAAGCCCTTAGACTCTGCACACCTGCCTCGAGTCCTTCGACTTTTCTCGCATCGTCCGCCTGCGATGTGGCCGAAAGCGCCCTAAACCCTAAACCCTAAACCCTAAGGCTCCCCCAAAACTCGAGGTTTTGGAGTTTCTACTCTTAGCGGTCTATGAGGATGCTAAAGAGGTTTAGGATTCCTTTAAGCTTAGTTGCGGAGCTCATATGCCCAAAAAAGTCTAAACTTTCAGCTTTAGGAGGGTTTCATTATCCCAGAAAGCTCAAAGTTCATAAACTCAGCTACTAAGTTTAAGGGTTCCTGGAAGGAGTACTATAAGGGATCTGTAGGCGTACTAAAGGACTAGGTTTTAGGGTTTACGGTCTAGAATTTAGGGTTCAGGGTTTGGGGCTTAAGGGTTTAGCGGGCTTTGGGCTCTAAGGATTAGGGCTTCGGGTTAGGGTAGGGTGGAGAGCTTGGGGTTGGGTTTAGGGTTTAGGGTCTAGGATTTAGGATTCAAATTTTTGGGTTTAGGGGCTTAGGGTCTATGGTTTAGGGCTTATTTAGGGCTTGGAGTCCAACTTGGGGTCTAGGGTTTCCTAAGCGGCCCACAGAAACAGCATTTCGCCGGTCGGCCCGAGGTACGTACCGCACGGTCTGAAATTTTCCAAAACGAAGTAACCATGTAAACCTGCAGAAACACCGAGACTCAAAACACAAAGAACTAGATGAAGAACTAGACCCCAAATCCTGACTCCGAAGCAAGAAAGTACACGATTGTTTGCAGTTTCCACTGAACGGCCCGCACCCGCAGCGCCAAGAACACGATGAACATGGCAAAGGACCTGAACTACGCTTTGCCTATAGAGCCTAGAGGACCTACTTCCTACCTTCTCATGGCTATATTATCTGACTTGTCGGGTATCATGGGGAACTAAAGGTTAACCTTTTTGGTTATATAGGGATCATAGAGGGGCTATACTACCCAAAAAAGGTTCCCCTAAACCCTAAACCCTAAACCCTTACCTACTTTACTACTAGGTTATATAGGGAAATCATACTAAAGAGCCCTAGGGAGGCGGGCTGTGAGGGCTACGGTGAAATGCATAGGCTAGGCTTCGTGCGTAAGGGTCAGGGTTTTAGGGGATCTCCTGTGAACCTAAACCCTACAAAATAGATTTTAGGTTATGACCTGTTAGTTAGATTGTGGAAGCCTTAAAAAGGGTAGTTTATGTTGATCCACAGTATTGTTTTATAGATTTTAAAGCTTGCGGCTTTGGGGTTTCAGGGTTTCCGGCTTCCGAGGAGTTTAGCGTCTGCCTGTATCCGTAACCCAAAGAGAAATAGTCGGTTATGACCCTTGAGTTACAGGAGTTTAGGGTTTGGGGCCTAACTCCTTAAAACAGCAGGTTTTTGGATTCTCAGGTGGCGATTTTGTCATTAAGTAATGCTGCGCACTGCCATTCGGCGGCGATTTCACGGACATCTCGCTTGGAGGGCTTGGAGGCCAATCCCGAACCAATTGCCATGACCGCACTGTGTCCCGTGCAGTGCCGCGCGAAGAGCCCGACCACAACCTGTGCCATAAACGAGCTCTTCTTGTTTGGCTTGCCGTCCGTGGTCCCGACCCATACGAGGTGTGAGATGGTGGCGTCGGCGTGGCCTCATCCTGCTCTCACGACTGGCTCACTGCTTTTGCAGTTCAGCCCAAAGAAACCATCAAGAGGGGACATGGCGTCAAACAAAGGTAACAGAGGAATGACAAAAGGGCTTTGAATCGCAGGGAAGCATCTCGGCCTGTCCTAGAGCACTCTGTGCGAGTTCTTACGGTTGCGGTGTCGGATTCAAGGATGCGGGTTTAGGATTTCGGGAGTGGGTTCAGGGTTTAGGGAAAACTTCGTGACATCCTGTACAGATCTCACTTGCGGGGCTTGATTTGGACATCGCGCAGGAACTAGAATTAGACGAGCCCTTGCTGTGCGCCCACATGCAAACTCACTCCCCAGAGAACCCAATACCCCTGAACTAAGGAGTATACCTTAAATTATAGAGGCCCTACTATTATGATTTAAGGTATACCTGTGGATCCAAAAACCTACCGTTTTAGGGGTTAGACCCTATAATTCAAGGGTAATAACCTACTATTTAATAGGGTTTGGGGATGCAGGTATACCTTAAATTATAGAGGCCCTACTATTATGGCTTAAGGTATATTCCTTAATTAAGGGATCTGTGGGATCTCTGCGTCACGTGCGGACAAAGAAGCCCTTACAGCCTGAACCTGGAGCCCGACAGACCCACACCTCTGGGAGTTTCCGAAAATCCGAAAATAGGGGACCCTAATATACTGTTGATGACATATACATGTATATATATATATATAAATATCCTGCATTACCTTAAGAACCCAAAACTATGGGAATTATGGTATATTCCTTATTATGGGTAATGCAGGATTCATATCATCAACCATAGTACCCTAAATAGTAGGATCCTTACTATAAGGACCCCCAAATAAGGTACCCCTAACTTTCGGAAACTCCCATTGATGAAGGGGTTGCTCACTATGATGTTCTTGTGTGATATCCCCCAAACCCGAACCCTCGACCCCTGTAAACTCTGACCCCTATGGAAACCTCGAAGGGCCGCAAATTAGAATTTAGAATAGGCTTTCGGGGCATATTATATTATAACTCTCAAAAGAAACAGGGTTCAGGGCTTGGGCTTTTTTTGAGGGTTGCCCTGAGGAATAGGATTGCTTGCTTTAGGCTTCTATATTGCTTGTGTAGCGGCTGGGATTCTGTAGCGAGTGGGCTCAGAGATTGAGGTTTCGGTGTCAGGGTAAGGGTTCTACACGGCTTTAGGGTACACCTGAAACTCCTACTTGTCGGGTACCATGGGGAACTAAAGGTTAACCTTTTTGGTTTTATAGGGATTATATAATAGGGACTATACTACCCAAAAGAGGTAAAAGGTTACCTACTGGACTACTAGGAACTCAAACCCCTTCACCCCTCAACTAGGCTGTTCAGCAACCCACTGGGAAAAAGTATATACTTGTTTAGGCTTCTTACTTTATAATAGGAACCCAGAAACCTGCAAGTAAAAAAGTGTACCACTGAACAGCCTGGTCAAACTGTGAACTTATCAGGAGTCCTTCAACCCCGAGCCCGAACCCGACGCAACCTCAAACCCCGACTGTCAAGAAAGGGCAAGTCGCCTAAGTCCTAAACCCTAAACCCCGAAGCTCCAGAATCTTACCCCCCCGAAAACCGTCCGAAACCCAAAGGAACCGGATAGAAACCCGTGAAAAAGAAGCCTCAACCTTGCGTTTTACCCTCTACTTGGAGGATCACGGCACTTAGCAGATAAGGTTGTGTAAGTACCTTATTGGTTCTGGCTGCAAGTACTAGTTGCTAAGTCCCAGGATCCTATGGGCACCCCTGAACCCCCATCCCTAAACCCTAGAAGGGATCCTCAATAAACATTACCAAACCATGCCATCATAAAAACTGGTTTTGGCTTAACCCTAAACCCTAAACACTACCTGGACTCCAATAACTTAACCTACATTTATGGGGGAACCTTCCGTAAAGGAACCTTCAAGCTTATCCTGGCCTTCCGAATTACTCTCAATCAGATCGGGGATCCTACGATAATTTAGCGAGTATATTCCTCAGGGATCGTACTAGTGTCTGAGGTATACTCCTGAAGGATCCTATCCGACTGAAGGTATTTTCCAGAATCACAAGGGTTTTTGGAGGCTCCGGGTACCGAATAGGGCCCCCCCAAAGCACATAAGGCAGGATATCGCTGTGACTGCTTATGCTTATGTTGCCCTAAGGGTCCAAGTTACCCAAATAGTATATACTTTGGCCTGAAAGTAGTCCCTATATAGGTACCTTGGGGCCAAAGTATATGCTATTTATGTACATGGACCCTTATACCCTAAACCCTGTAGAACCCTATATGGACCCCCTTTAAAGTACCCTTAATGGAACCCTATTTGGGTACATGGACCCTTCGGGTGAAACCCCGCAGAAACTCCCGATCTAAGAGTAAAAGGAGGGACCCTTAATAAGGACCCCTAGGTATATACCCTTAATATAGCTATTATATACCCATTATATAGCCCATTATAGGGTCAGGGTCCCCATTAAGGGTCCCTCCTTTTCCCCCTTCCCTTTGACCCGAGGCAGCGGCCCGGTGCCATCTCCTCCGCCTGATATGACACGCGGCCTGGTGCAAACTTCTCCACTTGGAGGTTCATGGGACTTAGTAAAGAGCTCCTCAAAAGGCTCCTTAAAGGGATCTAATGGGGTTCCTTAAAGGGATCTATAGGGTTTAGGGTTGAGGGTCTACTTGGAGGTTCATGGGACTTAGTAAGTACAGTTATTGTACCTTCACTTGCGGGTTATAAGTAATTATAAGTATAGTTACCTTGTTTATAACCTAGTCACTGAGCCTCATGAACCTCCCAGCAGGGTTGTGGCTTCTTTAAGGAAAGCTTCGGAAGTTCTTAATAATGAATTAAGGCTCCCTTGAGACTAGGGTTTAGGGCTTGGGTGTAGCATTTGGGGTTAAGGTGCACCTGTGACCCCAAACTCTACGAAACAGTAGGTTAAGTTATGACCCCTTCATTAGTGGGTCGAACGTTGGAGAAGGTGGGTTTGGGGACCCTCAGGTTCGGTTTCTTTAAGGGCTCCTTGTTAGGGTGAAAAGGCTCGGGTTTCGTTGGAGGCTGCCCCAAGTACCCCAAAGCCCCGAGCAAGGAACCTTCCGTTCAACCAAGGTTTGCGCAGACCACTAATTGATAAAGAACCTGTCTTGAATTCATCAAGGTCCTGATATCCTAAACCCCAAAACCCAAAGCCCTACCTGTATCCCCAAACCCTGCAAAATATTAGGCTATGAGGCCTTAATCAGAGGGTAGAACCCTTCAAACGGTAGGTTATTGGATCCCAAGGTAAGCCCTAAACCCTAAACCCCTAAGTCCGGCGCTGTAGCAGCTTTTGCTGGTCTGGGTTCTGCGGCCTTTGCACTGTCCGGCGCTGCCCCCCTGAGACCATCGTTGTCGGCCGGTGATTGAAACTGCCGAGGAAAGCTCTGGCCTCCAGGGCCGCGGGTTGGGAGGCAGTCATCACTATCCTCGGCGCATCGACCGAGAATCAAGTTTGATGGCGCATGTTGCCGTCACTGAGATGCGACTCGAAGCCAAGACTCGTCCAAACATGATCGACATCCAGCAACTCTGCGCCTTGATGCTGGGAGGCCAGCTGCCAAAGCGCCCTCAAACTCTGCTCGGAAACCTCAAGGAACAGACACAAGAGTGCCGCCTGGACCACAAAAACATCACCGCAAGGTCCAAGAGTACTTATAACTTATAGCTGTACTTAGTAAGTCCCATGAACCTCCAAGTAAACCCTAAACCCCCAAACCTCCAAACCCTAAACCCGTATAGATCCCCTTAAAGGAACCCCTAAAGACCCCGTGAAAGGAACCCTACACCGCCGCAGGCGCCTGGTTCCCATGGCCTTTGCCTCTTCTTTGGCGGCGCACAGCTCAATCCTCGCGAGAAGTCTAGAGCCAGGACAGTGAGCACTTCGGGGCCTTAATTTTCAGGGTTGGCTTGGAGGGGCAGGGCACTTAGTAAGTAGGTTTCAAGTAGAGATACAAGTAGCCTAAATGGAGTTACCCAAGTATAACCCTACTTACAAACGACTTACTACGTCCCCTGCGTCTCCAAGTAGGGCTGAGGGCTTCCTTTTTAAAGGGGTCTTTAGCGGCTACGATAAGGAGCTCAATCCTCGCGAGAAGTCCAGAGATGGGGGCCTTGGGCCGTGGGTCCCTTTATAAAGGGTACTTTAGGGTTCTATCATAAAGTTCCCTTTGAGGAATTTGTAAGGGAACGATGATGGTATACTCTGTAACATCGTAGTGTCGGAGCCTTACGTAGTCATTAGAATAGGCCTTTGGGGAGAATCCTTGTTATAATCGTAGTGATATATACCCCCAAACACTATTTCAATTCTTAGGGCACCTACCTTAGTACTTCGGGGTGTCGGGCTTTCATACGAGGGCCTGATATTTGGAAATAGGATTTCGGGGATTACTATCGCGTAATTTTAATTGAGTTTTGGGCTAGTGAATACTTAGTCATCCGGCGCCTTTAATGGAGCTTTAGGTTTGCTGGGCGTAGATTTCTAGGGTCTTGTATCATTTGGGCCCTCAGAGTAAAACCGGCGCCCTATCTTCAAAGCCTTACCCCAAACGCTCAACCCCCATCCCACACAATCCTAAACCTCAAACCCGTGAAGATCTGAAGAAACCCTCTAGGCGAATCTTGCTTACAGGTTCATGGGACTTAGTTCCTATAAGCCCCTTTAAAGGAAACCTCATAAAGATCCTGGAATCCTGAAAGAGACCCTTAACGATCCCTTCCCAAAGGGTCCTATGTACTGTTATGGGGAATACTTCCCCAAACCATAATATATATCGGTACTTTGGACCCTGTGGGCTTGAAGGAATCCTTTATAGGAATCCTTAAACCAACCTTGAACGTTTCACCTGCAGCCGATTGCCAGGCCCTGCCCAACCCGAGACTCCAAACTAACCCCTGAACCCTAAATCCTGGGTAAGGTTTAGGGTTTAGGGTTTAGGGTTTAGGAATCAGGAAAATACCTTAATACCTTTAAAAGGGATCCTACCATAAATCTACGGTATATTCCTGTATTGGGGGGGGGATCTTGGAGTTTCCAAAAATGGGCGACCCTAATGTAGTACCCTAAACAGTAGGATCCTGATTATAAGGACACCAAATTAAGGTGCCCCTAATTTTTCAGGAAACTCCCATATTGGTCTCCATGGGGTCCTGAAAACGTCCAGCAGTCCACCCCGATGTTGGCCTTTGACCTCGGTAAGCCAAGGTTTCGGGGTCAGGGTTTTGGGGTTTGGGGTTTAGGGAGTTTAGGGAGTTTAGGGGTTTAGGGAGTTTAGGGAGTTTAGGGAGTTTAGGGAGTTTAGGGGTTTAGGGAGTTTAGGGAGTCTAGGGAGTTAGGGAGTTTAGGGAGCTTAATGTAGGAACCTGATTAAGACACCCTGGCCCTGTAACCCCCAGCATATTAAGTTTCATAGAAGGAACCCAAATAAAGGCCCAAGGTTTCTTAATCAGGTTCCTACATTACCGGGGTTTAGGGGTTACCTGCTTGTCCAGTGCATCGGGGAACTAAAGGTCAGCCTTTTTGCATCTATTGGGATTACACAAGGATCATAGTACCCCAGTACCCCAAAAAGGTTAAAGGTTACCTACTCCACTACCAGGTAGGGGTTGGGGCTTGGGGTTTAGCACTCAGGGTATAAGTTTTTAGGGTTTAGGGGAGATACCCCTCCATTCAGGATCTTCTGAAATTTTCAGCCAGGCTTTGAACGTTTCAAAGCAAAGGTTGTAAGAGGGACCGTGTCGGTTTGTAGACCGCGTGATTCACACGGACGCAGCTTCAGTTATCATGCAAAGCCCTCTATGATCGCCTTGAGAAACTTGGGCACGCAGGCACTAGAGTTCGGGCTCTACTTTGCGCTCCTGGAGTTTTGGTGCGGAAGAACCAACGTTGCAGTGATTTGTTTACGGTTTCTTTAGAGCCTAATGAGTTTGTATGACTTTCATACTGCCTTGGACTTGCTATGGACTTGTCGTAGCGCTGAAAGTTTTCGTGAGGGTTTCACGGCATTTAGAGGGTGTTGAGTTTGGGCCTGGGACTTTGGTTATAGGTTGCCTTCTCAGAGCAGCCATAGGAACCTCCATGAACGTACGAGCCAGTCAAGTTTCTGCCAGGGAACTGCATTAGCATCATTGGCATTAGCAGCAGCAGCGGCAGCAGCAGCCTGCAGGTTCTGCAGTGGAAGCAACAGCAGCAGCAGCAGCAGTAGCCACAGCTACTGTTGCTGCGATGATAACAAGCATTGGTAATTTTAGTCAATTTAATCGCTGATTGTAGTTGAAACCGTGAGATAGCTGCCGGCGATATAGTGGAATCACCCGAAATACAAACTTTGCAAGAATAGTGACTTGCCGAAAGCCCAAGCACTGAGCTCTGGTTGATGATATAAATCCTGCACTACCTTAAGGACCCTAAACTATGGGAATTATGGTACATTCCTTATTAATATGGGTAATGCAGGATTTATATCATCAACCATCCCTTGGGAGCTGGCAACATCGATAATGTTGAAAAATCGATCCTGCCGAGACTGGAGGCTTGGGGCTGGCATGAATCAAAGGGGAAAAGGCGTGACCCTTAATGGGGACTCCTACCCTATAATGGGCTATATAATGGGTATATAACAGCTATATTGAGGGTATATACCTAGGGGTCCTTATTAATTACCCTTGGAATGAACAAGTAGTGTAGGGTTTGCTTCTATCTTCCGGTCCGGCCCCGACTCCTAAACCCTAAACAATCTTATAACCAATTAAGCAGGGATGCCCTTGGTAGGTGTTCCAAACCTTTCACAAGGGTGCCGGCAGCCTGAAGGCAGCCCCACTAGTTTAGATGCCTTGCATAGCTCATAGGGTTCGAAAATTTACACAAGCCACAAACCCTAAACCTTCGTAAAACACAGGGGCACTAATGTCCAGAACAGGGCTTTGAGATACAAGTACAACCATGAACGCCCTAAGTAATAATATCCTACTTGCTCAGACCCGTAAATTCATACTTGCCCAATATGCAACAGAAATAAAGGATACACTTTCAGGTTACTACTGAACTATAAGAACCCACAAAGTTTTAAGGTTGGGTATTGGGGTGGGCAACTAAAAATTACGGGGGTTTCGCGTCCATCAGCCTGGTCACGGTGAAAACCCATACTTTTTTGCGCGGGACGTGGAAAGAGATTGCTTCCCAGAGACTCCAATATATAAATCTTATATTTAAGGGTCCTACTATAATTTCAGGTATATTCCTAATTAATGGATATGGGAGTCTCTGGGTTAGACCGGCTGCATGTATGCTGTATCGCAAAGTTCTGATGCATAGCTTTAGACTTCAGGGTTTCGGCTAGGGTCGTGTCGAGTGTCACAATAGGGTTATGGGGCAAGCATCTGCAGGGTTGTGTGAGGAATTTCGGGTAGGATGGAAGGTCCAGCGTTCCAACCTATATAGGGGCCTTAATAATCGTAATCAAATCTTGGGGCCCATTACTCTATAGTTATAATGAGGAACCCCCAACAAGTATGGGTAATTATTAAGGCCCCTACAGTGTGAAGTTGCGTGTCCGACCCCATAGCTTGGTTAGATATCCTGCCCTCTGCAGACTTTAGGAAGCAATCGAAATCCCGCAAACCAAAAATAAAAAACCTTCGACGCAATCAAACGGCTCCCCATGTTAAAACAGCTAAGGCTAGCGGCACCCTGTATCTTAATGTTCCCAAACGGTCCAAAGATACTGCCATTGTGGAGTTAGACACCAAAAGACCATCCTGATCATGGTTTCGGGGGACCTGTTTCCATAATACTAGAATATATTGTGGACCCTCTGGGATTCAAGTGAAAGAAGGAGACCTCCCAGACTATGCCCTTTTAGGGTTTAGGATTTAGGAACCCTAAACCCTAAATCGCGGGTGTCATGCTTTTTCGGGCTTACGGGTGACCCCGAACCCGACGAATAGTAGGTTGTGACCCCTTAACTCGAGGATGGGACCCTCAAACATGGGGTGGGGTATATCCCTCGCCCGAAACCCACCACCAACAACAACAACCTAACACCCCTAGAAAGGGAACCCCTCTAAGCGGAGCTTCCACGCAACTTTAAGATTGAATCCCGTGGCAATGCGCTCGGATCCACTCGAAGCGCAAGAAATCGCAAGCTCACAAGCGTCCTTGTAGTAAGGCGAACGTTTGGAAACTCGCCTTGGAATGGTTGCGACTCAACCCTGGAATGGTTATGTTTAGGGCTTAGGGATCCGGGTTTAACCCCAAGCCGCTGCCCTACGAAAAAAAAGATCTTGACCCCCGAATCATACTGATATCATGCTGGCACATAACTTTAAATGAGAAACCTTTGACTCGAAAAAAATTGCCTTGCAATTTATGGGGGCAGGATGTAGCATTCATTGCTGCTTCCCTCACTTACTCACCTGAACCCTAAACCCCAAACGCACTACATCCCTTAGGCCCTCAACCCCCATTCCGCCCAAAAGCCCTACCCAGGGGCCGCGATTGCCAATATCGCTTTGAACAAAGACTTTTGAGGAGCCGTACTTGAAGGTTCACGGGACTTAGTAACTATGGTTAAAAACAAGGTAACTATACTTATGATTGGTTATAACCCCAGTTAAGGTACTTATAACTGTACTGACTAAGTCCCATGAACCTCCAGGTAAGAAATTTAACCTAAGGCCTAAGGCATGCGAAACTTGGAAACCAAAACTCCACCCCCTGAAATCATTTAATGCCCTAAACCTTGAAAGCCTTGTAAAGCCCTTCAACCCTCCACAACTTGATTCAGAAGCGGCCCATAAAAGCCCAGAGGAAGCCCGCCGATCAGAACCCTTTGTAAGACATTCCCAACCCGATGTAGCTCGTACAAAACTCTGTACCTTAAACCCTAAGCGAACCTTATTGAAATGTATTGAAATCCTGATCTATCACTTTATGAAGCAGGGATTGGTACTGCACTCACCAATATTCCAGGAGGCCTACCTAAACTCACAAAATGCCTGATTTATGAACTCTACTAGATTCGGTGCCCTGACACTGTGGGTCCGAAGTACCGGATACCTTGGGTTAGGAAATCGCAGTTGCAGGTGGCTATTTCCAGATGTCGAGGAGGATGTGATTAATGGTTACTTAACCGTAAACCTTAAACCCGAAACCATCCACCCTAAACCCTAAACCCCCAATGCAGCGCGTAAAGCAGCTGGGAGACAGGATGTCACCTCCAGCTGCCGCCCCGGACCTAGGATTTGGGTGTGAGGCTTAGCCCTCAGCGTCCAAGGGTTTGGGGTTCAGGGTTTATCATATACTCTCCAAACTAGTAACCTACATAACTACTATCCAAAACCCGAGTACCGAATTTCTGGGTCCTTTGGACCCTTAGGTTAGGTGCTTCGGATTTAGGGTTCAGGGTAGGGCCAAGACTTAGAGTTTGGGGTGTTAGAGCTTTCCAGGGAACATGCGGATTCTATGAGGTTTTCGGGCTCCTGGTTTAGTTCATAACTTTCTATGATATGGGCTTCACAAGTAACAGCCTACCTTTTTACGGACTTCTATAAGGAAACCATAACTACTCGGGAACCTTAAAAAAGGAAGGTTTTATAGGGTCTTAGTAGGCCATTAGGCACTTTAGGACTTAGGGCTATAGGTCTGTGACAGGATCAGTGCCCATCGCGGAAGGACAAGGACGAAGCTGTAGGACGTAGGGCGTAGGGTATTAGGCTTGGCTGACTCCTGAATCCTTATTACAGCCTCATAAAAAAACCACCCAAAAAATTCAAGTCCTACAGCAAGAGCCACACAGAAGAACGCGAAGTAGGGTTCAGGTTGTCGGGCTGAGGTATGTTACCATTAAGCCTCATAGATCCGGATGCTGTCTTGTTCCCCAAACGCCTCACCAAACTCTTCTAGAACCGAAACCACGACGACTGCTCACTTCTGACGGCTGAGGTTTCGGGTTTAAGGTTTAGGGTTTAGGTCTAGGGTTCATGGGCACATGCAAAACTAGGGGGCTACGGCCAACCTGGACACCTGAACCTGCTGGCAGCTCCAACACGTGAACCATAAACTTCGTGTTTCAAAAATAATACACTACGGTTGATAATATAAATCCTGCATGACCCATAATAAGGAAGATACCATAATTCCCATAGTTTTGGGCCCTTAAGGTAATGCAGGATTTCTATCATCAACCGTATGACATTATAGTAGTACAACATTCTCAGGTTCTAGCAAAGCTGCAGTAGTAGAATATTATAGCATTACAATCAAACCCCGACTAGCAACCCAGTAACTTAGATTCTCGTGCCAAAGACAAGTTAAACCCTACACCCCAAAGAAACCCTCAACCCTGTATTACAGTGGCCTTGATAATTTGAACGGACGGGTTTTTGCGGTACCTTGTACCAGTAGTGAAAGTTAGCAACCCTAAGGAGTAATATTTCGCAATCAAGACCAAACCCTATACCCTAAACCCTCAAAACCCCATTGTCGAGATGAGAACATAAACCAAGCTGTGACAACGATATGTGTAGATACGAATACAAGCAAGCTATGCAAGGACATGTATAAAGCGTTTATATGTATAAATTTATAGTTCTAGCGCCCAATACTAAACCAAACACATATGCTCTCTCACCGATAACAGTATGCACTCACCATAACCCTGACATAAGCTTTGATCCAAGCAAACATTTAGTACAGGACCCTTATTAATTAGAATAGGGTTTTTGGGGTATGTCATATTGTATATCATACTACATAGTTACCTGTGGCCCCAAACCCTACAAAATAGTAGGTTATGACCCCTTGATTCGAGGGTAGAACCCTTAAAACGGTAGGCTTTCGGGCCCCAAGGTAAACCCCACAACCCCAAACCCCGAAAGATCCCTATAAGCCTAAAGGGAACCCTTATAGATCCCTTACAGGGAACCTTTTCGAAAAAAAACACCGAAATTGAAATGGTACCCGGAACCCCTAAACCCCTAAACCCTAAGGCCCTAAACCCTGAACCCTAAAGATCCCGGATAGATCCCGAAAAGGAACCCTTAAGGATCCCTTAAAGGCTCCTGAGGCTCAAACATGGGGTTGATCAGAGCCAGCGTGGGTACGTGAAATCCTGAAAAGCAAGGTTCCGGGCTCTGGGTGCGCAGGGTTTAGGGCTTCCTTTAAAGGGACCCTTTAAGGGTTCCTTAAAGGGATCTACAAGGGATACTAGAAGGACTCTATGATATGGGGGCCTTTAATAATAAGACTAGGGTCTGAGGGTATATTAATAAACAAAAATTCTAGTAAGGAGCCCCAAAATAGGAGTTTCCGAAAATTAGGGGGGGACTTTAGGGTCCCTTTAAAGGGATACTATAAGGGTACTATAAGGGTTCCTTTAGAGGGTACTATAAGAGTTTAGAAGGGTTTCCATTAAAGGGACCCTTTAAGGGTTCCTTAAAGGGATCTCGAAGGGTACTTTAAAGGGTTGAGGGTTTAGGTTTTATGAGAGTTTCCGAAAATTAGGATTACCTTATTTTGGGGTCCGTATTCTAAGCATCCTACTATGCAGGGTGCTCTATCAGCGTCCCCCATTTTCGGAAACTTCCAAGTGGGTTTGGAGTTTAGGGGTTTAAGGTTCAGGGGTTTCGGGGTTAAGGTTTAGGGTGTAGGGTTTACGGTTTACAGTTTGCCACACAAGACTGTCACAAGACACCAGAATGCTAAACTCAGCCAGAAATCTCAAAGGCCTAAACCCTAAACCAACAGTTCAAGCAACCCCTTCAAGGAACCCTTCAGGGAGATAGGAGCCCCAGCGTTCCAAAATCTCATCATCAAGGACTATACCATTAAGGGATTTTGGAACTTGGCTGACTTCTGAACCCCTCCCAAAAGTTAAACTTTTAGCCCCCTTATTATAGTTTATATGGAAACCCCAAAAAGTTAAAGTCTAAAGAGCCAATCAGAAGAACACCGCCAACGATCCTAAACCTAGACCCTATAGATCCCCTATAGACCCCTTAAAGTCACTCTCAAGGATGCCTTTATTATTAAGAGCCAACCAGAAGAACGCCAAGGGAAGGTCTGGAAGGTTCCAAAGAGGCTTCGGCTTTTGGCGGCATCTGCTTGATTATGCGCATCATGTGTGGTGGTGTAATTATACTTAAAGGATCATGGTACTTAGTAACTCGGGTTATAGATAAGGTAACCATACTTATAATTACTTATAACCCCAATTAGGGTACTTATAACCTTACTTACTAAGTCCCTTGAACCTCCAAGTAAGGTTTAGTTTAGGGTTTTCAAGCTTTAGCGTGTAGGGCCTAAGGTTTTTAGGGTTTAGGGTTTAGAGGTTTTAGGGCTTAGGGCTTTTAGGCTTTAGGCTTTTAGGGTTTAGGGATCAGGGTTTAGGGCTTTTAGGGTTTAGGGTTTTCAGGGTTCAGGGTCTTTAGGGCTTAGGGTGTTTAGGGTTTAGGCCTGATGGGTCCTGACAACAAGGATCCGACTAACCATGCGCTTTATGCTAGGGTACTTCACCGTCTTGGTCTCGCTGGAAGTTTTCGATTTCGGCAACACTCGTCCATAC